CTTGAGTGTATGGGAAGACCACTCCTCCTTGGACTGTTTCCTGCCAGGCACAGCTTTGACCCAACTCCATCGTCGTCCCTTGACAAACTCTAGTGCCCACACGTCCTCCTCTGCTACAGCCTCTGAGTCAGAAAAAAATCTGACACCCAACCTAGAAAGAAGTGATTTTGTCCCAGCTTCCTTCTGGTGGGTAGACCAGGGTCAAGAGCAGTCAACTTCTGGAGGTTACAGAAAGGTTCTAAAAGAGGAAGCTCACCCACCCTGCTTCTTATCTCCAAGCCAAGACAATGTCAGGAGTCCCCAACAGGGGTGGAATCCACTTAGGGCTCTAGATTGGGTGACCAGGGAGAGGGCCTACCCGCTGTTATTCCCCAGAAGGCCCCTTCGCTCGTCTGGGGAACTACCTTTCCCAGGAGCACCTAGCTTTCCACGCAAAGGCTGCGCAGGTGCAGAACGTGGCGTTTGACGCACATGCGTGGGGGACCCTTTAAAAGCTGGAACGCCGTCTGTTCATCCTCTTTTTCCCTTCTCTTTACTGTTACAAACGGTGCAATAAACCTCTCGCCACGTGGGTCTTGTTGTGTCTTGCGTCCTCCTTTCGTCTCCAAGAAGAAGAAGAACACCCGCCACTCACACCTACAGGCTAGATGGACAGGGAGGGCTTAGAAGAGGGACAAACTGGGAGGAGAAGTTGGGTTGAGACAACAGCCACCTACAGTCTGAGAGCCTGGAGGTCTGAGCTGATTAGTCTTATGTCATCTTGACACACAAATAGGGTTATCTTAATGGAGGGAACCTCCGTTGAGAAAATGCCTCCAGTAGATCCAGCTGCAAGGCTTTTCCTTCATTAGCGATGGGGGAGTACCCAGGCCATTGTGGATGACGTCATCCCTGGGTTGGTGGTCATGGGTTCTATAAGACAGCAGGAGAAAACCAGGAGAAGCAAGACAGTAAAGAGCACCCCTCCATGGCCTCTGCATCCGCTCCTGCCTCCAGGTTCCTGCCCTGCTTGAGTTCCTGTCCCGACTTCTTTTGATGATGAACAGCCATGTGGAAGTGTCAGTCAAACGAACCCTTTCCTTCCCAACTTGCTTTTGGGTCATGGTGTTTCATTGCATCAGTAGAAACTCTGAGACAGGCTCCAAGGAGGAACATGTCAGTGTGCTGGAGGCCTGTCAACTGGGTCGCCATCACCCAGAAGCGGCCAGTCAGTTTTCCAGGTTGAGAACAAGTCTTGGCAACAAATCTAATATGATCTGGCTGCCAGTGTGGTCTCCATTTCTGATGTGCGTGAACGCTGGAAACAGCCAAGTGGTATTATAAGAGCTAGATATCATGGTCACTTGCCCGAGAGTACTAGCACCAATTCGTCACTGTGAAGTCCTGTCCAGCCACCCCCTTCCTAGGCTTCAGGTTCTCAGAGCCCAAGCATGTTGCATCGAAGGGTTTGGTGAGCAAGGCCCGAGGGTGTTGAGACTGGGGCCTAAGCTATCCGGAGCTAGGTCTATAAAGACAGCTCACTTCCCCACAACTGCCTTTTTGAGTGCACACATCCATGGAAGGTTGGCCTACACAATACTAAGAGTCCTTCCTGGTTCTTCTAAATACAGACAATTGGAGGCTACCCAATGTGGCTGGACATGGCCTAGATTTGGGGGGACATTCGTATATTCTGCAAAGATTTAATGATACTGTGACAGTGACCTTTCGGCTCCATGCTGAAGACACAGCAGAGTGGATGAAGGCGCTCTGCCTCGTGGGTGACCTCTAGTGGTGAGAAACTGGCAACAGCGATTCCAGTTGTTCACCCACCGTCCTATAGCAGAGGAACGGTCTTGTATTCGCTGGTCCGCTCAAGAAGAGCTTCCTGGTTCTCCCACCTTAACCATGAACCCCTTTGTGTCTGTGAGCCTTGTTGCCCTCTGTCAACTAGGGCCAGGATGACTTCCTCACAGGGCAGCTGGGAGAACTGAGAGCATGCCATTGCAAGGCCTGTGGGACCAAGAGGGAGCTGTCAAAGCAGAGGATATCTGGTCTTGATTGTTGCAGAATGTTAGTTTAAGGTGTGTTACATTTGTCTATGCTGCGGAACATTTGTTTACTGATGCAAAGATGTGTTACACGCTTTTATGTTGTGTTTGTTTAACTCTGTGAAGCTGTGATACTTTGCCTGTCTAAAACATCGGATGGTCTAATAAAGAGCTGAACAGACAATAGTGAGGCAGGAGCAAGGACAGTCAGGGCTGGCAGAAAAGAGAAGCAGTAGGAGAAATCTGGGAGGAGAGAAGAAGGAGAAAGATAGGACAAGGAGAGGAGGACACCAGGGGCGAGCCACCCAGCTACACAGCCAGCAATGGAGAAAGAAGTAAAGAAAGGTATACAGAAATAGAGAAAGATAAAAGCCCAAAGGCAAAAGAGATGCGTAATTTAAGATGAGAAAAGCTGGCTAGAAACAAGCCAAGCTAAAATTCATAAGTAAGAATAAGCCTCCATGTCATGATTTGGGAGCTGGGTGGCAGCCCCCCCAAAAGAGTAAAGAGTAAAAAACAAACAACACTTGATAGCATTTTTCTCCTTGACTAACCTATATTCAAGGCTCTCCTGAACTTTTCAGCTATTCGAAAGTTCTATTGAACTTCTCAGGACGGAGCCTCTCATTGTCTTTAATAAGAATCTTACTGAACTTCACTAGAATCCCCCACCCACCATATCTGATCAGGAATGGAATCACGGGCGCATAGAAAGCAATTCAGAGGAAAACGTGAGTCGCTAAGGTCACCTTGTGAGGGATGTTCTCAGTACCCTCTCATGCCTCCTTCGGGAACAAGGTGGCTCCAGTCTCCTGGCCCCTCCTGGCAAAGGAAGGGATCTAGAAGTTGGGAGAAGAACCAGAGCCTTCCCCTGGGCAGGGTGTGGGCCGGCTGTGGTTCCGCTGGGATTCATGTTCTTCTGCTGCCCTCTGCAGGACAGTTCTAGAATCACACCTACTCTGGGATGATGCGTCAGATTCTCAAGCGGCCAAGGCTCCATGTGGGGAAGAGGGGCGTCTGGTTAGTTGTCTGTCAACTTGATGATAACTAGAGCCTTCTGGGAAGAGGGGATCTTGATTAAGAAGCTGCCTCCATCAGATTAGCTTGTAGGCAGGTCTGCGGGGTCATTTTCTTGATTAATGGTAGATGTGGGAGACCCCAGCCCACTATGGGTGGTGCCACCCCTGGGCTGGTGGTCCCGGCTTGTGTGAGCCCGTAAGCAGCACTCCTTCATGGCCTCTGCTTTAGCTCCTGCCTCAAGTTCCCACCCAGACTTCTCTTCAAACCCCTTTACTCCCTAAGTTGCTTCTGGCCTTTGTGTTTATCACAGAAATAGAGCACAAACAAGGACAGGTAACAAAAGAGGTCTCTCATCTGTAGGGCCTCCAGGAGCCCCATCCTTCTGCCTTTGACAGTGTGGCCAGCCAAGCCCATCTTGTGTGTTCTGCGGGGCTTCCATCCTTGCTACCAGAATGCAGACTTCGTAACACAAGCTTAGGTGTGAGTGGAACACAAAAGCCTAGGTTGGAATCCCAGTCGGACACAAGACTTGCACCCACTGGCCCATGGGTCCCCTGTGATCCCCTCTGCCTGGGAATTCAGAGAAGGCAGAGAGTCCATGTGAACTCTCCCCTTGCTTGCTCTGAGTTATCCATTCTGGACATGTTTCAGGTAGACTGTAGACCTGATTTTGTTCCCACACAAAGTCAGAGAGCCTTGTGGCCAGGGACAAGTCATTTGGACACCTAACTCATCAGGAAATCCCCAAGACCTGCCACAGGAGGGAGTCCTATCAACAGGGGCTGGGCAGGGCTCCATCATAAACAGGAGCGTGCAGGAAGGTTTTATCTGTTTCAGCTGCATCCAGATGGTACTCCACAAAATCAGGAGGCAGCATGGATTAGAGTTCTGACCTGGAATAGGATGGAAGGGGCTTTTAGTTAAAGCCTCAGCGGCGATGCTAGCGTGGCTCCTTTAAGAACCACAGGCTCTATTCTTCTCTGGCAAACTGCTGGTCTTTAGTTCTCAGTAAGTGACCTTTCTGTTGGCACTTACTGAGCAGGATTTGTGTGTTTGCCAAGCATCTGCGTCCCTGCCAGGGAGGCACTGGGAGGTGAGGGCCCCAGGCCTGCAGCTTCCAGTAAAAGGCAGGCAGACATCTTGGCAGCAGCGGCCTTGGAAGCCTGTCACTGTTGGGATTCATAATAGATTATTGCAGCACTTGTTCTTAAAGTTTCCCAGAGCCAGCCCAGCTGCGCTGCGCAGCACAGAGGGAGGGATTACCAGTAGTTTCTTCAGAGGAACGCCTCTCCATGCGTCTCCACTTTGCCAGGCCAGGCTTAACACTGGTCTCTTACACCCAAGGGTCCCTGAAGGCTAGCAGGGTGGAGTCCCAGCAGCGGGCCTCTCACCGCTATTCAGAAGCATGGGTTTATAAAGACGTGAGCTTGGGTTCAAAGTCACATTGGTAGCCCTGGGCCTGGACAAGATTGCAAGGAGGCTCTCCACTCACAGGCCAGGCTGCTTTTGCTCTGTCTGGGCCATGTCGGAGCAGAGCCACCTCTGGGCCAAATTGCAAGTTAATGTCTGTGTCACGGTTCCCATTAGAAAGGCATCTTTGTCCACTCGGGAATATATAACCCAACCGTGAAGCGCATAAATGCTGCAGGCTGACAGGCCTCCCCAGGACCCCCAGAGCAGCTCAGGGCAGTCCTGCACGACCTACCCGCTTCAATAGCTCCATGCCATCTCATGAGGTGCACAGTTGTGGGCTGTGGCCTGGGGCTGTTCACACACAGGAAACTGTCTATAGCAACAAAAACACAACTTAGGAAAAAACCCATCAATGACAAGCTTGGACACATGGCCACGCCTCCAGCAAAGGAAAGAGACAGAGGAAGTATCTTCAAGGCATTTGCCTCACACCAGAATGTAACGCAAAGGGTTACCCCGATTCTAAAAATCCTTAGTAACGCTTTTTAATATACAAGAATCAAAAGTACAGCAGTTTTACAATGTAGGAAAATTTAATACATACTATATAAACAACATTATTTACATCAGAAATCACTAGGACAGTGGCATTTTTCACAAATATAAATTAATTACTGTTTAGTCAACAGGTTTCAAAAGTCCACAAGTTTACAAGAAAAACCACCTGTCCCCAAATGAGTAGGGACAGATGGACTAAAGCAGCCTGGACCCTTGGCATGGCTCTCTTCACCTGACACAGCTGGCCTCAGATGAGCGACAAGACCACAGGTGCTGGGCCTGGACACGGCTCCTGCTGACATGGGGGTTTTGGTCTATAAGATTTCAGTGTTGCTGTGTGTGTGAACACGTAAGTGAATCACCTTTGCTCTGCAAAGCCTGATGCAGCTGCCAGCCACACCAGGTCAGGGCAACAGCAACACAGTGAGAAATGTTTGCGTTCCCTTTGCGGGGCTTATGGAATGACTACACAAGAGTCCCAGGAAGGACCAGGAGGTCGGGCTCCCGCAGGCTGGCCAATGAGGGGACACCGTGGTCAGCAGAAACATCACCTTCCTGGTCTAGGGTCACGGTGCATCACAGTACTTCAGGCCTTGGCAACACTCACTCTTTCCTCAACCATGAGCTGCCCAAAGCTGGGTTCCACCAGAACTCCGCCGACAGCCTCGTCCACCTGCGCAGACTGCTGCTGTAAGCGTATGGTGCACATACTGGTTTAAAGCAAGAGGAAAGCCTCCTTTCTCCCAACCCACTCGTCAGATACACTTCAAAACCCACAACAGATGTCTGATGGGAGATACTGCAATCTAGAATCAATGTAACACTGATCTGGCCAACATCGCCTTTTGCTACATATTATGGCACTTTAGTCCTGAAGGAAACAAAAGTTCCTTTTTCCTCATGATGAGACATCTTTGAGAATAACTTACAACTTCTACCAACAAGTTGAAAGAGAAAAAGGCCTAGGTAAGCGTGGAAGGGCAAGGCCTCCACCTTGCACAGGGCACCAAAGAGCCCAGCAAATCAATATTAGTGTCGATGTCATCAGCAAGAAGCTCCAACTCTGGTTTACTGTTCACTGTGTGAGAAACCGTGGCAGGCCACCAGGCAGGAGACTCCAGCCAGAGGACTCCAGTGCATGCCCAAGATCAGGGTGAGGGACCAGGTGCCATGAGGCATCCAGAAGGCCACCAGGCAGGAGACTCCAGCCAGAGGACTCCAGTGCATGCCCAAGATCAGGGTGAGGGACCAGGTGCCATGAGGCATCCAGAGGGTGGTCTATTGAGCACTGGCTGCAGGGATCGACTCAGTACAGCCAGGTCCATGGTGCTCTAAGTAGCGGAAGCAATGGCCCACCACAGCCATGCCATGGCCAGACGATGGACTCAAAGACACAATTCAAGCTTGTCTTGGGTAGGTCATTAATGGTACTGCCCAGGATGGGTCCACCCCATCCCCAAAGGAGTTCAGAGAGCTGAATCCTGCGTATGTCCAAAAGAAGACTTTTCATCAACTCAGAATGAGCCTGGACTCTCACCACACCATCTATATGTTAAAGTCAGCTTTCCTGTGTCCATCTAGAAAGGCTTTGGATACCTTAACAATACTGGCAAGCTATACTGAAAGTGAGTCAAACCAAAGGCGCAACCCAGTTATCCATATGCTGAGAAGAGCCATTCAATGATGCAACCCACCAACCTGCCCCAATCTGACCCCAACAGGCCACCTGTCCTCTTACAGCTCAGCTACCCCAGTCATGGCTGTTTGGGAGTTGGGAAAATTAACTTAGGTTTATACTCTACAGATCATAAAGAAAGAGGGCTTGACGCTGCTGAATCCTAACTTGCAATGGAAATGTAACCCCTCAGGTATTTTTCCCTGACTGAACCTCAACTGTCAAGATGTTTGGGTGTGTATAGCCTGCGTCTTCAAGCTGTGTAAAGGAACCGAGATGCAAGTACATTCACTGACCCACTCCAATACTGAAAGCTCCCTGCTTGCTGGCACCACCAATGCCCACATTCAGAACCCCACCCCTCCCCATCTGCATGAGTGCCCCAGCTCTGGGCTTACCAGCAGGCACCCCATCAGCAGGCCACCATCAGGACCCGTGACTCAGACACCCACCAGGGATTCCTATTTCCTGGTGACACTACCCCAAAGCCCCATCTCCACCCCTACACCCACTAAGCCCATGCCCCAAACAAGTAAGACCCACGGTGGCATCAATGATGCCAATGTCACAGTTCTCTAAAGTCGGCCAAAGGGATCCAATTTTCCCTGACAAAGAGGGAAAATGGACTCCACCAGAAGACCAAACGTTTGAAATGTACAGAGATAGTACGGGAAGAATTAGTGTTGGCGGGTGGGACGCCATTTTGGAAGTTGTTTCCTGTCTCTCTATGCCCACCCCACTTCACGTAACGAGACCAAGTGTGTCACTTCTCCCAGAAACATCTGAGGGGTATACGTGCTCCCCTTTCAAGTCTTGCAGTGTGAAACCCACCCTGTGACCTCCCACTTCCCATCAGCAGCACCCTCACGTCATAGTGAACCAATCACACACTGTCCAGCAGGTCCTTGCCCTGGTCACTCATGCTGAATATAACATTCATTGACTCTCAAGATCCCCGATTCCTTCACAGGGAAAGCAGCCCAATGAAGATGGTACATAAGTCACCTCTTCCTCCCAGCACCCACGGAGGTGGGAAGCCACAATAGGCTAGGATGGGACAGGGTGCCAAAGCGCAGGAGTAGAGACCAAACCAAAGCAGCAGATGAAGGCCTCCGACTCCCTGAAGTGCTCCTTCAGCCGCCAAGTTAGTGGATTCAGCAGCAGCGTATCCAAGAACTCCACTCGCTAGCCTGACCACTGGCCACCGCTGGACCAGACCAAAAAGTCCAAGTGCTTGATGACTCCCGTGATCGCGCCCCTTTCGGAGCTGTCCTTTATGTTTTCCGAACATTCCAGTTATAGTCTGGGTTGTTTTTCTGTTCTAGCGATCTCTCCAAAGGAGACCTGTGATCCAAGGGTGACTTGGAATCATGGGGAGACTTCTGGGAAGGGGGTGAGCGAGGATCTGAGGCTGCAGCGTGTAATGAGGGCAGGGGCTGTTTGTATTCCCCCAACTTGTCTGTGTGGAAAGAGCGGTAATGGTCTGAGGGTCCCTGGCCGTGGTAGCCCATTGCGGGTCTGTGGTCAGACATTCGTCGAAAATCCTGCTGGTGGTAATTCTGGGGCCTAAAATCATCTGATCTCCTCCGTTTAGAGTCATGATGGTGCCTGAAAGAGAGATGCAAGGATCAGCTAAAAGACCACAACCAGACTCTCCATCTTCTGCTGTCATTTCCTCATACACACATGGACCAGAGACAAATGTTTCCATCACCAGGAAACCAACACACACACACACACACACACACACACACACACACACGGCCCAGACACGGTCAGTTCTTTCATACATAATGGTAAAAGTATCCTATGAAATAACGTGCCCTCTTCAGAGCTGCAGTGACATGTGGACACACGTGGACAATCACTGACAGCTTTGCAAACTCACTTTCCCTTCAGGAAAACACAACTATAAACATTTTCACATTTCTTCATCATACTCAAGAGAAAAAATACACAGAAATTATTTGTAAATTATTAATAACAGCAAAACCCAGAATCAACCTAGATATTCAGCATTAAAGTTGCCTAAAATTATGCACACTGACTCAGCCCACCAGGGACTCTCTAGCCACCACACATAAGGCAGCCTCACCTACACACCTAGACCCCCACCATACAAGTAGCTCAAGCCTGGCAACTGCTTGCTAAGGGCTGCCAACTCCTTCTGGCCCCTTTTTCTCCAAATTCACCAGCTCCCAAAACATTCCCTTCCAGGGACACTCATATCCACAGGATGCAGAGACCTAGAGTCCTACCAACAGCCTGCCTGAGACCCTCCAGTTGTCCTATCTGGCCTTTAGACCCAGGACTGGTCCACATTGCCAGGGGAAACTTGTTCCAAGCTCCTGACAAAGACTGAAGGTACCAGGCTACAGCAGATAAGCAAAAGACCTGAAATGGAGGCTGTAACATCAAATATGAGACAAAGATAAAATGTTTCACTCTCAGTCCTGCTATAAATCCTGAGCAGTGTAGAGTCCTTTACTAAAGGAAAGGTGACCTGAACACATCAGAAAACTCAATCAAAACCAAAGTCCAGACAAACTCCAACACAACTGTAACACACACACACATAAAGTACAGACAGACAAACTCCAACACAACTATAACACACACACACATAAAGTACAGATAGACAAACTCCAACACAACTATAACACACACACACACACATAAAGTACAGATAGACAAACTCCAACACAACTATAACACACACACCCATAAAGAAGTAAGCAACATGTCTCCAAAAACACCAATCTATAGTATGGCTCCAAATAAAAATGACCTAGAAAAAGATTTCACTATGAGCAAACAGCTCAAAGACAAAGATGAATGAAGGAATGGGTAAGCCAATCCAAAATATGAGAACAGTCTGAATTGTTGAAGGAAACCCAAACTGAAATGACACCGGAGATGGAAACCTCAGTAAGCCGACTGGAATCCTCAGTGGAAACCCACGACAACAGAAAGGATCATGTCCGCAACAGCAGGGATGGAGACAGAGTAATTGGATTCCTCCATAAAGGTCAGTGAGGAAGGTTTCAAAGAAAGCATCAGCAGAACATGGGAGAATGTGGGGTCCATTAGAAGACCTCGCCTCTGTATTATGGCACGAAGGGGAATACAAAAGAGAAGTATCTTTAGTAAAATCAGAGAAGAAAATTCCCCAAAACTAGAGGAAAAGATGCCCATTCAGATACAAGAGACCTAGAGAATATCAAATAAACAAGGCTAGAAAAGAAACAAAAAGAAAAACAAAACAAACACAACCTCCATGGCATATTATAGTTAAAACATTAAAAATACAGAAGAAAGGGTATTTAAAGTTATAAGAAAGAAAATACAAGTCGCCTAGAAAGGCAGACACACGAGAAAACACAGAATAATACCGACAGCACCCTTTAAAGCAGAAGGGCCTGGAAGGATGGACTCCAAGTCCTGAAAGACCACAGCTGTCAACCAGACTATTATACCCAGCTCAACAATCTATTAAAATTGAAGGAGAGGGGCTGGAGAGAGGGCTCGGTGGTTAAGAGCACTTGCTGCTCCTCTAGCCTCTAGAGGGCCTGGGCACATGTCAAGAGGCTCACAACCACCTATAACCCACTTCCAGGGGGATCTGATGCCTCTGGCCTCCTAGGGCACCTGTACTCATAAATGCATATACCCACATGCAGATACACACAACACCTATACATAAATAAAAGTAAATATAAATCTATAAAAGCCAGACAGTGGTGGTGTACACCTTTAATCCCAGCACTGAGGAGACAGAAGCAGGTAGATCTGAGTTCAAGGCCAGCCTGGGCTGCATAGTTTCAGGATAGTCAGGGCTACATAGAAAAACCCTGTCTGGGGGGTGAGGGGAGCTTTTCTTTAAAAGATAATAAAAGTAAAAATTAAATTGAAGAAATAAAAACGTTTCATGATAAAAACAGACCAAAGGGCTGGAGAGATGGCTCAATAGTTAAGAGCACTGGCTGCTCTTCCAGAGTTCAATTCCCAGCAACTACATGGTGGCTCACAACCATGTACAATTCTATGTGGTGCCCTCTTAAGGCCTGCAGGCAAACATGCAGGCAGAAACACTGTTTTCCAATGGTCTTAGGCAACCCCTATGAAGAAGTCACAAGGGGTTGTGACTCACAGGTGGAGAACGCCTAGACTAAAGGAATTTGTGACCACTAAGCCAGTTCTGCAGAGGATATTAAAAAGACTATTTCAATCTGAAGAGAAGGATGAATAACCCGAGAAGTCAAGGGAACAAGTAATTAATGAAAGACAGATAAGGGTGTGTGTGTGTCCCAAATCATGTGTATGTGTGTGCATGCGTGTGTGTATGTGTGTATGTGTGTGTGTGTGTGTGTGGTGCATGGAGGGAGTACTACTGTCAATGGTATCTTATAGGGCATCTAATAAATTACTGGGCATGGAAACTACTAAGAGAATAAGATACATGAGATAAGCTAATCAACTGAAACCGCCACAGATGAAATCGTCATCAGTTAAGGATACTGAGACAGTTCTTAGAACGGAGTCTGGCCAGTATACCATGACTTCAAGCAGGATAATAGTAAGTACAATTCTAATTCCGAAGGAGAGAAATGGAAGATGACAATAATATTTGAAAAATATTGAAAATCTCCCAAATTTATGGGTGAAAGACGTCAGAAAGCTGAGTAATTCCTGAGTATAAGAGGCACAAAGAATTATCTGCCAGGGCTGGGAGACGGCTCTGTGGTACAGCACTGGCTTAGTACATTCAAAGCCCTGAGTTTAATCTCTGCACCGCACAGGTATGGAGGCAGGGAGGACAGTCAGGCAGATATGCACAGCATATGATACATATGCTACACTACATAGCCAGGGCTTGAAATAGTAACAGTCTATAAAGAGGAAAAAGGAGAACAAAGGCCTTGCTTTTTGTCAGAAAGCACACAAGCAGACAACGGAGGAGTCCCTGAAAGTCTGGAACCAGCAATCTAAAACTTTATACCCAGTAAAGACACCCTTCAAAATAAACACCTTTCACAGCACAGCCCCAGTAAAACACAAAAGGAAAGGGGCAAAAGGACAGACCAGGCAAAATGCAGAGCCACACAGAGGAGCCAGACGAGATGACAGAAACCAGGAGGCAGTGAGGGTGGAGGCTCTTGCATCTGAGGTGGCTAAGGCGAGCTACTGTTACTCATCTAACTGCAGCTTCCAAAACAACAGCAGGACACCAAAATGACCTATGAAATTTTGCCCCACTTTAAAGCCATTGTACAGTCTAAACATAAAGTATAACATGAGCCAGGGGAGACCGCCGTTGCTATGAAGTTCAGTCAACAGCCTGACTCTAAATTAAAGTCTGGTGAAAAGCCGGGCGATGGTGGCGCACGCCTTTAATCCCAGCACTAGGGAGGCAGAGGCAGGCGGATCTCTGTGAGTTCGAGACCAGCCTGGTCTACAGAGCGAGTTCCAGGACAGGCTCCAAAGCCACAGAGAAATCCTGTCTCGAAAAACCAAAAAAAAAAAAAAAAATAATAATAATAAAAATAAAGTCTGGTGAAAACAGTGCTCTTCCACACTCGCCAACTCACAATCTGGAGCTGGCTTACTGCCTCACAACGGCACTGTATGGCTGCAGAGAAGGTACAACCTCCAAGGCTCTGACGTCAACCATTGGATCCAGGCAAGCAAGGACCACAGCCTCGTACCCATCTCTGCTACCTGGTAAGACTGAGGGTCACATTAAGAACTAATACTGTGTGTGTATTTACACGTGTAGACACATATGTAGGTGTGGATGCACTGAGTGTGGAGGTCAGAGGCCAGCCTCAGCTATCACATCTCAGGCACCACTCACCTTGTAAAGAACTATCATTACAATAACTTATTCATCTATTAATTCTGTGTGCACGTATGTGTGTGTATATATGCCACAATATGTATGCAGACTAAACGCAGGTCATCAGGCTTGGCTGCAAGCACCTTCACCAGTTAAAACGTGTCTCAGAAGGGTTGCTGGGAGACCAGTGACATTTTCTCTAGTGATGCAGCTACTCGTAACTTACCCATGCCATAGATAACACCCCACCCTACTCATGCAGCAACCACAAGCAAACTCACTGGATCACAACAACCAAAAGCATGGGGCAGAAGGGAGGCCTCCTGGAAGGACTGCAGCCAAGGTGGGGAGGGATGAGAGAGGGTACTGGGGTGAAACGACCAAAATTATATATGCATGCATAAAAATCTCCAAGATCAAAGGAATACTTTTCTTTAAGGGGGTGGGGCTAGAAAGATGGCTCAGGTGTTAAGAGCACTCACTGCTCCTGTAGAGAACCTGGATTCAGCTCCCAACACCCACATAGAAGATTACAATCTTCTGTACCCCAGGTCCAGAGCTAAACACACTCTTCTGATCTCCCAAGGTAGGTACCAGGCCCACACATGGTACACACATGCACATGTGGACAAAGGACTCATCCACCTAAAGTAATAAATACAGCTACAAAACTCCCTCTTCCAGCATCCTAAAGCTATCCTGATAGCAGGGATATGGGATGTATAACTGATGCATGCAACACTCAGTATGCAGTAGACAGACAAACCCGTATAAGCATCACCACCCTTTCTCCTATGAGCAGGTCCAGTCGGGTCACACATCTACTCACCTGTCATAATAGTCTCTGTGTCCCCGGTGGTCTCGGTCACTGCTATACTGCTCATATGGTCTCTTTCTGGACATGTTGTTAGGTCGGTAGCTTCCAGAACGGTGGGCATCCATATGTCTCCGGTCACCATAATGGTGATCCTTGTACCAGTGCTGCTGCTCATACTGATGGTGCCGGTCACTGCCCCAGGGCGCATTGTTACCACCGCCATAGTTGAACTTTCTTTCTCTTTGCCAGTCTCCTCGATCTGAAGGAAGAGAACTGTTTCGTAACTGCAGCACATGGCGGCATTTACTGCAGGTGGACATGTCAGGAGACAACCATTGCCTCCTCAGCCTTACGGCTAACATGAGTAATGAATGAGTCCTAACATTTTCTCTGCTGCCAACAACTTCTAAGGCAAAAGAAAATCTATCACCTCTGTCCCTGCTAAGATCTTCCAAATTATGGCTTACATGTTTCATTCTTGCTTGCCTTAATGAGCAATAGACCCTTAAAATGAGATTCACTCAAGAACCCCAAAGAAACTTGGAAGTGATGATACTGTTTCACTAACGCCCTCACATAGCTGAAGGTGCTTCAACCTTCTGAGAAGAGTTCTCTTGAGCCTCTGAAGACCTCTGTGACTAAAGGCTGATCCCCAAGGGAAAGGGCACCACATTGAGATGGCACCTGCTAGTCTGGGATACCAGCTAATGCTTCAACAAGTTTTCAAGCACCATGCCACCTACTAGGGAAGATAACCAAAACATGAGAACAAAAATTGAAAGAAAAAAAGCAGATAATGGGAAACAACACAAAGAAATGGTTCTGACACTGAGGAAGTTAATAAACAATGACTTTTAAATAACTGGAACTGGAGAGGTAGCTCAGTGGTTAAGAGCACTTGCTGCTCTTATTGAGGACCTGATTCGGCTCCCAACACCCACATGGAGGCTCACAACCATCTCTTAACTCCAATTCTAGGGGTTTTGTGGCCTCCTCTGACCTCTGTGGGCATCAGGCATACACAGGATGCACAAACATACATGCAAACAAAATATTCATACACATACAACGAAAAGTAAGTAAATCCCCAAGTAATAGCAATTAATTCAATATTTTTTAGGTTAGGTCTGATGTATTATATAGCTTTGTCTGGTCTTCAACTCAGAAGTCTGCCTGCCTCTGCCTCCCCACAGGGCTGGTGTAGGTGTACACCACCACACTTGAGAGGGAAGAAACAAAAACAAATTTTTCTTTTTAAAAAAAATTTGAAAGTTTTACAAAAAGTCTAAAGGGCACAAACACATGCACAACCTGTTGAACTGAACCCAGTTCCTCTGGAAGAGCAGCCAGTGTGCTCTTAACCCCTGAGCTATCTGGCCAGACCCAGACATAATTTTAGTGTATGAAAATTTACAGGAGATGTGGGGGCACTTCTTAAGATAATACCTTGCTATGTAGCCTCTAACACAAAATCAACTGTGTGTATGTGTGCGTATAAATGGAATTCTAGAACCAAAGTTTAAGAAAGAAATGTACTTCTTGATTATTTATAGGAAAATTGAATCAGTAAGATAAATCTTATATTAGGTTTCTATACTTTCTATATGCTTTAAGTCTTGTTCAGTATTTTTCCTTTTATTCTTCTGACTCTAAAAATAATTTTTGCATATTTTAACTAGTGAAGCAATAAACAATGATTAGCCATTGAATTCAAACACTCTCCCCCTACCCCACTAGTCTAAGGCAATAGTTACCACTAACCAGACTACTAGTCTAAGGCAATAGTTACCACTAACTAGACTTACACTTTCATATCCTTCTCTGTTCATACAAGTACTTAAGGGAGGCTGTTCTTGGTTTCTCAGGAAGTCAAGCAGTTACCATACAACCATAAATCCCATCCCCATGTACCTAGCTACAACAATTGCAAATAGGTATTCAAGCAAATATATGAATATAAATGTTTGTATTAGTACTATTCTCAACAATAAAAAAGGAGAAACTTAGATGAGTGAAAAAAGTATATCCATTGAGTAAAATACTATCCTCCCATAAAAAGAAATTAAGTATTGATTCACACTAGAATTAGGATGGACTTTCAAAACCTTTTGCTACAAGAGGTAGCACACTGTATATTCCCCTGACATGAAGTCTTCTGAATAAATTCATTTACAGGGCACAATACAGATAGTTAGAAAGATAGAGAGGATGAAGAACAGGAAGAGAATTTCCATTTGAGTGATAGAGAAATTTAGGTAGGAAGGGGCAGAACTATTGTGCAGAACTTTGAATGTACAAATACCACTGGATGGTTCACCTACAAATGCTTACCTGTTTGCTGTATGAATTTCACCTCAGTAAATTTAAAGATACAGACATGGGTTTTCTTTTTTTTTTTTTTTTTTTTTTTTGGTTTTTCGAGATTAGTATAAAAACATAACATGATTACTGTTTGCTTCTTATTATTTCCTTCATTGACTTCTCTTTTTATCAATTTTATTTATTTTTCTTTTACATCTATGAGTGTTTTTTGCCAGGATGGATATCTGTGGATATGCAACACATGTATGCAGTACCTACAGAGGCCAGAAGAGGGAATCAGATTCTTTAGAATTGAAGTTGCAGATAAGGTTGTGAGACACCATGTGGGTGCTGGGAATTGAATGAGGTCCTCTGGAAGAGCAGTCAGTGCTCCTGCCTTGGCCTCCCAAGTGCTGATGTTACCAGCAAGTGCACAATGCTGGTCTAGCCAATACTCTGTAAGGTGGATGGTTTTGGGTACAGATGTCCTAACACTCACTCTACCATTCTCCTAATTGGTGGACATTCAAGTTCGTCTTCAATAGCACCCTACCAACTATGTCCTCATTCTACGGAACAATATCCACACAAGAAAGAACTGTGGCCAAGGGTCAATATATTTGTTCACTTCAAAATATTTTCTAAAAAAGACTAGATCATTTCCTATCCTTAATAACGAGTGTGCATTTTTCATTTTAATTATTGCTGATTGGAATGAGTGAAAAACTTTGTTAAATCTCTGCCTTAACACTTCCTGAATGGCAAGCGTGGTCATTTTGCCATATGGGTAGTGTTACTTTTCTGTATGAATTTCCTAATCCTTAATCTATATCTTTAAAAACAAAACAAAACAAAAAAACTACATAGTTGTATTGAGGTTTAGAGGAAAACTTTTTTTCTTTGGGGGGTGGTTTCAAGACACAGATATCTGTCTGACTCTGCCACCAGCAGGCTTGAGGAAATCCACTCAGGATTCTCCTGCTTCAGTCTCTCTAGTTCTGGGGTTACAGATTCCACCAGTCATCTTGAGTTTGATTTCTATGTTTTTCTTTTGTTTTGCTTGTTTGGAGACAGGGTCTCTCTATTATGCATTTCCGGCTGTCCTGGAACACACTTTGTAGACCAGGCTGGCCTCAACTCAGAGATCTACCTGTCTGTCCCTCAAGTGCTGGGATGGAAGAGGTGTGCCACCTTGCCTAGCCATTTCTCCTTTTTTCTAAACAAATCTCCAAAATTTAATACAATCTACTTTCCTTCTTCTTTTATGAGGTTTGTTTCAAAAAATTAAATTTCAAGTTTTTTAAATTAACAAATAAAAATTATATACTTATTTTGTATATGTCTTAAAATACATGTTAATTGTATAATATGTATGCAATGGCTAACTGAGTTAACACATGATTTTGTGTCACGAGCGGCAGGTAACTAATATTCCTTGGGGTACATGTGCCACATTTTCTTTTTCCACTCACTACTGATGGACACTTAAGCTGATTCCATGTGCTACTCTTGTGAAAAAGTATTTGGCATTAATAAATCGTGAGATCTGATACCTTTGATACACTTAAGTTGTAGGTTATATGAGAGTTCTATATTTAGTGCTATTGAGAACCTTACTTGCGTTTTCTATAGTGGCTGTGATAAAGGCTGCCTTTTTCTCAACATCCTTACCCACACTGTGTTTCTTTGATAAGAGTGTGGCTCATAATGCTGGGTGTTTTTCTATATACCTGTTGGCCATTTATACACCTTTATTAAGACAAACCTGAGACTAACAGGTCTCTGAAATAAAGGACTTATTGAGGTTCGGATGCCTATCTAAGGGTCAAAGGACAGGTAACAGGTTAAAGTCCCTGAGCCACCAGTAGCATGACTCTAGCAGCTGGGAAAATGTCCACTGGACCTAAGGCTACTTATAGTGAAATCTGAGGACATTAAATCGTATTTTTTTAAACAAACCTATGTTGTTTACTGAAAAAGACTCAGGTCAATACAGATGGCAGCATCTTGTATACATTAGTCCATAAACAAAGTCTCTGATACATCATGGTCTGGTTGATTCCAAAGCGAAATGCAGTGTGGCCCCATGGGTAATCTTCAGTACTCAGCACAGAATGGGTGCAGTCCCCTCGACTGACTTAATCATCTTCTTCTATCAAGGCCCTCCCTGTCTGGCCTATACATTAATTTAGGGCACCTCGGAGTTCATCACCATCTTTTGAGAAATGTCTATTTAGATCCATCCGTCCCCCATTTCTTAACCAGCCCTTCTATTTTTACATACTAGCCCTTTATCAGATGTACAGTTTGTGAATATTCTCTCATTAATAAAGGTTGCTTCTTCACTGTCCACTGCTTATTTTTTCTATCTGGTTATCTCTTTGTCACCAACTCAATATTAGCAGTTTAAATGCCCACCTTATACACCTATGCAAGCCTGTAGGACATTTTCTTAATTAGTGATCATTCTTGTACATAGAATATAAGTTTTTCTATAAGTCTGCCCATTACCTTTATTCTTAAAAAGGCTTATTTATTTATTTATTTATTTATTTATTATATATACAGTGTTCTGCCTGTATTGCCTGCAGGCCAGCAGAGGGTACCAGCCCTCATTACAGAAGGTTGTGAGCCACCTTGTGGTTGCTGGGAATTTAACTCAGGAACTCTGGAAGAGCAATCAGTGCTCTTAACCTCCGAGCCATCTCTCCAGCCCCACCCATTACCCTTTAAAGTACCTGTGATCCCCTTAACTTAGAGCTGACCCTTAATCTTCTAGATCTTTACTTCGTATTTTATAAAAACCAAGAAGAGACAAGAAGGTCTTGGGGAAAGCACAAAGGTCCTTGTAAATGAAATGATTGGGGGTTTGGACACCTCTCTTTAAAAGTTATCTAATGGCCTACCTGCATTACTAAAGTGTCTCTTGTTGGGGTGACTGTAGTTATCTCTTGGATGTCCATGCATCTGTGGGCCATGGGAGGCAGGCAAATGAGGCTTCTGAGGATGAAGGTTGTGTGAGGTATGGGACTGAGACATCAGAGAGTCCCGGCTGGAACCAGAGGCCTCTGGTCGAAATGGTTTCTTACCACCAAGCGTATCATCTTTTTTCTTTTGTTCCTGGCAGAGTAAAAAAAGAAAAAAGAAAAAAAAAAAAAAAAGAAAAGCTTAGGACCCCGGCTTAGCTCCTGAGAGCAGAATAAAGATGCCCTCCTAAACAGTTCCATCTTATTCCTCTCTTCTGAGCTGTCATTTAGTGACGTCTTACCAAAACTGCTTGCAAACTCTGCTGAGCTCCACAGCTCCAACAGCCTGACAGGGGGCTGCCCGGCTGTTAGATTACCACAGAAAACCAACCTCCGCTAACAAGCCCCCCGTGTAAAAAAAGAAAAAAAAACTTGCCAGGTGTTCAAGTGGCCAGGAAGTTGGCACTGTCAGAGGACTTTCTTGGCTACAAAAAGCCATGACTGCTAAGCTCTCAAGGCTTACTAGAGTTAAGAACTGTCAGCTATCAAATGGAAAGAGACAGTACACTAAAGTCCTCAAGCCAGACACCTGACCCTCCAGCTATACCATTCCTTCACCCAAGTAAAATTCTCAAAATAAGTTGTCAAGTGTAAAGTGGTTTAAAAGCTAATCATGAGGAAAATGACTATTAAATAACTTGGTCCATATCTAAGGCTTTTTGTCTATAAAGAACAGAAAACAAATATTAATTTGTTCTGTTCTTTGTTCATTTAGCACATTATGAAAATATCTTCCCCTATGTGATGTTAAATACTACCATATTTCATTTACTGCTTGACTGTACTCTTCAGTAAGAATACATGACCATAATCCTCCCACTACTATTGGACTACAGTCATTCCCATTATAAACATGTTTAAACCTTTGATTATTCCCTTAACTTAAACACTTAGATGTAGAAGCATGATCTATTATTTGACAAATTTTGAAGAATTATCGTGCTGGTTTATTTTATGTCAGCTTGACATAAGCTAAAGTCTTCTGAGAGGAAACTCAATAGATAAAAGCCTCCACAAGACAAGCCTGTAGGACATTTTCTTAATTAATCATAAATGTGGAAAGGCCCCTGCCCACGGTGAGTGGGTCTGTCCTTGAGCTGGTAGTTCTGAGTTCTATAAGAAAACAGGCTGAGCAAGCCAGTAAGCAGCACCCCTCCATGGCCTCTGCATCAGCTCCTGTCCTGATTTCCTTTGATAATGAACAATGATGATGAAAAATAAGCCAAATAACCCCTCTCCTCCCCAAGATTGTTTTGTGCATGGTGCTTCATCACAGCACTGGCAACCCTAAACCAAGACAGCTATCCTATAGGAAGACAATAACTCACTCCCCACACTTGGATATTGATCCATTTGTCACTCAGCTTCATGAGCTTCTGTGGAGTCCTCCACCACTATGAGTAGATCCTCAACTCAACTTCCCAACTATTTTATTATTCTCAGGAGTCTTTCACAGATTTCTATGATGACTAGGGGCCAGTGAGATAGCTCAATGGGTAAAGGCACTCATCACTAAGCCTAACAATCTGAGTTCGATTCCTGAGATACACATTATGGAATGATAGGAAACCACAGACTCCTGCAGGTTGTTCTTGAACGTCACGGGGTAAGAGCTGGCTCTTGCACTCCTGTACTTGTGCTCTCTCTTGCTTTCTCTCTCTCTGTCTCTCTCTCTCTCACACACACACACATACAAAAATAAATAAATATATAAATATAAAATTTTATTATGATTAGAATTTCACTAGTACACAATTACTATATTAATACTATTACCACTACATTATATTCTTCAAAATAGCATTACATTATGAACTATTAGAGGGTATAATTCCCAGGTCAATAATGCATTAAGTTCACATTAGAAATTCTTCTAAGTGCCCATGCTGTTCCTGGCATGACTACAGACAATTCGGAAATAGCAGTAGTGTTCATGAACCTTACACACTAGTAAAAGTGGAACAATTTTCACAATTGCTCCTCAGTGTCTGATCTGGATATGGAGCACGTGGCTAATTAGTAGACCTATAGGAGGGCCTGTCTGCACGAGAACTAACTCTACAGCAGAAGCCAAGTCACCTTTATGCCCATCTCCCCACTCAAATAAAAGAGCAACAATCTCTGGGCACTGCAAGTGTCTACTCCTTTAAGTAAGCAATTTGGATTCTTCTATGTAAGAAACTGGATGGATGCCACATATGTGACCGTTTAAGAATAGGAATAGATCCCGCCTAGGATCCTGGGACTTAGGACTAGCCACATTACAAACTACACAAATAAATGAAGAAGAGAGGGTCTAGAAAATAAGTGCTCCAGGTCATGAGATAACAGGGTAAGAAATTCATGTCAGGACTTTAAAACACTACTTGGCTCTAATGTACTGGCTATTATACCTAATAAATAACAGTCTTACTGTCTGGCAACTCATGGAGAATTTTAAGAACAGCTAGTAAAATGAAAAATCGCATTGCATGAAATTATATTTGGATCACAGACAACACACTCTGTGACCTGTTTGGGCTGTACTGAAACCACGTAAAACACAGGCAAAGTGCCAGTGGACTATCTACTATCAACAATCCTTTAGATTTTTCACTACCAGCCCAGGGAAAAGCAAAAACTAAGGGAATTTTATGTGCAATTATCTTTATACACTTATATAAATTAGGACTAGATTCGTATTTTACCTCCTCTTCTTGAGATCTTTTCTTATGAGCCATCTTATATAACTTATGTAGTTTTCGTGCATCAAATTCTGTAAACTTGGAAACAAAAATCCATAGGTTCCTAAAAGAAAAATTGTACTAGTAAATTATACAATTTAAAAAGTGATTTTGTTGTTGTTTTGTTTCTTCAAGACAGGATTTTTTTCTGTGGAGCCCTGGCTGTCCTGGAACTCACTCTGTAGACCAGGCTGGCCTTCCTCTGCCTCCTGAGTGCTGGGAGTAAAGTTGTGCACCACTGCCCCAGTACTGAATTTTACTAGGAACTGTTCTCCAGGGCCCTGCACTAAGCTGGGTGTACAAGCTCACACTGTGATCCCAGCACAAGGGAGGTTTTTCCGGTGACCTTCAGATCCTCAACTACAGAGTGAGTTTGAGACTAACCTGGGTAAATGACACTCTATCTCAAAATAAATAAAACAAAACAAAAAGTCTTTGCTTTGTTTATATATCATTATGTTGTATATATGTATATATATATATGTATATCATATATATAACATATTGTTTATATATCAGTAATATATCATTATGTGATTCTGTCAAGAGTTTGACACTGAGGGGGCTGGAGAGATGGCTCAGTGGTTAAGAGCATTGCCTGCTCTTCCAAAGGTCATGAGTTCAATTCCCGGCAACCACATGGTGGCTCACAACCATCTGTAACGAGGTCTGCTGTCCTCTTCTGGTCTGCAAACACACACAGATTAAATATTGTATACATAATAAATAAATATTTAAAAAAAAAGAGTTTGACACTGAGTCTTAAGATGGGGATTTGTCAACAGTATTAGGAACTCCAAACGTACAGTAGCATCTGCAACTCTAGTTCTGTAAGCTTTCCTTTACCTGGCCCACACACAGGACACTGCCACACACTATATCTCTGCCACCATCTCCCACACTGGAACCAACAACCAACTAGTAACCTGCGCCACTGTCACGCTTTCTGCCCAGCTGTCACTACTAAGGCCTGTCATCTCTTTTCCTTCAAGCTCTCAGGAACTCCTTGTCCTAGCATGGCACTGTTGTATATAGCACAGGAATGGCACAAAAATGGGCTTTATACAGAGAGATCCGGGAAGTAGCAGCAAATCAGAAACGACGTTTCTTCTCACTTTCCCTATGGCTGCACTGTTAGGACGCTGACTAGGAAACGTAGTGTCAGACAGAGAGCCACTTAGCTCACTGGGGCCTCTTATCAAGAACAACAATCTTCTGAGCACATTCCAACCGAGCCCTAAACACACCCAATGTCCTAGCTGTCCACTTACGCCTCTGCTGAAGCTCTGACTATGCTCATTAAGAGTTTCCACTTAGCTTGTCTACAGTCACAGTTCAAGGTAGACAGCCTCCCTGACCACCCTTCTGCAGGCATTCTTTTTTGATTTTTAATTTCTATTTATGATTTTATGTTTATGGGTGTTTGGTCTGAGTGTGTCTCTGTGTACTATGTGCATGCCTGGAGGCTGAGGAGGCTAAAAGAGGGTCTGGAGTTATTAATGACTGTGGACCGCTATGTGGTTGCAGGGTCCTCTGGAAGAAGAGTATGTACGCTTACTGATGAGCCATCTTTCCAGCCCTGTAAGGTATTTTCTTACACAACTTCTAAAACTGTTTCCATACCTTTTGGATGGATAGTTTCTATGGAAGTCATAGCATATGTTGCCTTTGAACTTTAAACACCCAAGGACTTTTCAATGAACTACTGCTGGTGATGGGCATTTAAATGGCAACAAACCCAAATGCACAGGAGGCAGCCTAAGATGACCGTCTGCTATCCTCTGCCCTGGTGAGACCAAAGCCAGATTATGCTCCATAAAGGGAAAAAATGTAAACCGTTTTAAGAGGAAAGAAATTATTTTTCAAAAACTCTGTCTTGTATGTCAGGGGTGTGTGGCATGCTATCATTAGCATCATGACTGAGGTCTGAAAACCTACTTTTCACTTCAAAACTGATCTACTAAAGTAGACCACAAAGATACATTAACCATAAAGTACATGGACTCAAAGTAAATACAGTTTATGGAAATAAACATTAGCCTTTCAAAATTCCCTCTAATACTGGGACCTGAAGCCAGGGCTTTGGACATGCTAGGCCCTTATTCAGTCACAAAGCTATATCCCCAGTCCCGTCCCCCCATTTTTTTCCTGTTTTATCTATCCATCCATCTATCTATCTATCTATCTATCTATCTATCTATCTGGCGGGGGAGGGGGAGTTTGAGACAGGGATTCTCTGTGTCCTGGCTGTCCTGGAACTCACTCTGTAGACCAGACTATCCTCGAACTCACAGAGATCCACCTGCCTCTGCCTCCCGAGTGCTGGGATTAAAGGCGTGGACCACTATTGCCTAGCTTCCTTTTTCCTTTTTATTAAGACAGAGTCTCACTAGGTTGGCCAGTCTGGCCCTGAACTCAATCTATAGCCCATGAAGGTCTTGATATTTGACCCTCCTGTTTCATCATCCTGAGTAGCTCAATTACAAAACCGTGCAGCTATCTTGACTATTGTTACTGTTGCTTTAGAGAGTTGTCATCTTTTCAAAATATCTAAACAGAATACACATTGAGTGTCCCTATTTTGAAAATCCCAAGACTGATGTCTCAAGAAGTAAGTTACACTCTTAACCTTATATGATGGGTCACAGTCAAAATGCATTGTAAAAGCATACCTGTAGGCTCTGTAGATTAACTGTATATGAAATAAAAGTGATTTTGTATAAGATTTGATTTCCACTCCCAAGACATGTCATTAATTATGTTTATAAGTAGTTCAAAATCTAAAATATTTCTGATTCTAAGCATCTCTGATAAGGGCCACGTAACTTGTTTATAAATTAATACATATAAAATATACATACATATATATATATATATATATATATATAATGTCTTAATCTAAAGTACTACTAGGAGTTTTTTAACTTAAAAATTTCCACCTCCTTCCATTTCCCTCCCCATACTAGGAGTTTTTTAACTAAAGCAGATGAAAATGGAGAATCTACGTTCATGTGCTTTTAACTTTTCTTTCACTTCATGTGTTATTACCTCTACTGGCTAGTTTTTATGTCAGCTATGGAAAGGAGAACATCAGTTGAGAAAAGGTCCTCACCAGATTGATTGCCTATGGGCAAGCCTATCACATGTTTTTTAAATCATTTATTTATTTATTCTTGTTTTATGGGCACTGGTGTTTTTGCCTGCACGTGCATCTATGTGAGGGTGTCAGGCAGCCTGGAACTGGAATTACAGACAGCTGTGAGCTACAATGTGGGTGCAGGGAATTAAACCCGGGTCCTCTGGAAATAGTCAATTCTCTTAGGCAACGAGCGATCTCTCCAGCCCCCATCCATTTTCTTGATAGATGATTGACATATGAGAGGGCCCAGCCCACTGTAAGAAGTGCCACTCCTGGGCCAGTGGTCCTGGGTTCTATAAGAAAGCAGGTTGAGCAAGCCATGAGGAGCAAGCCAGTAAGCAGTACTCCTCCATTGGCTCTGCTTCAGCTCAGGTCTCCAGGATTCTGCTCTGACTTCCCTCAGCAATGCAATGTGACCTGAGAGCCATAAGCTGAAATAAACTCCTCCTCAGGTTACCTGTGGTCATGGTGTTGTATCACAGTAATAGAAACAGTAACTAAGACAGTATGGAATCAACCAATTTTTTAAAATAGATATAATAATATATAACTACTAACCTGAAATGAGTAAAGCATTATTCTAGTTCCTATGTCTTATGAGTTTAAAGCAAATATTCTGAGAATAATCCAGAAAGACGATGATTATCATCATCATCACCGTCATCTTCTTCTTCCTCTTATAAATTAAATTAATGGCACAATCTTGCCACATCAGAAGGCTGGTCTTGAGAAAATGACAAAATGGCTTACTTCATGAAAAAGAAGTTGAAGCCTACAGTTATGCTGTCAACAGTTAAATTTTGTTGCCAAAAGCTTTATTGGGTGACTATGCTGCCTATTTAAAAAAAAACAAAAAAACAGAGCACACCCACATATTGTCAAATGAAACTGGGGAGATTCAAGGCCAGGGTGGGTTACCTCCTCCACAGTTTGATGTGCTCCTGGTCTGAATAAGCTTTAAGGCACTCGGCTATGCGGTCTCCAATCTTCAGCAGGCAGTTCCTGGTGTGCTCCAGCTGTTCTTGCACATTGAGTCCCTTGTCAGGTTTGTCCAACTGCTTCAGTGCCTTCTTCACAGGCCTCATCCTCTCTTTACACTGGAAGAGGCCAACAGAGTAAATGAACCATTGCAAGAAAGAGTTCATTATCATGTCCACACACTCGAGATTGAAGAACACACACCCCGCCGTCATGCTACATGTCACTATAGGAGTGGGTAACACCAGTGAAATGGGACAAGTGCAGATTCGTAGAAACTCTGAGGAACAAGTGCCGTCACCATATTTGGGATTACGTGAGGACCTTTGATACCTGACTTAGCCTCTCTGAATGTTGTTTCCTCATCTGCAAGAGGGCTGTGGCCACTAAGAAGATCAGATGTAAAACGGTATTATAGGCTTAACCTGAAAACCATGATCATCATAATGAAAAAGCAAAAACAAAACCACGATACTCAGGTCATTTCCTCAGCTAGAAACTCGTGGGCATATTTCAGTGTTTAACTTCAATTTTTAAGATGTAATAAAAAAAGACACTACAAATTGGGAAATACTTACAAATGACTGTAAAAATAACAAAAAAGCATAAGTGATTCTGCAGAAAACATAGATTACCATGTAGCTCCAGCTAGCCTGAACATGCTATGTAGCCAAAATTGGTCTTGGGTTTGTACTCTTCCTGCCTCTGCTTCCACAGCAGTACAGTTACAAACATGCCAACATACTTAGCCACAGACCCTTGGTTCAAAAGCCAATTTCACAGAAAAGGAAAACCAGTACCACAGAAGCATCAGACATTAGTTTGTTTATATGCAACAGACTAAGGAAGAACAGGAAAATGATGAATTTGTTCATTTATTCAATTCATTCATTTATTGATATCTTTCTAGTACCTAAGTGAACTTCATATAAAACATAATGCTCACAGAAAATAAAAGAAATTAAAGAATTAAGAAAACTGACTTAACTACAAAGAAAAACTATGCATATGCTAGGATGTTTTAGTGTACACACAGAAAGGTCAAAAGACCTCACATAACTGGGTCAATCCCTCTTCTGTCAGCCTAGGACAGTATTTTCACATTTCAATGAAGACAGCTTCTCCTTTAGACCAAAGGAGGTGCAGAAGTGAGCTGTGTCGCAAAGAACAGAGTTGGTGAGCACATAACAGAGTCCTTCCCTGAGGACACAACTGCATGTCCCGGGTCAGTTCTCAGCTCCATGGCATGGAAGCAGGTATGGTCCAGAACTTCATCCCTCCAAATGTTAGCCAAGGCCTTCTCCTCGCCAGCTGGCAGTCTCAACCCGCCACTCTAGCCACAGCAGCCACCATACATGCTCCTGCCACCCTGGCATATATGCGCCCCCCCCCCCCACTTCTCCCTCTTATCTTCTACTCTTCTTTCGGAGCCCAAATCAAACATCAATTCTTAGACCTTCCAGACTAGGTCAGATTCCCTTCTTACTAGACCTCCACAGTAGCCACTTTCTCCTCTCTACCTTATCATAAGAGTACCAGCATGATCCAGAGAGTTATCATCTACCCTAATATTGTTCAACTTCGTCACTGATACTAGTTTCTCTATAAACAGCAAACCAGAGAAGAATAGGCAAATTCTTCTTCGAGATGGGATCTCTAAATGCTCTGCTTCCAATTCAGCACACTTCTATTTCCCAAATGCCTTTGAGAACCCCTCTAAATTCTGCAGGTTCCTGTACAGGTGTGGAACATATAAACTCATGTGGGTCCACATATACTCGTAAAAACAAGAATATAAGATATCCTACTATTCTGGTTCAAAATACAGTATGCAAACACAATAAGCAATACACAAGTTTACACAATGTTCCACATCTGTGGATGCACCTGTGGAGGGCAGAGCACAGCACTGGGCCCAAGCATCAGCCCCCTCTATTTCACAACTTACAATGCTGAAGGTTTCCTGGTCCAGATCATCATCTTCATCCTCCCCAATGGGAATAGGTTCACTTCCTGCTGTAATGTGGACAGGACCCTGAGATCGCTTTGATTTACACGAAGACTTGGCATCACCACCTTTAACCTTTCAAAAGAGTTACAAAGAGACCTTGTCATTTATATAATCTTGAAATCTGGGTAGACTTTTTATTTGGCTTTGTTTTATTTGGTGGTGGAGGTGGTGTTCCTATGAATATAGGTATGTATGGGTGTGCATGAGTTTATATATACCACACTTGTGAATAAATCTGCAGAGGCCATAAGAGGGTACTTGAGTTACCCAGGAACTTGAGTTACAAAGACATTGTGAACTATTGTGTGGGTGCAGAGAACTGAACCTGGCCATCTGCAAGAGCAAAAAGCTCTTAACCACTAAGGATTTCTCCAGCCCTATAATTCGAACTTCTCACCTATGGTGCATTGCTAGAGCAAGTAAATAAGAAGACCTCAACTTACACAAACCTACAAGATTAATAGCTGACTTATAATTCTCCCCATTTCTGTCTCTAAAGGAACTAAATTACAGCTACAAGTTTATCAATATAATTTACAAGAATGTCATGAAGGGACTAAGAATCGACAGAGAACTCCCCCAGAGTATCATGCTGCAGCTTTTACTAACAGCTAATCTTCGATCTAGGAATCTGTATCAACTGCATAACCATGCAAGGCTGAAAGTCAAGAATAGGCATGGAAACCAAAATTAGGAATTTTTTTTTTTAATTTATTTATTATGTATACAACATTCTGTCTGTGTGTATGCCTGCAGGCCAGAAGAGGGCACGAGACGCCATTATAGATGGTTGTGAGCCACCATGTGGTTGCTGCGAATTGAACTCAGGACCTTTGGAAGAGCAGGCAATGCTCTTAACCTCTGAGCCATCTCTCCAGCCCCAGGAAATTTTAAAAAACATAAAATATTTAGAATACACTGTATCTAATTATATGATATAGATAAAATACAAGGTTTTTGTTTTTGTTTATAAAGCACATGGGGTCCCTGGAGAAATAGCTCAGCAGTTAGAATGCTTGCTCTTACAGGATTCTGGTTTGGTTCCCAGCACCTACATGGAGGCTCACAAACGTCTGTAATTCCAGTTCCAGGGATCTGAGACCTCTGTAGCTCCTGCCTGCTTGTGGTTGACATACATACATGCACGCATAAACATAAATATTCTTAAAATAAAAATTAGTGAGTTCAAGACCAGTCAGGTCTACAGGGTGAGTTCCAGGACAGTCAAAATGACACAGAAAAACCCTGTCTCGAAAAACTAACCAACTGACTAAATACATAAGTAAATAGTTTGAGATCCGGGAAGTGTGGTGTCGCATCAGCTTTATAGCAGTGGCTATGAGAAGAGAAAAGGGGAAGTGTCTGCAGTGCTTGTAATGTGTTCATAAGATGCAAAATGCATTACACTAGGGGAGAAAAGCTACTTAAACTAAACATGAAACAATGTGAATCTGCCAAGTGGTAGCATACGCCTTTAATCTGGACAGAGAAATAAAAGGCAGGAGGATCTCTGTGAGTTCCAGAACAGCCCGAGTTATGTAGTCAAACCCTGTCTCAAAAAGAAAACAATCAACAACAAAACAAGCCAAAAAAACAGAATAAGTCACTATTCTGAGACAGATGCAAAAGAATCACAGTATAGATTCTCTCTATTCCAAAGACTTTCTGAATTCATGTGTACTACATGTGTGCAATGTGCACAAAGGCCAAAATAGGACAACAGATCCCCAGGAACTGAAGGACAAATGGTTATGAGGACTGGTAACTAAACCCAGGTCTCAACCACTGAACCAGAACCAGCATCCGTTGTATAATATCTAACATTAAAAACTGCAAAGTAATTTTAGTATGAAACTTAAATGGCTTCCATTACATTAGCGTCAAATAGAATTTACCTTATTTAAAACAACCTTAACACCTGTTCTTCAGTGGTAAGGTAGTTTGTAATATACTACTGTGTGGAGAGAAGAGGTTACCCAATGGTCTGAGCTGGGCAATATAGTTGTTGTGGCTTGTTTTTTTCGAGACCAGGTTTCTCTGTGTGTTGCCCTGGCTGTCCTCACAAAGATCCGCTCCGTCTCTGCCTCCAGAGTTGATGGAGGAAGGTCATTGGTTAAATAAAAAGAAACTGCTTGGCCCTCATTGGTTAGAAGATAGGTGGGAGGAGTAAACAGAACAGAACGCTGGGAGGAAGAGGAAGTGAGCTCAGACTCCACAGCTCTCCTCTCGGGCAGATGCCTCAGAGAGACGCCATGCTCCCAGCTCCCAGCTCCGACCCAGGATGGACTTAGGCTAGAATCTTCCCGGTAAGCGCACCTAGGGGCGCTGCACAGATGATTAGAAATGGGCTAAATTAATATGTGAGAATTAGCCTAGAAGAGGCTAGATAGAAATGGGCCAAGCAGTGATTAAATGAATACAGTTTGTGTGTTGTTATTTCGGGCATAAGCTAGCCGAGCAGGCGGCCGGGGTGCTGGGAACGCAGCCCCGCCGCCCCTATTACTACACAGAGTGCTGGGATTAAACTGGCCACCACTACACAGCCAGTATTTTTATATTTATACTCATATTCTGAGGGGAAATTTAAGGAAGTCCCAAAAAGTTAAGATGTCAAGGGCTGGAGATGTGACCCCTGGATTACAAACACTGGCTGCTCTTCTTGAGGACCTGAGTTCCAGTCCTAGACCCCCATGGCAGCTCACAACCACTTGTAACTACAGTTCCAGAGGATCCAATGCCTTCTTTTGACTTCTTCAGGCACCAGGCACACATGTGGTACACAGACATACAAGCAAGCAAAACATCCATACACATCAAATTTAGCCAGTTTGGATGTTCACCTTCCTAGATATGGACGGAGGGGGGAGGTCCTAGGTCTTACCACAGGGCAGAAAACCCTGACTGCTCTTTGGACTGGAGAGGGAGGGGGAAAGGAGTGGGGGGAGGGGGAGAAGGGTGGGAGGAGGGGGCGTAGGGTGGGAGGAGGGGGAGGGAAATGGGAGGCTGGGAGGAGGTGGAAACTTGTTTGTTTTTTTTTTCTCCTTTTCTCAATAAAAAAAAGTTGACTTAAAAAAAAATTAAAACTAAAAAAATAAAAGTCTTTAATAGATGGCAGAATTATAGCTGTGACTTGCTTGGAGCATTGGATAATAGCTGATTACAAACATCTCTACATTTCAACAAGTTTATCAATTCTATAGTCTATAAAGAACTTCACAAATCTCCCAACATGAAGGCTTTTAAGCCAAGTCTACTCTAGTGGCTGTTGATGACATGTGGTATTTGGTTTGAATCTTTAACTTTTCAAATCATCTTGATTGTGTGTAGATTGTATTCTTCTGGCATTATAATCTAAGAACCTGTACCTCATATTCTCACTTGTCCTGTCTCATTCCAAATACCCCTCCCCAAATAGGCAATGACAAATCAAACAAAGGCCTTCTACATTAGAAAAGCAAGTCTGTATAATACCTCTTGCTTTCCTGTAAGGAGGGTGAAGGTATTACTTGCACAGCCCCAACCTTCCTTGCTGGATATACTCAAAGACTTGTAACTCATATCATATCAGGGCTTGTACCTCATGTTATTTAAAACCTAAATAGAATTTCCAATACGAGTGTGTTGGATACCTTCTCTTTCTTGTCCTTGGACTTCTTTCTTTCTTTGTCTCCTTCCCTGTCCTTCCGAGAACTCACTGGTTTCTCTTTGTTCTCCTTGTTCTCTTTCTTCTTCTGCTTTTTTTTCATTGGACTTTTTTCTAAGCCATCATCCTAGGAAACAGAAAGCCATGAACTTTTTCAATTTTCTGCTTCTTAGTTTGTTTCTAGAGGAAGCAGCACTGCTCAGTGGCACATCACTGCACTGAAAATAGATCATTTTCTTCAACCAGAGCCTACCCGCACTCACTTGCAGAAGCCTGAATCCACTAGACTTGTATAGGCAGACAGCGTTACATCTTCTGACCTAATTCTCAAAGCTAGTCTTTTTTTTTTTTAAAGATTTATTTATTTATTATGTATACAACATTCTGCCTCCATGTATGCCCACATGCCAGAAGAAGGCGCCAGATCTCATTACAGATGGTTGTGAGCCACCATGTGGTTGCTAGAAATTGAACTCACGACCTCTGGAAGAACAGCTAATGCTCTTAACCACTGAGCCATCTCTCCAGCCCTCAAAGCTAGTCTTTACGGCACTGAATGAATGGTGTTTAGCTGAAGAGAAAAGCATTTGCCAGGTGTGTATGAGGCCGAGTTACGTCCTTAGCAACACCCCTCCCCTAAAACAACAGCATTATTGTCCCCACTTCACAAAGAGAAGAAAATGGGGACCAACATTACACGGGCCCTCTTCAGCTGGTGACTGACGAGGATAATTGTACCTGAACTTGAAAACATGCATTCAAAGCTATGTTAGTCCCTATATCCACTGGGAGCCCTCCTGGAGCCATCATCAAAGAATTACATTCAGAACTAGAGAATAAAACTTCACAGAATTGTCACTCACTGAACAACACTGTAATTCCACTTTCTTCAGACTACATTACAAACTGGCAAGCTAATGGCTAAGCCCAATCGAGAGAATCTCCAATTAACTGAAACGCACTCTGCAAAGTCTTAAGTCCCCTGATTAACCAGTCTCTACCAATCTCTTTCCTTCTAGAAAATGAAAGCAATTACTAACTGCCACGTATCATGGTTTGTATCACTTACTTCTGTTACGTAGGAATTTGTGGTTGCTTATTTAACATGAGTCACTATGTATGTGATTGTTTGAATGAGAACTGCCAACACAGTATTTGAATGTGTCGTCACCAGGAGTGGAACCTCTGATAGGAACAGAAGGATTAGGAGGTGTGACCTTGCTGCAAAAAGTGTACCACTGGGGGTGGCTTTGAAGTTCCAAAAGCCCATACCAGGCCAAGGCCCAGGCGCAGGCTCAGTCTCTCTCCTTTTCCCTCCTCTCTCTTTGTATTAGGATGTAGCTCACAGTCACTTTTCTAGCACCATGCCTATACCTATGGCCATGCCATGATGATGATGATTATGATGGACTAAGCCTCTGAAACTGTACGCCAGCCCCAAATTAAATGCTTTCTTTTGCATGAGTTGCCTTAGTCATGGTGTCTTTTCACATCAATAGATGTTATTAAGACACAACTATATTCCTCTGACAGGTTAGGTGAAGATAAACATATTCTATGATATTTTATCTGTTCAGTATGTAAACAAATGCATCACATGACTTCATAGAGCCCCATACCTTCACTTCTCCCTCTTCAGATGGGTTGTCTGAGTGTCGAGGAGACGACAGCTCAAGCCCATGCTCATCCTTCTGCCTGGGGGCTTTGTTTTCCTTCTTTACTCGAGGCTTCCGCTTCTTTAGTTTGGTCTAGAAAGTAAAAAGATACTTAAACTACAAATCACCCCAACCCAACAGCATGACGTACCTTGCGCCTCTCTAGAACTTCATATATCACAATTATATTCTCACCATACTATCTACATAGTGGTACTATGTGCGACAAATGGAAGTACAGTCATTTTATTCACATAAGTTCTATTTATTGTATACATACATATATACATGACAAAGTTAAGGAACATGCCCACACAAAGTACAAACATCTTAGATTCTGTCTTCCCTGACTCCTTACCATAGGGAAATAAAGAAGAGAAACTTCCAATGACTCCATTAGCAACTTGGTATTTTTCAGTGAGCCAAATATAATCAAAACTAAGTCTAATTTCTGAAATTAAGTGTGGAATCTAACTGTACTATCATAGCAGCCCAGTCAGACACCAAAATATGGAAACTATGTCCCCAAAAGGACAGCTCTTTTCCTTCTTGGCTCTGCAGTCCCACGCTCCCCTAGGGGAAAGTCAGCTGGCAGTGCACCCACTCACCTCCTCCCCGCTGGTCACAGTGCCCTTCTTCTCCAGACCCTTCCTGAGCAGCTTCAGCAAGTAGTCCACCCGGGTCTGCAACTGCTTCCCCTGAGGCTTTTTATCTGTTTCCACTGGTAGAATCTTCAACAGGAAAGGAAGAGAAGCACCCGCCACCACCCACAACCTGGTTAGTGAATTCGGATAAACAGGGACAACAAAGAACTCAGCACAGTCCTTTCCCTCCCAACCACCCGAAACACAGATTAAAGCCTCAGATCCTATTCTCATGTCCATGGCTCCCAGTCACTGAAAATCCCTCATGAGCCATTCTCGTTTTACAAAATGGGATGGAGAAATCCAGCTCTCCCACTGGCTCCTACCTGTGCTGTTAACAGGGTAGAACAACTCAGGTAGGAGGGGCTTGTGGCTTCATCTGCTAGAGCATCCCAGCCGTCGTGGATTTCCTCCTTCCAGGAGCAGGGAATCCCTGGAGCTAGGTTAAAGCTTCGTTTTAGATTGAAAATGCTTCTTAGAGCATTGCCGGAGAGCACTGAGCTATGCCAGGACATGATCTGCTCATTGACTATAGCTGGACCTCTCTGGCCAGAATGGATTTGGTCTCAGTGCTTCTAAACAGGGTGCTGTCACCCTCCTAAACCCAGACGGGATGAGCAGTGTTTAATGTGCCAGGACAAAGCCCTGATAGGACCACAACATGAAGTGGATCCAGTCAGCTGCCCTTGCTTAGAGCTCTAAGTACAGCCTTGCTACTTGAAAGAGATAGGGTGGGAGGCTCAATTTTGTGGGAGAAGTACAATGCAAGTTAAATTTCATTACAAACAATACCAAGGTGACACTTGTTCTCTGTGTACAGAGCTGAACGAATGTTAAACAATAGGCCAAGAAGGAAGGCCCAGGAATGCTTCAGTCCCAATAAACTGACCTGGTATTTGCTGTAATGAGATTTGGCCTGTAAAGATATCAAAATTTTAAGATTTCTCCTATATAATTTCCTCTGGTTGTCATCTTTCCTTTTAACATTATCCACTAAAGACGGTAACTTCCCAAAGACAAAGAAACCCCCCCCTCTTGAAAACAGTTAAAGATAAGTCACCAATATAAAAATATTAAACAAATCTAGAACTGTCCAGCATGGCAGTTACTTACTTTATCAGTGAGTTTTAGCTCTGGGTCTGTCTTAATTAGCTCCCAATTTCCATAGCCATGTTCATAGATCCCAAGCAACAAACGAGAATCATCCTCCACACCCCACTCGACGTCGAAATGTGCCGCTTTGACCCGGCAGGTTAAGCAGTATCTACAGGGGTTCAAAACCAAGGGGCTGAGAAAAGGGGGCCTTTCCAACATAGTGAGGAAACATCCCCAACCACACAGCTCTAACCTCATTCTATGTCCAGCCAGCCATGCGGGGACACGGTAAAGACACTCACTTTTTTTTTTCCTCAGGGTCCACAGGGATAGATTTATGCAGCATTTCGAACTCTTCCTCGTGCTGGATGATGGACTTTACGTTAACCTGAACCCCAGAGATCTTGATTGTGGGGCCTCTTCTCTTGCCTGGTCCTTTCCCTAAAGGACATAGGTTTTATATTCCTTAAGTGAAAACGCTCCCTACTACCAAACTCTGACTTAGTCCCTCTTGCTAAACTTCCAGCGTATTAGAAGTCAAAGACAGAACTCAGAAACTTTCAACTAACAGTTTTGAATTTTTTGTTTGTTTTTGTGGTGGGGGTTGTTGTTGTTTTGTTTGTTTTGCTTTTTTGTTGTTGTTTTTGTTTTAAGACAGGGTTTCTCTGTGTAACAGCCTGGGCTGTCCTGGACCTAGCTCTGTAGACCAAGGCTGGCCTTGAACTCACAGAGGCCTGCACAAGCCTCCTGAGTGCTGGGATTAAAGATATGTACCACCACCACCTGGCCTCAACTAATGTTTATAAAAGAAAATTTAAGCAATATTTTAACATTTAGTCTTCAACTATGTATTGATACTTGTATTTAATTTTCTTGTTTATACTTCTTCACTGTAAGTTTAGTTAACAGAAGATTCTAAAGGCATATTAATGTTAAAATTTTAGAAAAAAACAAAAATAAGTGCTTTAGATGACTCAAATTCATCTGCAGTTACTACTTTTTGGAGTATGAGCTCATGTTACAGCTAACACATTGAAATAATAAAGACTGACCATCACGGGTAGCATGAGATGGTGAAATGGAAATCCTAATTCACGTACAAGTAAAATAAAAACACTCTAACCAGAGCCTAAGTTAAAAATTACAAAATAATCAAGTTGCCACTTTTGTGTAAGAACAAAGATGGTTCTCAGTAGAAAATTGAGAAAAATGAGTATCGACAGTTGACCTATAACAACACATTAATATCTATCTTAAAAGACACAACCTCACTCACTAAAAATGAGATCCTTTTTCTTGCCTATCAGACTAGCAAAAATCCAAATGTTTTCCAGGTGTGGTGGCACAGGTCTTTAATCCCAGCACTAAGCAGGCAGAAGTGGGCGGATCTCTGTGAATTCCAGGACAGCCTAGTCTACAGAGTGAGTTCCAGAGTAGCCTAGTGTACAAAGTGAGTTCTATGACATAGAGACAACCGGATTCAAAACACACACACACAGCAAACAACAAAAACAGTTAACACCACAAAATTTGCCAAACAGAGACTATCAACCATCCACTGGTAATACCAGACCAACACAGGAGAATCTAGCGATACCAAAACAAAATGCCCATGCATTACCTCAAGGCCCTACAATCCCCCTTCTAGAAATCTACCTTAAAGAAATTCTGACAGAAATATATAAAGTATTTAGATTATTTAGTAAAGCACATTTTTCTTGTAACTTTATTGATGATGGCAAAAGATTGAGAATAATTCAAGCACTTAGAACTAAGGGACAAAGAAGATGAAATGTAAAAGAAGACCACATCTACATGGCATGCTGTGCAGAACATGAACTACATGTTCTTATGTATACGGAGTATATGGACAAAATACACACATACTTAGATTTTTTTTTCAACAAGCAATAGAATAAATTAATTAATTAATAGGAACAGTGGCCTAAGAGGAAGGAAGCAAACAGACGGAAGACGATGAAGGTAGGATCCTCCTCTACATGATTTTTGTTCTACGGTTTGACTCTGAATCATTTTTATGTAAATATTTTATATCACTGAAAACTAACACCACTAAGGCAGGCATGGTACTGTTGCAATGGCAGCACCAGGGAGGCTGAATAAGAGGACAACCAGGATTCCAACAGCAGCCTGAGCCACAGGAAATATCAGACAAGCCGGAGCTAAATAGCAAGACTATCAGGAAAAGCAGGAAAGGATAGCAGGCAAGCAGAAAGTCAGTTCAGTCAAATGAGAAACGAGATCCTTAAAAAATCAAAATATATGCAAAAAAAAAGTCTGAATTCAGCTGATGATGCAATCACACACAGAGAAGAACAACTTCAAATGAACTGTTGCTGACATGTATTCTAAAGACAAAAAGATACACAAAGAAATAAAACTACATTTGCAAGCCTTGCCAACAAGAAGGTTAATATTGAAGACCAGGCATGATGGTGCACACCTTTAATCTCAACACTCAGGAGATAGAGGCAGACTGGCCTCCATAAATACAAGGCCACCAGGACTACACAGAGAGACCCTGCCTCAACACACACACACACACACACACACACACACACACACACACACACGATTAATATTGATATTTGGAAATGTATGTATACAATGTGGGATAAAACAGACACATAGTTATAATAACACAAAGTCAATAATCCGACACAGGAAATAGATCAGTGTGGCCTCAAAATATGCTCGATACAGTCTACAGAAAACAAAAATTCAGGGAAGTATAAATCAGTGCCAGGAAGAAGAAATAAGCCACTACCAGAACAGGAGCATGTATAAGAAAAAAGAGGACACGGAGCTACAATAAGGGAGAAAATCTCCAAAATGAAAATGGGGAGAAAACAGAAGAAACAGAACAATGCACACAGGCAGAGTGTTCTCCCTTTGAATTGTGTTTAAAAATTTAAACAGTCACTCGTACCAGGACAGGAGTTGCACAAATGCTTTCTGACTGGATCTGAAACCTCCTCCAGGAAGGAATTTATGCTACTACCATAAGCCTGGTCAACAGCCCATGGCTGGGGCAGTCATAGGTCCTAATGGAGACTCTACTAGAGCTGTTTTACTAAAGAGTGTCAAGCTGCCTTCTAATCTTTAACATTTTTTTACCCATCCATCAGTGCCACTCAGCTCAGCAAACATTTCTGTTTTGCAGTTAACACTGCTTAAAGCGCAGACTCATAACTGGATAAAGTTGAGTGTTGAGCCTTACAGGACATCGTTATTCCCTTTCCAAGGCTCAAGGAATGTAAAGGGGCTGGGGGTAGGGGGTGGGGGATGTGAAGAGCTGGAGAACAGGGGAGGATGTTGTAAAGCAAGGTCTGCTGGACTCGGAGCAGCTGTGGTCACCTGCATGAGAGGACCATCAGCTTCCATCACAGAGAGCGAGAGGGGCTCCTATGACCCATCCCACCCTCCTGCAGGAGCTATTGGCAGTTAATGGTTGTTGAGGGAATTGTTTTATTCATTGGAAGATAACGCTGATGTTCCACTAAAGAGTCCCTGACCTAAATTCACAGGCAATCCTATGTAAGCTCAGTGAGACATAAAACAACCTTGGATGTACAAGGGGAACTTGTTCAACATGAGTGGGCAAGGGATGGAGGAGAGTAAGGAAGAGTAAACATGACAAAGTACATTACAAACTTGCTTGAACTTGTGCTGTGAATGAATAAATTTAAAACGTTTTTAAAGTATAGCTATTATCTTCAATGATTACTTTTACTTTCTCAGCTGGTGCTGTGCTTGAAACCCTGGCTCTGATCTCCAGCACCTCATCAAGCCAGGTAGGTGAACACCCTGAAATCCCAGCACTCAGGGTTAGAGGAAGGGTCTTCCTGGACCCCACCCACTACCCCCACAGGCTAAACAGCCAAGGAAAAGGGCTTCAGAGTTTTCTGCTCCTAGAAAGCAACTGCAAACAAGGCTGCTACTAATGTGCCTCAAGCATACTAGGGCCCAGCCTAAGATAACACTGTCCTCCACGTGGTAACTGGCTGTAGGGGCATGAAGGATGCAAGAGTGAAGGGGCTGTGTATTCCTCCTCCATGACTTCAGACAGCCAGTGAAAGCGGGCAGCACATGCCAGAGGAATCCCTTCAAGGCTGTGAGAAGCCACTGTAAAGCCGGGAAAGTGAATCCTGGATTGTAATCGAGACTGTGACATGTTCAGGAGATGCCCAGGAAAGCGCATAGAGAGAATGGAACCAGCCCAAAAGAGAACTGGAGGAGCAGAGCCCTTCAAACCCTATGGTATGAACACAGAGGCTACAAGATTTGGTGCTTGCCCTGGTGGGTTTGGTCTGGCTTTGGTCCAGTCTTTCCCATGTCCTCATTCCTCCCTTTTGGATGGTAATGGATATTCTATTCTGTGGGGAGCAGATGAAGTCCTGAGTAAACATGTACTGCTGACATGGGCATGGCTACGTCGAGGACTCCAATGCCTCATCCCCATGGCAATGGTGAACCTTCCACAGACGAGGCTCAGAACTATGGCAAAACCTTGCTTTGGGTGCGAGTGTGAATACTGACCGTATGTACAGAAGGGTATGTGTGGCCTGAAGACTACTCCCCTACTGAGATTAGATAAACTTTGTTCCTTAATTCCGCTGTATATCATGAACCATGATATTGTATGTAATAATCCTGCTTCCTTGTTCAGCTGTAGGAAATAACCCTGCCTCCCAGTTCAACAATATATAAGCAGCATGCTCTCTCTGAGCTTCCGGTGCTGTGGCTCCTCCATCAGAGAGCCTAGTCCACCAGCTCCCAGCATTTCTGTCTCTGTGTGTCTTTTCTTCATAACCTTGAGGCCACAGTCAGATCAATCCCTGAGGTCATACAAGGATATGGCACTATTCCTCTGTATATTAGAAGTATGTAACTTGCTTTTTTTATTTTATAGGTGATTACAGTTAACAAATTGCCCTGAGTCTTAAACAGGTGTTCAACTTGGGGTCTCTAAAAATTATTGAGACTGTGACAGACTATGGGGACTTTTGCATTATAATATGGCAACAAGTCTATAGGAGCCAAGTATAATGTGGAGGTTTCAATGAGACATGCTCCCAGTCTAAGGCATCTGAACTCCTGGTCCCCAGCTGCTGACATGGTCTTGGGAAGAGCTGGTGTAGCCTTGTTGGTAGGAATATATCAGTGGGGGCCGACGTTGAGGTTTTGCTTTCCAGTTTGCTCTCTCTGCTTCAGGCTTTCATTTGCGGACATGAGCTCTCAACTTCCTGTTCCAGCCACCATGCCTGCCTTCTGCTGCCATGCTTACCTACTAGAAAATGCATGCCCCTCTAGAACTTACTCGTTTGTAAACTGATTTAGATCATGATGTTTTATCACAGAAACAGAAAGAGAATTAATGCATTAGGCAAAACCACTTGCCTGGTTTTATTGTTGTTGTGCTGTTGTTTTTTGTTTTGGTTTTTCAAGACAGGGCTTCTCTGTGTAACAGTTCTGGCCATCCTGGAATTCACTAGGTAGACCAGATTGACCTCAAACTCACAGATATCCACCTGCCTTTGCCTCCAGAGTGCTGGGATTAAAAGTGTGTGCCACCACCTCCCAGCCCCATTTCTAGTTTCTAAAAGGAAAGAAATTAAATGGCCAACCCAATTACAACAAATTCTAGTGCCATGAAAATCTCAATATAACCAAAATGTTTATAATATTTGTTCAATTCTCTAAATGTCTTACAACTGCCATAATTTAACAGCCGACATCTGACAGTGTTTCCAGTCTATAACAACCCTTCAGAGCTAACATATGCAGGCTCTGCTCTCCTGTGTATCACATCATACGTTCACAAAGTCACTTCATCTGAGAGTGGGCACATGGGATCTGCAACACTGAGCTCACAGAGGGGCAACTGCAAGCACCAGGTACGTGTGGGCTATAAGGACAGGTTTTAAAAACCTAGTAACAGAAAAACCAGTCCATGAATACCAGATATGGAAAAATCCCTCAATTAGACTTACCTTCACTAGCATTTTCTTTCAGCTGCTCTTCATATTCCTGCATTGCTGACACACAACTGTTATGAATCAGCTCCCCCAGGCGTTTCAGGTCTGCCACAGACTTATCCACTAGCTCAGCATCACGTGCTATGCACTCTAGCCTGGAAAAGGACAAAGATCAAGACACTGTGCCACTTTTCTTTCACATGAATGTTCTAGGTCTCTTAAGTGCTTGCTCTTGAAAACTGCTTGCCCTATGAGTCAGTCCAAGGCCAACAAGAACATCGTACAATAGCTAAGACATCCATCATCAAGAACAGCCTTGGGGCTGGAGAGATGACTCAGAGGTCAAGAGCACTGGCTGCTCCTCCAGAGGTCCTGAGTTCAGTTCCCAGCAATTCATGGTGGCTCACAACCATCTATAATGGGGTCTCTGATGCCCTCTTCTGACACGCAGGGAGAATACTGTATACATAATAAATAAATAAAATCTTAAGAAAAAAAAAAAGCCTGGCAGTGGTAGTGCACATCTTTAATCACAGCACTGGGGAGGCAGAGGCTGGCAGATCTATGAGTTTGAAGTCAATCTGGTCTACAGAGGGAGTTCCAGGACAGCCAGGGCTACACACACAGAATCCTGTCCCAGAAAACAACAACAAAAGAATTGCCTTGGGATAAGCAACAAAAATAAAGTGACCCTTTTATCAAAGAGAAGAGGCTCTGATTTTGTTTTCCTCTACAAACGAGCTGCCTACTGCTCTCTGCATGTGAGGTGCCTAAAAAAATACACAAATTAGTTTGCCTTTCTGTGTTCATTTCCTCCTGTCCTGCTCTAGCCACTGTGATCCTCCTAGAAGCACAGGGCAATTACTTCTCCATAATTCACTTCACCTCTCTATCACAGAGCACATAAATCGGCTGACTAAAACCAGGCTGTCTAGAGGCTCACAGACCCACTTTCCATTCCAGTGGGTTTTATACTGACTTCCTCAAAGATGAGAATTTTACATCTGGATGCTCAAAGAGTCCCAGAGAGATGTTGTACCTGACTGTAAAGGACTACTGTGCATCATTGCTTCCTCTCCCAAAGGAAAGACAAAAACAAAGCACACGCTTGGGATGTCCACCAGATCCAGAAGTTTCTAAGTGGCAGGATTCTGACCTGTCTTTTAAATCAGTGCTCTTATGTTGTAATAAGAAGCGGCGGGGCTCCACTCTGTTGAAGGAGCTGCGGTGGGCTGCGTTCCTGCCCAGGTCCGCACGGCTGGCTTTACCCGAAATAATTACACGGAAACTGTATTCTTTTAAACACTGCCTGGCCCATTAGTTTCAGTTTCTTATTGGCTAGCTCTTACATATCGATCTAACCCATTTCTAATAATCTGTGTAGCTCCACGAGCTGGCTTACTAGGAAAGATCTTAACCTGCGTCTGTCTGGAGTGGGAGAATCATGGCGACTCACTGATTCAGCTTCTTTCTCCCAGCAATCTGTTCTGTCTACTCCACCTACCTAATTTTATGTCCTATTAACGGGCCAAGGCAGTCTCTTTATTTAACCAATGAAATCAACACAAAACAGCAGACTCCCACATCACTCTTATCTGAAGGATACAGGATAGCTGCATATAAAGCAAGATACTAAACTATTTGAAATATCAAGATGCTTCTGTTAAAAACCCAACCTCTAAATGTGTACTCTGAACACCAATAACTCACACCTTCTGTAGTACTGTCAAGATAACACAAGTTCCTTATATTATCTTCATGCCATCATGTTACTGGATCATGAAATCACAAAGAACAGGGTTTTCCCTACAGTCCTGTATCAGAGAACTAAGTACCTGCACTGTCACATGGACCCTCTCCCCCCTCCCGGCAAGTATCCCCCCTAGACTACGCATTACCATGCAGTCTGCATGCATGTCCCTCATCTCCCTCACTCAGACAAAACTCCCCAATGGTCAGTCTGCAGCCGCCACCTGTGCCGCCTTTCCGAAATAGGACATGCACCCGGTATATTAATGCTTTAACAGGTGGAAAAACTGCTCCCAAAATTAAATGGAAAATATTACCTCCCCTTACAGAAAAAAAAAAAAAAGCCTGCTATATAGGAAAAAGAAGACAGATCTATTATTGGTCTTACCTTTCAAGAGGGAGACCAAACTTCTTATAAGCCTTGATGAACCTAGGAATATGATCAACAAAATGAATTTAAAAAACCACAAGTATTAACTAAAAATACCACAACATCCTGTCATGAAGTAGGAGCCACACAAACTTTCAAGAGGCTGACAGAATCCCTGCATCTAACAAGTGAACACTGCCATGTTTCTGAAGAGGCCAACTTCACAGTGCTCAAGCACTATTCAGGGCAGACACCACGTTTATGCGCAGTGACAAACCAGGCCCTGGAACTGCGACTGCACTGGCATGTTGTTTTAGACGGGTGGGTGCTCCACCACAATGACACTCTGACATCATTGCTCAGTGACAATTCAGGCCCTTAGCGCTATGCTGAGTTCTCAATCACAATATTTTTTAGTATTTTATGGTTAATGATATAGCTGTTAAGAATTCTATGGCCATCAAATGATTTTTTAAATTAAGCAGAGCCATATACAATACATACATATGCATAAACATATAATTTAAAGCTAATTAGGAAACTGTTTACTGGTACCCACCCTTGTATCCACCAAAGCGCTGGTCTTTCCACTGTCTCTACCTTTAACCACGCTGACTATTCCCCATCTCCCCTCACCGTTTCACGCTAGCTACCAACACTTTCAGTAAAAAGCACGACGGCACAACATATGGTGTGCATCACTGGAACACGCCCAGCCACTATGAAAACCGGCTATGTATCACGTAAGGAAGAAGACCAGGAAAAGAGGAACTAAGATGTGACAGCGGCACTGTAGATGACCAGAGCTAAGAAAGAATCTGAATACAAACTTAGTGAAGTGTTAGACAGGAAAGTGGACCTGAGGGCTATCCCGCGACCCGACATTTCTCCTTAATATAAAATGAAACATTTTCTGTCTGAAATAGTAGGTTTTGAGATGTAAAAGTAGTAAGGAGACTGGGAATTATAGCTCTTCTCTATCATGTATCAGGCCCTGGGTTCAACCTCAGCACTAAAAACAGTGAAAATAATCTTCAATGACACAATAAGGTTATCCAAAATAAAGTTATTTGTTGTTCCTCCACAAAAATAACAAAACCAGCAAGAAAAACTGCCCAGATCAACTCTAAGGAAAACCCAAAAATTAAACACAAGTCTGCAGCCATCTGAAGCATTTGTACAAGAAAATGGCTGACTCTCAGTAAACGCAAAGAGCTTCTGTCACTGCAGTTTGCTTTATTTCCAAATCCTTCTTGAGAAACCTGTGCACAGCAGCCACCAGTGAGGGGGGCCGGTCTGAGACACCTCCGGACCAGCTCCAGAGAGAAGGCATTCTGACTTGACCATGCAAAAGCGGGGTTCTCAGGTTTTACTTTTCTTATTCTTTTCTTCAACTGTTTCTTTTTCTTTTATTAGTATCATATGTATGGGTATTTTGGCTGCATAAATGTCTGTATGCCATGTGTATGCTTGGTGTTCAGGGAGGCAAGAAGAGGGAGTCAGAAGCCCTGGAGCTGAAGTTACAGGAGGTTGTAAGATGTTAGGTGTGTGCTGGGAATGGAATGTGGGTCGTCTGCAAGAGTAGCCAGTGCTATTAAGTGTTGGGCCATCTCCTGGTTTGTCTTTTTTAATGTGAATTAAAACAATCATGTCCACAGGTCATTGGCATTAATCGTATACTAAGGTTTATCGCACAAGTGGCATAAGGCACATCCCCTGGAGATAATATGACACTGGTCAAAAAAATAAAAAGAACTGAAAATTAGATAGATGCCCACAGAATAACCTGAAAGGCTTTGACATACTCCTAGGAATCAAAAAGACAACACATGAGGGGGTTTGCACACATGCAAAGGAAAGGTCTTGGAAGGTCCTAACTTCTACACACATAGATCCTCCAAGTCAGGGTACAGTTGTGGACAGATTCATAGAGCACTAAACAAGATAAATACGAAGTTCCTCAAAGTGGTTAGCAGACTTGCTAGCTTTCAACAAGTGAGATTTCTGCCTGTCATCTGCTAATCGCTGAGCTGAAGGAGCAGAGAATCAAAGGACATGACAAAAAAGACAGACTTTATAAAACAGTTGAGGGAAGTCAGTGAGAAGTCAGCACCCAACTGGTGAGGGAGACTATGCGGCACAGAGTTACCATATCAGATATTTAAAACATTTAGCTTTCACCAGGCAGTGGTTGCACACGTCTTTAATCCCAGCACTCAGGAAACAGAGGCAGATAAATCTCTGTGAGTTCAAAAGCAGCCTGGTCTACAAAGTGAGTTCCAGGACAGCCAGCACTACAGAGAGAAACCCTGTCTCAAAAAACAAACAAACATCTGTTTCTCAAACAAAAACAAAACTATGGCACAGAAAAAAGCAAGTACAAAGAAAGAAGACAAAAGAGAGCAGGAAATCTGCACTTTAAGTCTGGCACCTGAACTCAGAAGACAGCAATCTGCTGTGGTAAACACGCACACGGACCAGAGCAGTTATAACTAAAGAAATAAGAGTCACCTAGTAAGGGAAGGACAGCAGATACATCGGAGAACTGGGGAGACAGTTCAGGAGGACAACACTTGCCCAGCATGCATGCAGCCTTGGGTTTGATTCTAAGAGAGCAAAGGAAAAGGAACAAATAGAAAAATTTTAAAAAGGAGACAAAAAGAATCTTTAGAATTGAAAAGTACAAAAACTGAAATTGAAAGGATCAGAAGAGGATCATGGGAGAAAAAAAAGAATCAACTTGAAAACAGAACAACAACAAAAAGAAAGAATAAAAACTTGATGAACAAATAAGAAGTTAAGATGCTGCCAGACACTGAACAATACAGACTTCATCCTTAGCAGACACACCCTAAAGAGAACACTAACGAGAGCCGGTCGGGAGGAAGCAAGGGCCTTATGCAGCAGCTCAAATCCACACGAAGAAATAAGTGACTCTCAGATTACTGAATGAGAAGCTATAGAAACAGTTTTCAAGTTTTTTTGGTTGAACTCTTCTACCAAACTTCATAAACAATGGCACAAAGCTGATTTGTAAACTGTGGACTTCCAGTATATGAAAAACGTGAGTAACCACAGCATATAAGGAGAAAGAAAGGAGGCAACTGCAGTCAAGATTTTCATAAACCACTAACATTAAATGCTTATGCATCCAGATGTTACTTGAAATTTCCATGGAAACCACCAAAAAAATTCCTAAATTTTTTTTTTAAAAATAGCACTGGAAATGGAAAGAAGGCAGTTAGGATGGCACACTGAAGCCTGCCTAATGACCACAGCAGGCACTGGTAGAGAAACAAAGAAGGAAAGACAGCACTGGACGCAGAAAAACAAACATTGCACTGCATATAATGCATGAAGACAAAGCAAAAAGCTGTCAGAGGAGACTTTGAAAAACTAATTTAACTGAAGGATGCCTACAAGAGGCAAGTTAGATTTAAAAGATGCAGACCAAAATAGAATGATGAGCAATACCACTATCATTTCCATCCCAAATGGCCAAAAAGTGAGCTCAATGTCTAAAACCAATTTAAGTGACAAAAGGCAAGCTGCCAAATAAAGTATTATGTGAGCGACTAGATCAGGCATCCAAACCACTAATGCTCACGAGGACGGGTGCAGCCAAGGGCAGTGTGACCAGCAGAGCTACTCCTACACGTCCACTATCATAAACACAGATATGTGCTGTACACTAAGTCTCCCTTTCGTAAAATTCCTCTTGAAAATAGTCTCAAGAACCAGAAAAAGTAAGGAGATAGAGATGGAAAAGCACCTGTGAGCTCAGCACTCAGAGGTAAAGGCCGGGGTTGAGGACCTCAAAGAAGGGGCTCAAGGCCATCTAGGCTATGCGAGATCTACCTCACCCAAAACTAAAAACAAAAACCTGAAGAAAAGTAAGAAAGCACTCTTCAGGAAGACCTCAGATGCTTTGGCTCTGCCACCCTTCTCTCGTGACCTCTTTCTGCCTACGCTGTCCCGGGTGCCAGGAGCCCACCCACCAAGGCGAGAACACGCACTTCTGCATGTGAGTCCACTGACCTCCGGATCTCTGCGTCCGTAAAGCCCTCCACCAGGTCTTTGCGCACACTGCGGGGGCGCCCTCTGCGCTTTGGCTTCTTATCGTCATCAGAGTCGTCCGTCTCACTCTCAGAAGCAGAGGATCTCTGGGCCTGCCTCTTAGACTCTGTGTCAGAATCACTGTCATTTGTCTGAGCCTGGAAAGGAGAAGGCAAAGTCACAAGTGGTGACTTGGAGGTATATTTAGGTATTGTCAATGTATAGGCAGTACTTAAATTCTGAAATGAACTGAGACAAGACAGAGAGAGTGTCAAGTGTCAAGTCCTGGAATAAAAGGATTAAGAGCGCCGGGCGGTAGTGGCGCAGGCCTTTAATCCCAGCACTCGGGAGGCAGAGGCAGGCGGATCTCTGTGAGTTCGAGACCAGCCTGGTCTACAGAGCTAGTTCCAGGACAGGCTCCAAAACCACAGAGAAACCCTGTCTCGAAAAAACAACAACAACAACAACAACAACAACAAAGGATTAAGAGCAGCCCAGCTTAACTGTTAGCACTCAGACTTCCCATCATATATGACAAGTTAGTTTTTCTTAAACAAATGTCAAGTGTCAGAGAATAAGGGGGGGAGAAACTGTCATTGTTTCAGGGATCTTGCAATGATTAAGTATACTGAATTAAAAATACTTGATTAATTTTTATACTATAATCTATATGATACCTGGTATAAAACAGACAACTACTTTTCTTTATCTTTTTCTCTTTTGTAAAATGAGGATAATAATATGATAGTCTCTCTGAGAAAGGGTTTTCACAAGTATTAAATGCATCAGGAAATGAAAATGTACTCAGAACTATACCTGGCACACAGTAACCATTTAATAGGTGATAATGCCGATTTACAATGATACTAGATAAGCTTAATAGCTCCAACAAAATGGTTACTAAATTTGTTTTCTTACTTCAGTGAAACTGGGTGAGGGGAATGTATCAAAATGCTTATGAAAGACTGAGTAAGCTGTACAGCCTGTGGACGGCCTCCATTAGTCATGCAATCTTTTACTATTTAGACCCAGTAATGTCAACATTTAAGGACAAAAAAAATGTGGCACTCTGAAGGCTGAGACAGTAACTGTGAGAACCGACTGTCACGACTGTCAGCAGTTTCAACCTCAAAGGCAAAACACAAACTTCTGTAGACTCAGAACCATCCAGGCATTTCTTGGAAAGCCAATCATGGAAGACTAAGGAAGAAGTCACAAGGACGAGCCCCTTTGGGCCCCGGCCTCCCTGCTTGCCCCCCTGCAGGCCTGTATCAAGGCCTTACCCCTAACTAATCTGCACCTGCCGTGACGTATAGCACAAGGCAAACTTTCATTTCACCTTTTTGGTGGAACTACGAATCCGTGGCAGCATATAAATTTCTTCTAGCTCCTTCTGCCGTTCCTCCTCCTCCACTTTTTTCCTCTGCTCTTCTGGAATGATCTCATCCCAGTCCTTGTGAGGACGCTCTTCTAGCTCCTCTTCATCCTCCATTGTTGCAAAGTTGGCAACCTGAAAGTGAACAGGGACAATCCCATCTGACATTTCTCCACTTCCAAACACCAGCTGCCAAGCAGACGGCTTTTTAATATAGAACACTGTAATAAACTCACAATATTACATAATCAAAACCACTTTTTTATTACTATTCTACCCTTTTATTTATAAGTTCATGAAAAATTTTATTAAAAATTAGGGAACTAGATACAGAAATATAAAGACTGTAAATTTTATTGAAGGTTGTTAACTGTTGTAAACTATCCGGCAGCTGATCATCCATGATGATCTCGCATCTCTCAACTGTGACGAGCAGCAACCCTGAGCCTGCACTCAAGTCAACCCATAACTTACTCACTTTCCTCACAAGCAGAAGCAGCAGAACGCACGTAAAGATTACATCACTCAAAAGTGCATTTTAACCTTAGGCAGAAAATGGTAATCAGCAATGTGCTGACTGTGTTTGAATAATTTATGTATGTATAATTTTTTTGTATCTAAATAATCATGTACAATTCTAATCAAAACATCATAAGATCACACATGAGGAGAGTCACAGAGGTAGAATCAGGTTCAATGTTTCTGCCCCCTCAAAATTCATGTGTTGCAGAGTTAGGCCTTTGACATCTCTGACATCTGATGTTATGAATGTCTCCCATGTCCAGTCTTTTGCTTATCCCGCTAGCAACGTACTGTGACTCATTAGTGTCTTTTCCTCTGCACCTGACTCTAGGAAGGAAGGCTTGCTTCTGTGGTTACCTTCATGGGGATACTGTAGACTACATTCCGAACAGCCTCACTCATAATGACACTGAGCATGAGTTGATTCGGGGAAGAGCAAGTCTAGTACCGGAGGAAGTGCTCTAGACACAAGGAGGTCCTGGTAATAAATAAAGGCCTCCCTACCTTAAACTGTGACAGAAGCTCATCCGTCGCACTAGTTGACACTTCATTTTCTCTGGTTTCAGCTAAGCGCAGAATTTCATCTATATCCATTTCCTGGAACAAAAATGGCACAGGTACCGTGAGACAGCAGTGGTCCCAGCATTTGCTAAAGCGTCAGTGCGCGCTGACAGCCTTCCAGCAACACTATTTACTCTGACAGCCTCGGTCTCCATCTTCCACACCCAGCCTGTCACACTGATACTTATTCACGCAATGAGGCAAAATTCAAGGAGTTCTAGGAAAAATCACTATGGAGAAATACAGACTCCTTCAGTGTTGGATCCCTTCCTCTTTAAGAGCTTTGAATTAGCACAGAAAAATAAGTAAAACAGAATCCCTAACCCTGCAAATAATTACTTTCCTTATATAAACATCTGTAACAAGGAATCTACTTCCTGAAAATTTTAGATGCTCACAAAATATTCTTTAAAAAAAACAAAAAAAAAATTCTACTAGTGCATCTTTACTATAAAAGTGATGGGTTACACAACTACACTTCTTTACTATAAAGTGATGGTTACACAACTACACTTCTTTACTATAAAGTAATGGGTTACACAACTACACTTCTTTACTATAAAGTGATGGTTACACAACTACACTTCTTTACTATAAAGTGATGGGTTACACAACTACACTTCTTTACTATAAAGTGATGGTTACACAACTACACTTCTTTACTATAAAGTAATGGGTTACACAACTACACTTCTTTACTATAAAGTGATGGTTACACAACTACACTTCTTTACTATAAAGTGATGGGTTACTATGAAACATCTGTGGTACCTACTATGATCTCTTTGGGTACAGCCCCAGTGGTGCTACAGCTGGAGCATGTGGTAGTTCCATTTTTAATTTCGAGAACCTTCATACTGATTCCCATAGCGGCTATAACAGTTCATTTCTAGGCTCTGAGTTGATTACCTGAGGCTCTGACTCCTCTCCTTCAATTTCTTTGAAGAGATCCTCTGCTCCAAATTTCAAGATAGCAGTCAGCTCTTCTTTATTAAAAGGGTTAGAGCTGTAAAGTAAAATATAGTTGTGACCCTAAGTGAGGGCTGGTGGGACAGCACAGTGTGTAAAGCCAAGCCTGAGACTATCTGCGCTCAATTCCCAAAACCCACATGGTGGAGGAAAAAACAAGTTATCCTCTACCCCACACTCGGACAGAGACACAAGTGTGCCCCCTCCATTCCCTCAAAAATAAAAATAAAATTTTAAGAGGGCTAGAAATATGGCTTAGTGGGCATGAGCCTTTTTGCTGCTTTTCCATAAGACTTGGGTTGGTTCCCAGCATACTCAGTGACTCACAGCCACCTGTAACTCAGGTTACAAACTACAATGCCTTCTTCTGGCTTACTGGGTAAGGGCCTCTGTCCCAAGCCTGACGACCTGAGTTTGATCCCCAGGAATGACATGGTAGAAGCAGAAGACCAATTCTTGCTTCCAACCTCCACATGCAGACACACACATCCATGGTGGAAGGGGAGGGCAACACCACCCTTACAGCACCAATGAGTGGACAAACACTTCCTGTGGAGAACCCTGTGAAACCTGCCAAGTGCTGGTGGGAACAAGGTGGGCTTTCTCTCAGCCTTGCTACACTTACTTGGATCTTCCTGAGTTGTTTTCGAGAACTGTCCTGCCAGTGGTGTCCATGCGCTGGATCACCAGATGGTCCAACACCATCTTCTTTTTGGCCCGCTCTATGATCTCCTCTTCCACAGTCCCCTTTGTAACCAAGCGGTAAATATTCACCTGTAAAAAAAGGATATGTTTATTTCCAGCTAAAGCAAAAATTTCTTCAAGAGGGGGAAGAAAAGTCATTTTGTTCTCTTGTACCACATTATGACTACGTCGGCTGGAACAAGCAGGGAGGCAGGTGGGTGTAACAGGCTACACTCCTAAAGGAACGCACTTCTGCAGACATCACAGCCTGCTTCTGGACCAACATCTTCCCAACAATAATCATTACGAACACTAAATCACTAGCCAATATGAACTTATACGTTAGCCAATAGGAAAGCAATCTTGCAGATCCACCGACAAAACAGTCGTTGCAGATGACACTGTCATGGAGAACAGACTTGACTACTTAGCCATGCTCTTAACACAGGAGAGGGTCTGCTCTAAGTCTGCTCCTCATACAGCTTTCCTGGTAAACGTGTAGTCACTCATGACAGACTTTAGTTACACTGTTTCCTGTCATTGTCATAACCCCCCTCCCCTGCCACAACTGAAGAGCAAATCCAGGGCCTTGTGCTTGCTACCACTGAGCTTAATTCCCAACCCTCATGACGGACTTATCAAATAGAGCTGGGTTAAGAGTCCATACTAGGAAGCCCAAAGACATCTCTTTTCTGAACAAGTTGATAAAGAGAAGGCAATGCAGTGGGGAAATAAACATCTTACAAACAGTCTGACAGGGAAGAATAAACCTCTGCCTGCAGGCCCAAGTGACTGCCAGAGACCATCCCTACTGACCTGCTTCTTCTGGCCAATCCTATGCGCTCGGGCTTGTGCCTGCAAGTCGTTCTGGGGGTTCCAGTCAGAGTCAAAGATAACCACTGTGTCCGCTGAAGCCAGATTGATTCCCAGGCCACCAGCCCGTGTAGAGAGCAGGAAGCAGAAGTCCTGTACACAATGCAATACACTACTTTATGCAGTGACCTTCTCAGAGACAGTCTCACAGTCCAATAATCCCTCACACCTGAAAACCCCTGCAGGTGTGAAGAAAAGTGAGCTATGGTGGACTAACTTTATGGAGGCTAAAGGAACTCAAGGAATTGAGACAAAGGGACTTCTCATTTGATGAAGAGGAAGAATCAGTGCAGGGAACAAAGGAGTGCAGTAGAATCCACTAATGCAGCAGGGACACGAGATTCATGTCCCAGCAAAAACTAGAGTATACAAGTTAAGCACACACACCACACACCCAGTCCTCACGAGACTGTTTAGCAAGCTACCCAGAACATGTATGTAAGGTGGCTAGCACATGCAGACATATTTCACATCTGTGTGTCTGCCCACTTTTAGATGTGAGAGAACAGTTACATTCAAAAAACAAGCCTGCTGAGAAGCATGGGAACTGCAATCACTATGGTGTGTGACAAAGACTGGGCCCTAACATCTTCTAGTTTCCATAGCAATAAGAGACTACACAGGTATGGTATACCTGCCTTATCTCTCCAGGTGAGTGCTCACAAAAACAGGAAACTGCAAAGCTATGCAATTAATATTATTATTTCAGAGCATTTGATCATCTGTATCAAAAGCTGGCGCTTCTATTCTCTATTTTTTCTTTTGTACATTTTTTAGTGTGTGTGTGTATGTGTGTTTGTGTGTGTGTGTATGAAAAAGACAATCCTGAGCCATTTCACTAGCCTGCAAAAGTTGATGCCTTCTATGTACAAAACTATTGCTAAAAAACTGGTCTGGGTTCAAGTAGGGTGGCATACACTTATAATTCAGCACTCAGGAAGAAGGGGAAGGAGGGTGAGGATTTCAGGGCCATCCACAGTTATATATTGAGTCTGAGATCACCCTGGGCTACATGAGACACTGTCTCTAAAAACAAAGACAAACAAAATAAATAAAGAAACTGCTGACTTGAGGAATAAACTTCAATAAATGGATATATTTCACAAATGACAGATGAGACAGATAGACAGACAGACACAACAGACAGAGAGAAAGTGCTTCACAGTCTAACAGTCATAATCAAGCCATGAATACACAAGTGGGAGAGAGATACCTTCCAATATAGTTAATCACAATAAAAACTGGTAACCAGCTGAGACTACAAATAGTGTGAATGCCTCTCTTAGGAGAGGCCTAGAGAGCAACAGACAACACTGCAGGATAAGATGCTAAGCTGTAAAGAAAACCTGAACATCACATGGTCTCATAAACAACTTGCAGTATCACAAAGATAATATAAATTGCATGTTATTTCTATTATCAAAATAATGGTTAAAAAGATTGTGAAGCTTGATGCTGCTAAAAGTAACATAAAATGGGAGTATTTGTACATGACCATATAATTATAAATTATTTTATAAAAGTGAACAAAATACATCAAAATACTTTTCAAGTTCTCATTATTTTGTAACTATTTCAAACAATAATAAAATGGCTAAAGAAATAGCAGGAGCTGGAGAGATGGCTCAGTGGTTCAGAGTACTTGCTGTTCTTATAGAAGATCCAAGTTCAGTTCCTGGTACCCACATGTCACAAACATTTGTTAACTCCTGTTCCAAGGAATCCAATGCCCTCTTCTGGTCTCCTTGGATACCAGGCACATACGTAGTATAATACATATATACATGCTAAAGAGTCACCACATAAAATAAAAAGTAATAGTGGAGACATGAAAAAATACTAAGAATCAAATTCAATATTGAGCTAGGGATGTAGCTTGGTGGCAGAGTGCCTGGCATGCACAAGGACCTGGGTTCAACCTCATAGGGGTTGGTGGTGGGGGGGGGGGGGTGTCCTAAGGTTTTTAATGACATGGGAAAAAACTTACAAGTATAATTTTGACTAAGAGAAGCTGAAATCATGTACAGCAAGATTACAATCAGGTAAATACAACAAGATGAATGGTTCAATCTGTACATACAGACAGCAATGTGTGAAGCCTGTGTCACTAGTTGAAGACTTCATTTAGGGATTCTTCACCATCTATAACATCTGATCAATGGGCATGTACTGTCTTCCCCCAGATAAGTTTAAAATTAATTTTAAAAGGCTATAGAATGTCAGAGAAACCACAGTTTACATATGGCTATCAGAGAGAATGAGAACCAAAAAAATAAAGCCATACAAAAAATAAACTTCAGATTTTCTCTGAAAAGGAAATAGAACATTTAACTCATATTATCTTTTAAATCTAGATAAGGGAACAGTGTCATCTTGGATAAAAACCATAATAAAAACTGCTGGTATTCTATTAAGCACCTATCACATGTCAAGGGATGTGATGAGTACTGTAAACTGCCACGTTTCACCCTCAAGGCAATATTAGAAAGTGGGGCTCAGAGCCACTGTGATTTTACACTAGAGAAATTGGAGGAGAAAGAGGGATGAGACTAATGTTTTCATGGTCTAATTCCACCGCTGTGTTTCTCAATACAGTATCACCCTTCAGAAGAAAGCATCCAGAGCACTGTCTTATGAGGACCACCTAAACTCAGAGACAGAAGGCCTATCATTCTGAAATAATTAAGGAGACACTGAGTTTTTAAAACCCTTCAGACAGCAGAACATAAATCTGTTCTATCTACAAAAAACAAAAAACAAACCAAAAAAAAAACTATGCTTCTAGACATTAGAATTCTGTCCCGGCAGCTAGGCTGCCTCCACTGATATCTTTCTTACATGTTACCAGTTCTACTTACACTAAAGCTCTTTACCCACACTTCTCCTAAATCTGTCATCTGGCCAATTGATATGCAGACTATAATGTACTCAGGGTTTCTAACTTGGTTAAAGTAGCTCTAATATAGATGCGCCCAAGCCAAAACATTTTACAAAACCAATCCCAAGTGGGACATTTAGTAATGTAGCACTGTAGCTATGAAGCTATGAAGAGATCCCACCAGGAGTCTAACATTGGCAGATACACTGTTCAAGCATCAGCACCAGGACAGGACAGAGAAGAACCTTGGACAACCTTGCACACTAAAGTTAACACCACTGGCCTGGCCCAGCCGTGCTCTTGCCTTGCGGTCTTTCAAACCCATAAATTTCGTAAGCCAGTAGAAAAGATTACTAGTTCAAGGGAGCTAGGAAAGCATGCTTGAGCAGTGAGGACAACAAAAAAGCATCGCTTATAGTAGGGCTTTCCTGTTCCCCTCAAGACAGAAGCAGTTTGCACAAAATGTTTCAGAAACAGAATACAATGAGCTGGAAAGACTTCCTGTTGATACAAAGTCCAAGTTGTCCAAATAATAAGCCATGTATAATGTACCTCAGAACCGTCTGCATTGAAGTGATCCAATGCCTGTTTTCGGATCTCTCCCTTGATAGAACCATCCAGGCGCTGGAAAAAGAAACCACAAGAAAAATCTTAAGTGAGGAAGATCAGCTACCCTCAGAACAGAACATCAGACTTGCAACCTTTATCTCCCAGACACGCACTGAGTAAAAATAACTGGAAATCATTGGCAAAGTACAAGGAAGGGGTCCTGTGTAAACAGCATGGCTGCTGTGACCTGAGCTCTCCAGTTACAAAGTCAAGGTTCTGATTCACAGGACTGTCTGGGCTTATCCAAGGATCAAACCTTCAGCCAAAACCTACAAGGAGAGAGATGAGAAGCCAGCCTGTGTAACGAGGACAGAGTACCTCTGGACACTTACCAAGATTAAGTGCTATACACCAAAACATAAACATTTAGATACTACTGAAAATGTTCAAATTAAATGATCATATATGCCAATTTTTTCTAAAATTTATACTCTAAAATTATATAAAATGTTCAAATACTGTATCACCAACTGAGCCTCAGACACTCATCTGTACATAGAATCTTTTGTTTCTTTTGTTTTGTTTTTTTTTGTTTTTTGAGACAGCATTTCTCTGTGTAGCTCTGGCTCTTTGGGAACTCACTCTGTAGATCAGGCTGGCCTCAAACTCAGAAAAGAATTTTTTATTAGTTAGAAAATATGTCACTTCCAGGTATAGGACAGTCAATAGATATTATTCAATAGAAATATTCAATACATACAAAGCAAATACAAAATGTTGTATGTAAAAGGCATTTCTCAATATTCAGAACTTTCACACTGCATCCCTTAAAATCAACTCTTGAAACACTGAATTTGCAAAAGGCCAAGCTGATCCAAGCAAAGTCGGAAAGGACCTCCATCTCCCCAAGGCCATGAACGCCAGCCACCCCTAAACATCAGCTCCACAGGGTCCTTGTGCCTCTCAACAACTACCTCTACTCCCTTTATCTACAACAAATCTGCACAAAGACTGGAACCAAAGGCATTTACAAAGACAGGTTCACAGTCAGTATCTGAAATAAGAAACCCCTCTTATAAGTCCCAGCAGCAAGGAGCACTTAGACAATTCTACTGAGAATCACTACAACTTGCTCTGGGAAGTTCTGCTTTGCTCCCAACCTCAAACCAAGGCCACATTCTATGGGGTTAAGATAAAATAACGCTGCCTCTTTTCTTCTGCGGATTTGGGATTCTATAATCAGATTCACACTTACTACTGTCTACTTTGACAACAGACATGGATAGATTGGAACATTTCTTTTGCCCATCTTTTCTGTCACCTTGTCCTGACGCTAATGATCGTGGCTACACTCAGTGGGTAGAGAGCATTTGCTGCACAGACCTAAGGACCTGAGCTTGAGCTCAGAGCCCATGGTGAAAGGAGAAAAACAACTGCTCAGAGTTAGCCTCTGCTCTTCACACAGGCACCATGGCACACAGATGCCTATGCATGCATCATTACTCAATTCTTTCTAAAAGTAAAGAAACTGTTGCTGGGCATAGTGGCACACACTTTAAATCCCAGCACTTGGGAAACATAGGCAGATAGATCTCTGTGAGTTTGAGACGAGCCTAGGCTACATAGTTAAGTTCCAGAAAAGCCAAGACTATATATAGAGAAAGCAAAAATAAATTGTCTTTGTTTCTGTGTTTTAAGAATGACCTTCACATGTTCATTATCATAACAGAGTAGTCTAAAGGCATGAAGAAAAACTGAAGCCTTCCCAGAATCTTAATTTCAGACGCTTTTCAGGATAGAAAACTTGTCCTCTACTCCAGTAAAGTGGGGAAGAGAGAAGATAGACAGACAGACTATGTGAGAGCAGTAACTGAGCAGTCTTACCTGGAAAGGGTAGTGTTTGATAGTTAGGTACTCGGCCAGAATATCCAACATCCTCACCATCTGAGAGAAGATAAGGACTCTGTTTCCCCTTTCCCGGAGTCTTGTCAACAGTTTGTCCAACAGAATCAGCTTCCCACTGCTCCTGATAAGGGACTGAAGATTCAGAAGATGACTCAACCATTAAATTCAAACACAACATTGACAAAAAGTTCTTTAAACATGACACCCACAGTACTATGCTTCCTGCACTTTACTTAAGTTTTTTCATCATTTTTGTTTGGAGACAAGGTCTCACTATGCAGACCAAGTGAACCCTGAATTGTCCTCAAACTCAAGACCCTTCTGCCCCCACAACATCCCATCACATCCAAGGGCTCCCTCAACTCCACACCAGTACTGATATCTGACTTTTCTCATGTTTTTCAAAGCTTCTTCTGATGCCCCGTGAAGGGTAACCAAGGAAGAGAAGGAACACTTTGACTGCTGCGAAGGCGGTTCCATGAAGGAGGAACTGCACACCTGGAGGACCTCCTGCCCGTTCTCCCTCTCGTTCTCCTCTGGAGCTTTGATCAGGTAGCAGTGGTTGCAGCATTTCTTCAGCTCCATCACAATATTAAGAAAGCCGGATGTGCTGCCCCTGGTTCCTTTGGCAAGAGCCTTGTAATTCCTGGTCAGGATCCACCTGCAAATTGACAACATTTGCAAATAAGCAGAGTTTATGGTACCATAAGAAATAAAAGCTAAAAGACAAGAGAGACTTTTACTTTCTATTACCTAACTGTGATCACTCACATCTCCATGTAGAAGCGAAAACATCAATGAGTCTACTGAGTGTGTCACAGAACACTAAAGGACAATTCTGGAAAGTTACATACACACTCATATATACATATGTATGTACATGTCCGGGGGGGGGGGAGGAATAAGGGACTATCACTGAAGCACTTTTACAGAAATTTTTAAAAGGGAGAGTAAGTCATCTAACAGTAAGACACTGGTTAAGCTAACAGACTGTGGAAGCTAGCACGGTGCACATCTGTAATCCCAGCACTCAGCAGGCCATGGTAAGAGGACTGTCAGTGCAGTCAGCACGGGCTATAGTGAGAGAACTTGTCTCCAAAAAATACAGAGACCACATGTGTGTGTATTATATATTCATTATATATGTATCAATTTTAAGAGATTGAAAAGGAGTATTTTATAGTACAAAATGCTAAATAATGTTAAGTATTAACGTTTTATATTACCAATTTGAAATGATGAGGAGAAATATATATATTATGGTATACTTATAGATAAGCCTTAGTAATAAACTCCAAAATGTTTAAAGTACCTTTATCTGAGTAATGGCATCTTTACATTTCTCATAATAACCACAGTTTGGGGAATGTATCTCACAACGCTCACTGCATCACATTTATAAAGCCAAAGTACTTGAAAAGGTCCATGTGTGCACACCAGAGAATGGGACAAATAAACCGCAGGTCCACACTCAGATGAGATGGTTGGTACTCCCAGATAAGAGTACCATGATGGTGCACAACTAAATCCAGTCCTTAATCCCAGCACTCAGGAGCCGAGTCTAGAGGAGTATCAAGTTCAAGGCCAAAAGAGACGAAACAGGGAGATTCTACCAAAAGGGTTGGGGAGGGAAATGGGTGGCAGCCAGAAACATCATGCCTGTAACTCCAGCAACCAATACTCTGGGGTAGAAGAAAGGAGACCTGCAGACTACTCAGGTCACAAGTAGAGAATACTGGTATTCTTTAAGTGTAAGGAATTCATTAATTCTATCCACCAAGAGCACCCCTAGACCACAAGTCTGCAGTCTACATGTACAATCTCCCAGTAAAATAGTAGGTATAATTCCTAACTGCTTGGCTCCGGTTTGAGAGAGTAAAAGGAGATGAACATGAAACACTCTACTGTTTTAGAGGGTAAAGCAGCTATCAACTACAATAAGGATAGCATTCCTATCCTATCCCAGAACTCCAAACTCCAAACCATTCTAAGTATGAACATGATTCCACAAATGGAAAATTCCACACCAGACCTGATACCAAACAGTCAAATGCAAGTGCGCTAAAAACATACATAAAGTGTACACATATACGTGTACACACATGAACATGTTACACACACACACACACACACACACACCTTACAAAATCAATGTGGTGGAACACACAGTACTAGGAGGCTGAGGTCAACTTGATGTACACACAAGACTCTATCTTGAAAAGAAACATTTTCAAAGGCCAAGGTTTTTCTTTAAGAATTAATATATGAAAAAGACATACTAACAAATTGTAATGGAGAGAATTATGCAGATTCCCAAACAAAAAGCATGAATGTTCCTATGCGTGTGTGTGCGCGTCAACTGGGAAATGTAAACGTTCTGTGGAGATTATTAAATTGTTAAGGAATTATTAACTACTTTTAAGCATGGTAACAGGATAAATTTTTGATTAAGAAGTGCTTCTCTTTTGAAGATACACACCAAAAGAGGAGTAGAAGAAAACATAAAGGTAGACTAATTAATGGCCACTGAAGCTGGATTATGAGCAGATGAGTAAACACTGTACTATTTTTGCTTATACTTGAAATGCCCCATAATAATATCTCTAAAAGCCAAATGGGAGTTTGGAACCACCTAAAGTTCAGCAAAGTCTGCCCCAGCACATATGAGGTCCTAGTCTGATCTTCCAGAAACATGTATATGCACACACATTAATGCACAACGTTTTATGAAAATTAAATGTGAAAGCTGATAACAAACACATTTTATTCTGTCATCTATGCCGGATTCACTATTTTCAAATTTCAGTAATAATACAGTGAGCCAAAAACATGGCTTTGGCCATACTGCTTGGAATGGTAGACAGGAAGGAGTATTCACTGTTGATGGAGGAAGGTCATTGGCCAATAAAGAAACTGCTTGGCCCTGTGGGTGGAGTAAACAGAACAAAATGCTGGGAGGAAGAGGAAGTGAGGTCAGTCTCCACAGCGCTCCTCTCTGGAGCAGATGCCTGAGAGAGACGCCATGCCCTGCTCCCCGCATGAAGCTCCGACCCAGGATGGACTAGGCTAGAATCTTCCCGGTAAGACCGGTTCTCACAGATTATTAGAGATGGGTTGATCGGGATGTGAGAATTAGCCTGTAAGCGCTAGAGCTAAAGGGCCAAGCAGTGCTTAAAAGAATACAGTGTCTGTGTAATTATTTTGGGGCATAAGCTAGCCGAGCAGGCGGCCGGGGTGCTGGGAACGCAGCCCCGCCGCCGCTCTTATTACTTCACACTGTTCTAGAGGTGAGAGCTATCTCTCCTGGACTTTCAAAAGCCCTTGCAAGTCACATTCCTGTCTTAAATGAGACTGTGTTGTAATGACCTGTTTCTAGCCGTACAACAAGGCTTCGGGAAGGGACATGTTTCATTCATCTCTATTATTCCCAATAGCTAGAAGAATGCCTAGCATTAAAAACTTCACAAGAGATTTATTGAATGGAAAACAAAAATTGTCTAGTTTAACCAATACCTACTTAGTATAGGAGTATTAGCACTAGAAATTACGGGCTGCAGAGCTGGTTTGGTAATTAAGAGCACTGGCTGATCTTGTAGAGGACCTGGGTTTGGGCCCCAGGACAGAATTGGTGGTCCACAACCATCCTTAACTCCAGTTCCACGAGATCTGACACCCTCTTCTAATCTCTGCAGGTAACAGGCATGCATGTGGTACATGTATACATGCAGGAAAAACACTCATATAAATACAACATAAAATAAATAAATCTTCCCAAAAAATGTTTTGCTTGAAAAATTTCTGATTGTTTATGTAACAAGAATTGCGTGGAAATTCTCGCTTACTCAAAGAAAAACAAATTCCCTTTTTTTTTCTAACTGAGTATGAATTTTAACCTAATTCTGTGTTGAGTCTACAAAGCTCAATGATTACCCATGGCTGAAATCCAATTCCTACTGCTATAAGAAAGCAAAGCTTAGGCTCAGGCCTGTTCCTAGTATTCTATAGGGAGGTGGAACTCTTGAGTTCAAGACCAGGTAGAATTACATAGAGAGACCCTGTCTCAAAAAAAAACAAAATAAAAAAATAGAAAACTTTACTACTGAGAACTCGCCAGATTGGCAAGGGTCTAGACTTAATTACTTTTAAAAAGGCACATCTTGCTTATGACTCATCTAGCTCGTAGCAGGAACTTACTTATAATACTGTTTCTGAAGGGCTGACATCTCCACCCTGAGAATCTGCTCCACTTTGGCAGGAAGTGATTTCTCCACATCTTTTTTGACTCTCCGAAGAAGGAAGGGCTCTAGTACCTTATGAAGACTCTGATAGCCATTCTCTCTCCCCTTTCCATGGTCTTCTTCAAAATCTTCCCAGAACTCAAACCTACGGATGAAATTGTCACCATCAGTTATATGAAAAGAAGAACATTTTCACAACAAATAAGAACTGAACTAGGGGGGCTTGGAGAGGATTTTAAAACAAAATAACCTTCAATCCTTCAATTCATCCCGCAGGGAAAGGCAAAATTTGTTCATCACTGAATCTTCAACAAAAAAGAAGGGAATAAAAAAAATCTAATTCTAAAATTTCAAAAAGCGACAAGGTGGCTCAGCAGGGGGACAACAGCAATTCATCATGGTCTGTGTTCTGGTTGATGCAGTGTGGTCAGCTGCAGCCACTATCGACAATGTGCTGTGTACTAAAATTGAAAGCCAAAAATCACCCTTCCTCAGGTTGCTTCTGTCAGGGATTTTGTGGGAAATTGTGTAAAGTAATTGATACGGCTACTACTGACTATGATCTCCAGGGAAGGAAAGAGGGATCCAGTAAGCAGACAGGGACAAAGAACAGCAATGAGAAAGGACATACATGCAGCAAATAGAGAGATATATCATCCAGAACTCTAAATAGTGCTGTTCTGTCGATGGTTACCTCTCCACCCCCAAGGGAGACACTGGTAATGTCTGGAGACATTTTTAGTTGTGACACCTGCCTGCATTGCATAGACGCCAAGAATACTGCTAGATGTCCTACATACAAGGAAAATGACACAAGGCAGCTGGGGTGAGGGTGGGAGAGTCCAGTCCAACCCAAAGGTAAGAAGCCCAGCACTATGAGATAGGACTAAATGGAGGGGTGCAGAGAACTCTGCTCGCAGAAAAATACTGTAGTGAGGAAAGGGAGAGAGGAGAGAGGGGGAAGGGAGGGGAGGGGTAGGGAGAGTAGAGGAGAGAAAGGAAGGGGAGAGATGGGGAGGGGAAGGAAGGGGAGGGGAGAAAGAAGGATCAGCCCAAAGTTCATCTGCTCAAGTAACAACTGCAGTGGAGCTAGCCCAAGAGATTCCATGTCTCAAACCACCATAGGGGATCCTAAACAGTCTCACAAATAATACTGTTTCAAAAAGGTCAAAAGCAAATAAAGACAATAAACTTGCTGCCTATAGGTCTGCCTTACAAGAAACACTAAAGTTAGCCCTTTGAGCTAAAAAAAAAAAAAAAAAAAAAAAAAAAAACTCAATCCACAGGAAGAAATAAAGATCACCTGGAAACGATAAAATACAAGTGTTATTTTTCTCTTTTCAGTGCTTCCTTAAAAGGCAAACCAGTATTAACCAATAATTACTGCTGTATTCTTGAGTTTCTAGCCAAGAGAATTTAAGGTGGAGCCATTGTGGAACAAAGCTGCTACCCTTCTTAAGAATTAAGCTGGCATTAGCCTGGAGATTAGGCTGAACTACAGAATCCCTAGACAATCCAAGAGTAAATCATTTTAAAATAGTAACATAGACTAAGAGAAGAATTACACAGTACACTAAAAATACATACACTAAGCAAAGCAGAGAAGGAGAACTAGGAATAAACAAGAACCATGGAAACAAGTAGCCAAATGACAGGAACAGATCCAACCCTATCACTATTTATATCCAAGAAACTGCCTCAACTAATCAAAAAATAAATAACTTGTATCTAATGCTCTGTTTCCCAGTTTTCACCAATTCCATCCAACACCAAGGTTCTACAGAACATTAACTAAGGCAAGATATAAAGAGCATTCACATAAGAAAGACACTGAAAAGCCTGTACCTGTAGAAATATGGTCCCCAAAGTAAAAATACAAAAAAATTGGTAACAATAAAAAAGTTATAAAAACAAATTTATGAACACCAGATAAATATGTAACCCTCAAACATAACCCTACATTAACTGGAGCTCTAGACCCTAACCACAGCTCTATACTCAACTGTAGCTGTAGACCAGTAATTCTCAACCTTCCTCATGCTGCAACCCTTTAATACAATTCCTCATGGTGTGGTGACCCCAACCAGAAAATTATTTTCAGTGCTACTTCATGACTGTAATTTTCCTGCTTTATAAATCATAATGTAAATATCTATGTTTTAATGTAAATATCTGTGTTTTCCAATGGTCTTAGGAAACCCTTGTCAAATGACCCCTGTCATTGACCCACAATCCGAAAACCACTGCTTTAGTCTCTAGCTCTATCCTCAACTGTAGCTCAAGACTCTAGTACAGTATAAATGTGAGATGAAGAAAACAACATAAAAGGGCCCAGAATATATGATGAGCTCAGTAGGGAGACTGACCCACTCAGCACACAAGGATTTCAGCGTTTTAAGGAAACAACAAAGCACCTTAACTGATACCTAGATTCAAGGCAATCCCAACAAAACTACAGTAGGTTCTTCCCCCAGAAATTAATGAGCTGATTGTGAAGCAGGGATGCAAAGCCCTTACGAGTACACGAAATGCTCTAAGAAAGAAAGAAACGGATTCTTATACTTCTCCATGTTAAACACCAGTAGGAAGCAAACACTCAAGACTGCTGTGCAGACGAACAGAAATAAGTATCACAGCCCAGGACTGACAGACCAGAAGCAAATCCTGTCTCTATTAACATTTCCAACAAAAGACACGTCTTCAACAATAATGCTGGAACAAATGTCCAGACTGCTCAGTGAAGAAAAATGAATCAAGGTCCTCACACTCCATATACTAAATGCCTCAAAGTAAAATACGCACCTAATGTGACAGCTAAAATGTCTTCATAGCCCATGGTTAGGCCTATCTATTCTACACATGTCACACAAAAAATTACTTGATAAAAGCCAATCATACACTTTATTTAGACAAAAGTGCTTTATTGAGAGCACCTGTATCCAGAAGTGTTTTTAAAGAAATAAATTGTTCAACCCATATATTGTCAACTCAATTTTAAAAAACCAAAGCTATGCTTTTTAAATTCTATTTATCTTTATTTTATGTGTATAAGTGTTCGCCAGCATGTATGTTAATATACTAAGTACATGCAGTGCCTGCAGAGACTAAAAGAGATTGCAAATTCCCTGGAACTGGAGTTACAGACTCCATGTTAGCCACCATGGAGTTTTTAGGAACTGAACCCAGATCCTCTCAAGAGCAGCAAATGCTCTTAACCACTAAGCCAGCTCGCTAGTTTCAATTTTTCTAATTTTCTTAACAGGAAAAGATAATGAATAAAGATTTCACTAAAGAAGCCCAAATAGCCAAAGAGAAAATAAGAAGATGGTGAACATCCTTAGTACTTATAAAGAAAAATATATTATGGAACATTTATCTGTCGATTATACAATTAGTAATTCAATTGCTTACTGTGTCTCAGTTGCTAATCCAAGTAATGTGAACCAGTGTTGACTAGCAACCAAGATCACTAGTATTTTCACATGCCTAATTTAGTGTTAACAGGGGGCTGGAGAGATGGCTCAGTGGTTAAGAGCATTGCCTGCTCTTCCAAAGGACCCGAGTTCGATTCCCAGCAACCACATGGTGGCTCACAACCATCTATAAAGAGGTCTGGCGCCCTCTTCTGGCCTTCAGGCATACACACAGACAGAAAATTGTATACATAATAAATAAATAAATATTAAAAAAAAATTTAGTGTTAACAGATGAAGAGGTGCTATGCAGCAAACCAAACAGGGGTTAATGCTCTTGTACCCTGTACAGATTTGACACTCGTATTGGTTTAATAAAGCACTGATTGGCCAGTAGCTAAGCAGGAAGAATAGGTGGAGTGACCAGACTAGGAGAATTCTGGGAGAGGAAAGGCTCAGTCTGTAGTCACCAGTCAGAAGCAGAGAAAGCAAGATGAGAATACCTCACTGATAAAAGGTACTATGCCACATGGCTAAACACAGACAAGAATTATGAGTTAATTCAAGTTGTAAAGTTAGTTAATAATAATCCTGAGCTAATAGGCCAAAGAGTTTATAATTAATATAAGCCTCTGTGTGTTTCTTTGGGACTGAATGGCTGTGGGACTGGGTGGGACACAAACTTCTGCTTACAGAAGAGAAGGCTAAGAAAGGAGGTGGCTGTTTTGTAAAAGTAAGGAGAAGCATTCCAGACAAGACAGTAGGAATGGGATAGCATGTGGAAGGGACAGAAAGATGGCCAGGAGGGCTGAAGCATGATGACTAATAGAACAAGTGCTGGATTCAGTATGAGCCAGGATCCAGCTCAGTACAGTCTTTCACACTAGAGGAAGGAACTTAGATTTCATCTAAGTTGTCACTGTAAACCACTAGATAATTTAAGACTGTAGAATGAATATATATACTATGTATCTATCCTATATAATTTATACTAGAGATAAGCCAAAGTCCTGTAAGAAGCAAGTTGATTTGAGCAAGGACTAAAACTAATGCTTCTATTAGCAAATACAGAATTTAAGACATGTCAGACTATGTACACCATATACTTCATTCACATGGCTTTTCAAAAGTTTTTGTTTTGTTTTATGCTTTTTGAAGCAGACTTACATGGAGCTTAGAATGGCCTCAAACTCACTATGTAGCTGGCACTGAATTCCTAATCCTCCTGCCTCAGTCTCCCAAGTAGAGATTGGGTACAAAAAGAATCACTATCTCATCTGACTCGCATTTGTCTTAATTATTTTCCAAATGCTTTAACTAATTCAAACCTTTGGTAGGCAATTATATAGTCCTCCTTAACAGGCTAATTTCTTTAGTATTTATCTCTTTAGTATAGAAGACCGCAATACAGCTGCTTCTGCCACAGATAAATGTTTTGCCTCCCCATGCCATCAGTTATGGTTAAGCCTATTAAGAACATCAAGAAGTTGCCAGACATGGCAGTGCAGCCTTTAATGCCAGCACTTGGGAGACAGAGGCAAGCTGATCTCTTATGATACTGATGCCAGCCTGGTCTACATAAGTTAGTTCCAGGCTAGCCAAGACTACATGAGACCCTTATTTTAAAAATACAAAAAAAGGGGGGGGGGAACATTTACAATCAGACATTCTAGCACCTTTTGAAAGAAATAGGAAGGAGCTTACTTCTCCGGCATAATAAAGTGCAGCAAGGACCAAAGTTCCTTGAGGGAATTCTGCAGAGGGGTGCCCGTGATCAGTAGCCTATGGCTGGACTTGAAATCAATCAGAGTTTTATACAATAAAGAGTCATCATTCTTCAACCGATGGGCTTCATCTACTCCCAGGAAGGCCCAGTTAATACTGCCCAGCACAGTCTAAAGTAAAAAACAGAAGAGAACGAGCCACTAGGTCAGAAGGGGACCCACAGTGCTTACACATTAAAGCATTTCTGCATAAACACCATCACAAACATATACAGGTAGGCACGCTTATTCTTCACAAATTTAATATCTATTAGGATTCTTCTGCTTGTTCTAGCAATGGCCAGAGTCAAGAGTACCTCATCCTCTCCACTTTTAGTGAGTCTCTTACACAAACTACTGCAAGCTCGGCAAGAGGATGAAAACTATGCTGAACAAAAGCAGAAACAAAAGTTTCATGTGACTGTCTTTTCAAGACTATTTTCTTGCCTATTTCCCACCCCAACCCTGAAACACAGAAAACACAAAACCACCAAATTGAATAAAAAAAGTTACCACTTAGTAACTTTAGCAAAGGCTCTCCAGTCTCTGTACTGTAGCTCAGTGCTTCCTCCTGCCTCCTGCTCAGCTCAACTGGACTTGGTCGACCTGAGCTCCCATTCAACTGTGAGGTTTGGTTTCTACTTACAATTGTAGTATCTGAGGATATCTTAAGCTTGTTTCTTTGTTTGGCTTTTTAAACAAAACCGGAATAATAACTGACAAGTAGGAAGCACAGTCCCCACTATCCCCACTACTAAGTATGACACACATGGGCAAGACTTAACTTTGTTTTTTTAAAGATTTATTTATTTATTATGTATGCAGTGTTCTGCCTGCACACCAGAAGAGGGCAGCAGATTTCAATATAGATGGTGTGAACTACCATGTGTTTTTGCTGGGAGATGAACTCGGGATCTCTGGAAGAGCAGTGTTCTTATTCTTAACCTCTGAGCCATCTCTCCAGCACCCAAGATTTAACTTTTTTATGAATAATTACACACCTTATCTTTTAAAAGGATCTCATATGTTGTTATAAGTGCATTGAACTTCAACCTTTTGGTTTGAGAATGAATCCACTCATATTCCCTTATCTATAAGAAAAGAAATAGTAATTAAAACACAATTTCAGCTTCCAAATTTGTAACAAGTTTTATAACAGATGGAATAAAAATGATAAAAATAAAAGTCTCACAAAAATGGAATGAATAGCCTATGTACTCTAAAGAAACTTAAATAACTCAAACATTGAACACTGAGTCAGAATCAAAATGTTGCACTAAGCAGGAAAATCATTAGTAATTGCAAATAACCCAAACCACCCTCAAAGATCTGATGAGTATGCAGTATTTTCCAACAATCAAACTTCAGGAACTTGCTGGGTTTGATGTAACATCCCAGCACTGAGGTGGCAGAGGCAGACAGATCTCGGGGAGTTCAGGGCCAACCTGGTGTACAAAGTAAGTTTCAGGACAGACAGGGCTATTACACAAAGAAACCTGTCTTTGGAAAAAAAAAAAAAAACCTTTGGGCACTTGAACTCAATAATGGAAGGCTTTCCCAGACCCCTGAAGTGTTCTTAAGAAAATAAAATTTCCATTATTCCTTAGATACAGTGATATTTACTAAAACATGACAAATTATAGCCCAGAAATTTCATTCACCATAGTTAACCGATACATTCAAGAAAAGAAATTTTACAGAGTAAAAATAGAACTTAACATAAGTAGAAAATATTGAGAATATAAAGAAACTAGAAAATTAATGAATCCATTCTGAAACATGACCAGAAATTCAGCAAACACAATGTCTACTGACAAAGGTCTTATGGTGTGTTGACTGAGAAAACAGAACTCGAGACAATGAGCATTAGCAGGTGATTACCACCAAAGACTAAAGGGAAGGAGAACTGGGTACCTGCCACAAATCAAATTCCCACGGGCTTCCTTCTCCTTTAAGAACTAACAAATTAGAAGAACTAAGAACTATTATGTCTTAGAAAGTCAAAATTATGGCACTGAAGCCTAATATAGTTTATAATCAGACAATTTTTCTCATTTTGTTTTGCTTGCAGGGCTGGCAATCAAACTCAGGGTCTCGCAAACTAGGGTCTATCAACTGAGCTCCAATTCTAACCCAACCAAGTGCGGGCAAAATGACAGCATTCAATAAAAACAAGTTTGAACCCATGCAAATGTGCTTACAGCACTTCTGTAAATTGTTAAAGATTCCTGGTGACCTGCTCTAACTACAAGCAGTCTCCAAAAGGGCATAGCTGTGTCTGCTGAGCTAAGGCTCCAGTGCTCCATTCTAGTCATCTAACAGCAAGGTGACACAGACTTCCTGGACAGTCTTCAGCAGTCTGTCAGGTATTTGTTGCCATTAATTTTGAGGACTATCACAAAAATTAGAGGGATACAAATAAAAGCACCAACACAAGAACCAACATATAGTAAGTACTCAAAAGAAAAAAAAATTCTCAAAAAAAAATTTTCTAAACAAAGACAAATTTTTATCACTATGTGCTAAATTCATGATGTTCAAGGCATTGTTTGATACCAAATAACTCTCTTTTCTGCAGTCCTAGAAATGTATTGTTTTCCTTTATTTTTATTTCTTTCTTGCAAGTTATGAAGTTAAGAGATCGGGAAATAAATTCTAAGAACTCAAGTCTTCCCAACAACATTTTGAGTAAGACAGCAAAGACATTAATTTTCCATAAGAAAAGGTAATCTTAAATAAAAAGATCAAACTAGTAGTGGTAATACATGCTAATACTCATAGCTCTCAGGGGCTGAGGCAGGTGGATTGCCACGAGTTAGAGGCCAACATAAGCTACATAGTGAGACACTAGGAGAGAAAAGAGACGGAAGAGAGAAGAGAAAAATCAGAAAGAAGAGTAAAATCAGACAGAAAACAGTGCAGCCTAAGAGATTCCCATGGAATTATTGCTGTTTTAAAACAAAGTAGTATACACCTTGTTCAATGTATTAAAGAATATCTGAGTTGCACTGACAGACCTCCAAGTACTGAGCCCATAGTACACAATGTGTGAATGATTTTGTTCTGTTTTGTTTCTTTTTTGAAATGGGGTTTCTCTGTGTAACACCCCTGGTTGTCCTTGAACTTGCTCTGTAGACCAGGCTGCCTCTGCCTCCCAAGTGCTGGGATTAAAGGTGTGCACCACCATTGCCCAGCATGTATGAATAATTTTACTCAAGAGTTTACTATAGTTTTATACATCTATAAAATATTTTCAGTCAATTCTAAAATACATTTTTAACACACATGCTACTTCAACTCCTCTTGCTTACGCACCGTATTTCTGCTCATCAGGTCGCCTATGTAAACCACCACATTAATCTCTGGGGCCCAGATTTCGAACTCCCTCTGCCATGAAGTGAGGGTGGATAAGGGGACGACTATAAGAAAGGGTCCATAGAGCTGGTGCTGGTGGAACAGGTAGGAGAGAAATGATATGGTCTGAATGGTCTTTCCTAGGCCCATTTCATCAGCAAGGATTACACTGTTACTTCTGCAGTAAGAAAAAAAACACAAACAATTTATTAGTTCATGAGAAAACAGTATGTGCACCAATTATACACTTGACAATATCAGCAGAGAAAGGCATCAGAGTGACCTTCAATGAATTTCTCCTCACCTTCATTTTTAATGACTTAAACATCCTAAATAAGGAAGAAAGCAGAAGACAGGAACAACAGATCAGGCAAATCTATCTGGAAGAATATTCAAGACTCAGATTACACAAGATTCCTCTAATTGTTTCTATCTTATATGTAAGGCTTCAAATTATATTGTCTACCATAGGCTACCCCTCCTAACAGTGAAGACAGTTCTATCATAGATGCATACAAGTATGTAGCCTTTGGTTCATCAATATAAAACCAAGGAAACTGGCTATCACCGTGCTGCTTATTCCAAGAGTCATGTGCCTCTGCTCACGTTACCTCCCCTTTCCACTGTGTTCCACTTGACTGTCCAATACCACATCTACTATTTTATACACCTGCTTGATGCAGGGTGTGAAGGACCCTTGTTTGAAGTGCTGGAGATAGAGCCCAGGGCCTTGTATGTTCTAGGCAAAGGGGAACTGTTTTAAATATGTCACAGTCTAGACTTCTGGGGCTCATTCTGGACCTACGATGTGTTATTTGTGCATATACTAGAGACTATTCAAGAAAGAGTGCAGGATTCTGAGGGGTTTGTTTTGTTTTTTTATGAAGCAGAGTCCCACTGTATTGTTCAGGTTGATCTGGAATTTGCACTCTTCCTTCCTCTGCCTTGAAGAGTTAGTAGAAAAGGTAGTACATCCAGCCTTTGAAGACTGATCCAGTGCTCATGGGCAGTCTAAGCGACACTGGATCTGGAAATGGGCTGGATTCCACATTTGTTTCTTCAATTGTACACATGTAAAAAAAAAAAAACTAGATGAAGAAAATGAGCAAGGTTAGGAAAGGCTTGGGAAAGAGAAAGTAGTCAGGAAACTAGAGACTGATGTATGGTACAGTCTGTAAACATTTCTGCAAGGCTCTTTCTTCAAGGGCCAATGAGATAGCTCAAAGAGTAAGGCATTTGCCACAAAGCCTAACTACCCAAGCTCAGTCTCCACAACCCACATATTAGGGAAGACAAGATTCCTTCATGTCAGACATGCAATTATATATACATACATATGAGGTACACATGAAATATAAGCAAACTTATAAAAGATCATCCTTTATTTAGCTGAGGTTCTAGATTTCCCCAAGCATCAGAGCTGTGGGTGTTCCAAGGAGCCTCAGAGCTCTGAATTTGCTTGTTGTTTATAGCTTTATGCTGTTTCAGGGTACTGCAGTTCATGTGGGTCCTTCCCTGATCAGAGTACGTGGATAACCCAATCCCAGTGCCATCAACTCAGCTTAATCTCTAAGTGGCTTACTCTCCTGTGCTCCTGCTTGCATCTTTATCTGTAGTAGGGGACTACATTTCCCTGCAGAAACCAGCTCTCTTTCCCGCTTGCAAAGCCTGAGAAGGGGAATAAAGGTGCTGACAGTCCCTCTGGAGGATCTGCCCAGACTAGTTTAGGAAGGGCTATTGGTCATTCTTCCCTTCCTGCTTTTTCTGACATCTGGAAGATTTGACTGTAGCTGCTCATCAAGTCAAACATCAGTACACATGGTTTGAAAGAAGAAGCAGCATGAGGTACAGCCAAAGGGGTAAGTACTGACAGTTAGAAGCTGCTCAGAACCTGTGAGTGGGTGGGTCTTTGTATTCTTGTTCCTGTGCCTGGAGAGAAGCCGCTATCCCACCCCTCAACAGCCCAGTCCTTGTTCCTTTAGCTATGCTCATGCTACTGTGATTGTATTTCAACCTAAAGTCTTTCTGTCCCAAATGAACTGATGGTATGTATTGTGTGTGTGTGTGTGCTTCACTAGTGAACCAGTGAACTGAAAGAAAAAAATAAAAGTTAATGTCTAGCTAGAAGAACAAGAACAAGGCATTTAATTTGCCAAGATTGCAGACAGATCTCTGGGTTTTCAGCAAAACTGGTCTATATAGTGAGTCCTATGGCAAGTCAGAGCCACAATGAGACTCTTTTAAAACAAACACAAAAAACAAAAAAAAAAAAAAAAAAAAAAACCCACCTGCAAATATTCTACAACTCTGGAGAAAGGTCTTGGTATTCTGGCTCCTAAGCACCCTAAATTGTAGAATAAAAGGGCTAGCTCATATAACCTCTTTAGTTACATTAAGTTAATACTGATCCCTAAAAAGAGTAGGACTTATTATCTTCTGAAAGGAAAATTTTTTTAAAGTATTTGCTCTATAATTTCATACACATAATATTCTTTGTTCAATCCCTCCATTTTCCTCTATCCCACACTCCCTCCACCAAACCAAGCCCCTTCTTCCCAAGTCTCTTACCTACTTTCATATCTGTTTATTTGTGTCTATATGACTGCCACTGCATTTAATTAGGTTTGCCTGCATGAGTATGGGTGGGGTTAAGGAAAATCTTTTTTAAGCAACTAAAATGGTTGTGACCCACTTTCTCATACAAACTGAAGCTCAAATACTAGATTTTCTTCAGAGTCTTAAACACACATTCAATTGAAAGATAAGTTTTGAAGGTGGGTTCACCTGGGAAATCGTTATTGTAAATGTGTTTGTAACTAGAAATCATCACCTGTAAGAAAAATGAAGACGCAAGCCAGGCATGGCAGCACACACCTTTAATCCCAGCACTAGGGAGGTAGAGGCAGGTGGATCTCTGTGAGTTCAAGGCCAGCCTGGTCTACAAAGTGAGTTCCAGAATAGCCAGAGCTGTTACAGAGAGAAACCCTGTCTCAGGAAGAAAATAAAGAAGACACAAAGAAAGGGTGGGGATGGAGAGATGGCTCAGTGATTCAAAGCACTGGCTGCTCTTCCAGAGAACCTGATTCAATTCCCAGCACCCACAAGGCAGCCCACAACCATCTGTAACTCCAGTTCCAGGATACTGATGCCCTCTACTGGCCTCTATGGGTACTAGGCACACAAGTGGTACACAGACATACATGCAGGAAAATACACAGTTTGTATGTGCGCGTGAACACACACACGTGCGCGCGCGCGTGTGTGTGTGTGTGTGTGTATGCTCTGGGTGTTCTGGTGTGGGTGTGCTTTTGTGTGTGTAAAATTTCTTTATAAAAAGGTATGCACAGAAGACTCTGTCATTGGCACTAAAGGAAGCCCTCACAAGCGCGTCACATAATGAAGAGGAATCACGTTTATCTTGAATCACTTAAATTCTCAAAGCCTAAGTGGTCCCCATAACTTAGAATAAAAGTAAGCCAAACACAGTGGAGAACAATCTAGCCATATCTTCTACCTACTTGCACCAGGAGTGAGCAAGCCAGTTGAGACCCTCTAGCTGATAATCCCGGAGCTCCAGATTCTCCCCTCCTAAGTATGCTGGCTGCTTCTTTAAAGCTACAAATCGTGGTCTTTGCTTTAGTGCCTGAAAAACAAAAATTAACAAAACCTACGTCTTAGAAACATTTTCCCCTGCTCTTAAATTACAATGTTAGCCATATTTTATGTACTCTATGCCAAAAAAAGCTTAATTTCAGATATGAATGGTTACCCCACCCTACCCCATCCCAGTACTCTCTATTCTCAGAGTTCATCCTAAAGTCAAGTATTTTTAAATAACTTGCTCCTTTTCTGAAATAAAGTTATGAGCATAAATTAGCTCCGTATTTTCTCATCCTTTACTGTGTGGCACACACATTAACACTCTGGAAGTTTGTCATTGAGAGATGTTGAACAAGCAATCCTACAAATACTGTAACTGGGAACTCTGAGGTTCAGCCCACTTACATTGAGTCCCCAACCTTGTGAGTCTAGTTTCCAGAAGGAAAAGTTGCTCTTTCCACTGCTGGAGGTTTGAAAACTTGCACTCTACTAAGGCCAAATCTACTGCTTACACAAAACATAGATTCTGCAGTCAAATCAGTTTGGGGCACAAACAAAGCATTCAAAGTTACGCAAGTTTCTCTACTCAGGACTTTCAAAGTCTACGCATGTATAGCTATAAGATGAATTCCTCAAGTCTTTCTGCAAGGTGCCTTTATCTTTTGTGGGAATTACCACCGTAACTGTGTGGTCGTTAGTACATTCAATTCTCCTATGGAAGGATACAGTCTGGCTCCTCATGCTCACCTTCTACACTAGCCATTCATCTAGTCCTGACAAAACAACCTTCCCATGCCTCGGCTAATTGGCCCTCCATGCAGTCTTCAATTACTGTAACATATTACTCGATGGATCTTCTGGCTCTCGTCTCCTACTCACTGTCATTATCTGAAGCCTTCAAATAAAACGCTGATCACAACCTGGCCCTCTACAGTGCAAGGTCCCAAAAACTGTAGGACAGTCAAGTGACACCTCCGTCAACACAGTCAGGACGCGTGCTGTGAAGGAAATGTGCTCGGCAATACCTTCGGATCCACAAGTTTTCTATTACAAAATTCTTTTGTACCCTTCATGGAAAGTCAACCCTGAGGTCTTTTGCTCTTTTTAACACTGTTTTTCATAGATTTATTTTATTATTGTATTGTGTATATGAGTGTTTTACCTGCATGTAAGTATATACACCACATGTGTGCTTGGTACCTGAGGTGGTCAGAAGAGGGTGTTGGATCCCTGAGACTGGAGTTACAGATGGTTGTAAGCCACCATGTGGGTACTGGGAATTGAAGCCCAGTATTCCGCAAGAGCAACAACTGCTCTTAACTACTTAGCCAACTCTCCAGGCCCCAGAGCCCTTTCTTGTATGCTATTAAGCACCAAACTACTTTTCAGAGCAGAGGCAAAGTAAGCACTGGCTGCTTTCCTCTGAAAACCTCCTCACTGCCCACCAGAACCGTGGCCTCCACCTCCACTCTGTAGCTTCTCCACCACACATACATGCTGGTCTTCACAGACAGGGGACTGATGTTATCAACATGAACTTCACCTTCTATAAGGCGGTCCAAGGAACCAAGCATACTTCTAGATCTCAACAAATTTCAAAAACACAGAAACACTAGTACAACCAATCTGACAATAAAAAGCCTGTACTTTTCTGATTTAACATTCAGAGACATCTTTCCTGTTTGTTTTAAAGTGACTATTTTCAAAAATTTCTAATAATATATCTAACTCTATAAAGTAGTAAATTATAGAAACCAGCAAAGTTATTATACAACAGATACTCTTTCTAAAAAACATGAGTGTGTTCTTTTTTTAATATTTATTTATTTAATTATTATGTATACAATATTCTGTCTGTGTGTATGCCTACAGGCCAGAAGAGGGCACCAGACCCCATTACAGATGGTTGTGAGCCACCATGTGGTTGCTGGGAATTGAACTCAGGACCTTTGGAAGAGTAGGCAATGCTCTTAACCACTGAGCCATCTCTCCAGCACCCCATGAGTGTGTTCTTAAAAATTTCTAAAAAAATAATACACTACTGTGCACCACATGCGTGCAAGGACCCTGCAGGGGTCAGAAGATGGCACTGCAGCTCCTGGAGTCACAGGCAGCTGTGAGCCACGCTCAGGTCTTCTCCAAGATCAGTAAGTATTCTTAACCTCTAAGACATCTCTCCAGCCCCTGATCCTCTCCTTTAGCTTTCTTTTTACTTTGCACCAAGTAAAGTATATTCCAGGATGGCCTTGAACTCACTCCAAGGCCAAGGATGACCTTGAATTTCTGACCCCTCTGTTTGTACCTCCAGAACCCCGGGATTACAGGCATGCACAATGAAACCCAAAGGCTGCACACATGCCAGGTACAGTCTGCTAACTGAGCTATAGTCCCAATCCATGCAGTAATCATTTGTATTTAATGTTACGTTTAAATCACCATTCATTCTTGCTTTGCTTCTATATTCCTGCACAACTAACCCTTGGGGTATAATACCTTCCCACAAATTCATACATACATACACACACACACACACACAAAATTAAAATAAATATATAAATCAAAGGCATGCGCCACCACACTCAGCATAATACATATTCCAACACTCAGGTTGCAGAAGCAGATTGATCTCTGTGTGTTCCAGGCCAACCTGATCTACACAGTTAGTTCCAGGACAGCCAGGGCAATATAAGAGACTCTGTCTCAAAAAAACAAAACATAAAACTATAAAAACTAAAAACACAAAAGCCAACAATGGCCAACCTTGCACTCTCTTGTTGGAATGGTTTTGGAGTTGTTACGGCTGTGGAAGCTGTCGATACAATTCTGGAATTTCTTTCCAATCAAGGCTTCATCTTCCCAGCTACACTCTGAGTAAGGCAGTCCCATCCATTTGCAGAGATATTCAGGCTCATTTGAAGGCACTGGCTTCCGACTATGAGCTATAACATGAATAAAAAAATTATCAGATAATATCAAATTAAAGGAAGTGATATTCTTTCTAAATATATAACTAATAAACACCACATGACAAAACTATGAATCTGCAAATCACAATGTGCTCATAAATACTGAATATTTACTAAATATAAGACTGTTACTCACCTGGAAAATCTGTTTGGCCCAATGTAGATTTACTTGTCTTCACAGCTAAACAAATATAAAATAAGACAGAAAAATTACAAATATACCAAGAAAGAAGAAGAAACCGATTTTATAAGTAAGGAACTGGAGAGATGGCTCAGGGGTTAAGAGCACTGGCTGCTCTCCAAAAGGACCCAGATTCAATTCCTAGCACCCACATGGCAGATCACAAGTTTTGTTACTCCAGTCTCAGTGGATCTGAGGCCTTCTCGCCTCCTCAGGAGCAAAGCATGAACATTGTGCACAGGTATACATGAAGGCAAAACACATACATATAGAATATAAATAACTTAATAAAAAAAGCTTTTACAAGTAAGAATGTGTGCTCATTCTCCATGGTTTAAAGGAAGCCTGTTCTAACCTGGGTGTCAGACTAACATCCTAGTACTCTGCTATTTTTCTTTTCAAATACATTAAAAATATTTTTAAGTATAAGGGTTCAAATAAATCGAAGACCTTTACTGGGTCAGTAAGACCACCAAACAAACCACAGCAATGTGTGATGGAAAACAAATTCCATGGTCACCATCAGGGAATGTCTAAAAGACTTTCTGTGCATCGTTTCCTAAGGCAGGCGTGCTGGGCTCTGTAGAGTTGTAAATGTCATGTGTTTTCAGTGTTGTCTATCACTGACAGAAAAGAGCATTTGAGGCACAGACTCTGTACAGTCAATACAGTGGCATACTATTATTTCACAGAAGGATCTCCTCGTTTAGAGGTGCAATAAAGCAACTGGGGAAAGCCTTAACTAGAAGCTTATAGTCTTAAAGGTTCATTCTTCACAAGTTTTTTTGTTTTGTTTTGTTTTGTTGTTTTGTGACAGGGTTTCTCTGTGTTGCTTTGGAGCCATCTCCACAAGTTTTAAAATTGAAGTAATTCCCAAAACAAAAAACTTTTAGTTGAAAGAGTAAAAATGGTTCTGTTACTTTTTAAAATAAGGCATCACTGAATCTACACTCAAAACCATCTCTCATTCTCTCCTGAAGCCCCCTCAAGCAGACCTGTTCTGCTAACAATTACTTCCTGTTGCCATTTCACTGAAGCCAGCCCGCACTACTCCCAAATTCAAGGATCAAATCCGAGACTAGTGTTCTATGTCAATCATCTACTTCTACTGCAGCAATCTCTTAGCTCACCTCTTAGATCACTACCTACTCCTTCTCTGTCTCTAGAAAACATGCTAGAATGTTCTCAGACTTTCTCTTCTCACAATGTGTTCTCTCTGTCTCTCTGTCTCAGTACATTTCAAATTTTAAGTACTACCTACACACTGGCAATACCTAAATATACCTCCAAGTCACCACAGGAATACATGTTGGAGTCCTCAAATAATACTTGTCTCTTAGATAACAACAAAGTTACCAACCAAAGCATTTGATTTCAAATCCAAAAACCAGTTCTTCCCTTGATCTTTCCATTTCAGTGAATGGTACCTGTACTGTCTTAGGAAATCTTGCAAGCCAAACATCCCTGACACTCCCGTCTTTCATCCCCCACACCCAAATCCACAAGCAAAAAATAATTCTCCCTTCAAAATAAATAAATATAGGCCTTTGTTTAGTCTCAAAAAGTAAACCTATAAAATGCATCTTATGGATTTATATAATCCTAAAGCCTAGGTCATTTTCTCCAAGTTTATCCATGCCTAAAATAAGTTTCCAAGAACTTACCTATTACTCTTTCTACTATTTGATACTGTTTATTCAACTCTGAGGCCAGCTCCTGTTGACAATTGAAATATTCAACATCTTCTGGGGAAACTTTCCCTAACCTAGACAGAAGACCACAAAAACAAGCATATACCAGTTAGAGCTTGGAGATCTATATATATGTATCAGAGCAAACCTTCTAAGTACAAATGTAAACTTAATTGCTTCCAGGTGTGCCTTTAGTAATCTTCAATAGTAACAAGTCTGAGATATTTAAATGAGACCAAAAAAGGGAAAAAAAAAAACAAAAAAACCCTTCACATCATTTCTACAAACTGTATTACAACCAAGAATAATTCCAAGTGTATCAAAACCCAGAGGGCTCTAGACTATTAACTTTCACATATGAGCCACCCCAGCCTAATCAAACCAAAGTAACAACATGTTTTGAGATTGGCTCTACATACAGCTGTCTAAATTCAAGTCACTGATTCACTTGCAGTCACTTCTCCCATAACAAAACAAATAAAAATCTCACAATTTTATTGTCAAGATCAAACAACATACGTAAGAAAGGAAATGTGGCAAGTGCTCCATGAGCCAGCTGTTCTTGTTAAATCTGAGAATTTAGTAGGCACACAGGAAAGCATTCACTGTCGCCACATCACAATTTCAGAAACAGAACTGTAGAATGCTCAGCATTCCTTGATCAGATGATCAAGGCAAAATCTGAAATCCTAGAGAGCGCTGTTCTCCACACAATTAAAAACCTCCCTTCCCGTACAGACTGAAAACACCACTTGAATTGGCAGCAGGAAGCATACCATTGTTTGATTTCGTCCTCTTTCTTCTTAAAGTTCTCCAGTTTTTTCAGTCCCTTCACTTTCTGCTGCTGTAAGGACTCTTCGCTCTCCCATGTGCTGTGGATGTAAGACCAGCCCTTCCACTTGATCAGGTACTGGATCTCACCTTCCTCCCTCTCGGGCTCAAAGGCCTCACTAGGATCTCCGTTAGCTTCAACAGCATACACAGTGGTAGATGCCCCTGTGGCTGCAAAAGGATTTGGAGTTTTAGTTCAACTTTAAAGGAAATATAAGAAACCAGGCAAAAAAAGATCCCCACTTAAACAATTGCCAGTAAGAATCTCTCCTTGAATAAACCGAATGCCTCTGTCTTACAATAAGTGGTCAACTTACTGTTCAATTACAATTATTACAATAAGTAAGTCAACTTGCAACACAGGATGGGTCCAGTAATTTTAAACATCCTGAAAATGCTACTGTTTGCCTTAAAGCATGCGCAAACTTGCAGGTGAAAGCAGGCAAATCTGTGCAAACACCTTAAAAAATGAAAGAGCAGCATCCTTTCCTTTTCAGTACACCTCAGAAGGCAGACCTCTTCCCCTGAGAACAGAGTAAGAAATCAAAACCTCCTCGCCTCTCCTTACTCACCTCCCCAAAGCTAAGTTAACTGCCTTACCCTCAAATAAAGCAGATTGGGAGCATGGTGGGGTGTGGTTAGGTTAGCAGCACCAAGGCCTGATTCAGCTGCCAGCACTGCGTACAGTGGCAATGGTAGTACACGTCTGTAATCCCAGAACTTGGGAGGTAGAGGCAGGGGGTCATTGTTGAATATATGGAAAACTGGAGGCCAGTCAAGGCTACCAGAGACCCTGTGTCAAAAATCCAGAGAATAATTTGCTCCCCAAAGACACAAACCTCCTTTCTTTCCCAGTCTTGAATCTAAGACCTTTTCAATAGTTTCACTATTATCTTGCTGTTCATCAATTCCTTCTCCAGTCATTTCAATGAGATCATCTGAATCAGTTTCAAAGTCATCATCTTCTTTATAACTGTGTGAGAAATAATGCTGAATGAGCAGTAGAATTAAACATCTCTACAGATAGCACTGGAGTACATAAGAGCCATACTCTCTGACGCCAACAAATTACTCACAGGTTTTCCAGTCGACGGCTCAAAATCTCCCTCGTCCCATTTCAATCACTGACACAAGTCCACAAACTAAAGAGTAGCTCACACTACACATATGAGCAAGATAAAGGAATCTACAAGGATACCCTTTATTTAAAAGCAGCCTGGTCTACAGAGCTAGTTCCAGGACAGGCTCCAAAGCCACAGAGAAACCCTGTCTCGAAAAACCAAAAAAAAAAAAAAAGTTATCTAAATTATGACAAAGAAAGTTCATAAGGAACGAAAAATTGCTATTATTTCAGACAAAAGAAAAAATTCCTAAGATTAAATGTTTCAATCATGCAATTTTATCTCCCAATAACAAAAAAATGAAATTTAATTTGACCCAAACAGTTGAGAATGTTCAAACTCATACTTCTGAATTGTAAAATCTAAAATGTATTTGGCCATGATAATCCCAGAACTGGGGAGACTGAGCACAGAGAGGTGATCTGAGGCTGGTCTGAGCTACACAGTAAATTCAAGATAGCCTTGACTACATAGTAAGTTCCAGGTTAGCATAAGTTACATCAAAAACATAAAAAGAAAAGAAAAACAAAATAAAGCCTTTACAAGTAAAACACACCTAAACAGTAAATACAAGGGGGCACAGTTCAGTAGTATTGGCCTTGTATAAGCAAAGTGCTGGATTTAATCTCCAACCCAACAAAATGATAATAGGAAAACAAAGACACAATATAACACAGTAAGAAAATGAGCTAAGCTAGACACCAGCATATTAAGTCTAGCCCTACATCCATCTAGCCAAACATCCAACAAGGAATTTATTATCTCTAGTGCTTGGTTTCACATTGTTAATAGACCAAAAGAAAGATGCATTTGTTCTCAAAGTAAACGTACTTCATATTCTCCAGATTAAACAAAGAACATATCTGAATATATTATATCTTTATTTGATCATCAATTAATGCCTTATATCCTGCAATAACTATTATTATTATTATACCCAAATGTCACTAGAAACAGTAAGACTCAGGAGTGATTCAGGAGTAAAAGCACCGTCCATCATTGTTCAGAAACATCAGAAAGATAGCCACCAGGACAGGACGTGACCTTGGTTGGAGCAGTGCCTAATGAGCTGCTGTTACTCTCCTTCTCCACTGGGCTCAACACCAGTTTTCTCAGAGATGGCTAGACTCTGAAATCTACTTTATCACAGAGACTTATGTCCTTTTTTGCTTTTTGAGACAAGGCCTCACTGTGTATCTCTGGCCTTTCTGAAACAAGTTATGTAGACCAGACTGGCCTCAAACTCACAGAGATCCACCTGCCTCTGTCTCCCGAGTGCTGGTATGAAAGGCTTGTGCCATTGTGTCCTGTTCAGGCTGATTTTATTACCTGTCAATCACATTATCTAAACTTGAAGTCAAGGTCTAAACAGCAATGTCATTCCCATCACATCAACAAAGACCTTCCAGTCCACAACTGACCTCACATTTTTAGCAGCTCGTCGTCGAGTCTGCCTTTTGGGAGCTTCATCGTCGTCGTCATCGTCATCAGAAGACTCTTGCTTTTTCCGCTTTCCACGCTGAGTCTTAGGCTGCTTTTTAACCTGAGGTTTAGGCACTGTTCTAAAATGAACAGAGAAAGAAATAGCAAAGCTTTTACTCTGTCACTTGGTGGCTATCTCAAACCTACATACTGGCATTTCCCAGAACAGTGGCACACACAAAGAATTCACTAAAGGGGGCCAGGCATGGTATCAGACTGGAATCTCCAGCACTCACGAGGTGACAGCAGAAGGATCGGGAGTTCAAAGTAAACCTCCACTACAGGACACTCTCGGAAAACCAAGAGGGACAGGATAATGTACAATCACATAGATGTGTTTCTCCTGCCTACCTAATGAACCCTAAACAATGATCAGTAAATAATGCACAAAATCGAGCGTGGTATTTCAATCTTGAGAGCTTAAACGCAGGGAGACAAAACTCAAGCTTTCCATGATGAGGTAAGGGCAGGCACTAGACCAGGAGTTGACAATTTTTTCTGCAAATGGCGAGGGAGAAAATATTTTAGACTTTTTTGGCCTAGGCGTAAAACTGGGACAGTGTATAAGTACTTATGCAAATAGAAGACATATATTCTTCACAACATTTTTACTGACAAAATTCAAAAAAGAGATGTAGGATGTTTTGGTGATATGATTAATAATAGAATCATTCTAGAGTGAATGATTCACTTAACTAGGATCCAAATTTAGTACTATTACCATACTATAAGTGATAAATGTTCATCAACAAAAGCTATTATGAGCCTTAAAGCCATTAAGAAAGTGTTGGTTGTGGTTTGACCCCATCCTACTCAATAATGAAAGAAGGTATATTCTGTAACTGTGGAGGCGGCTCAGTCTGTAAACTGTTTGTCACATAAGCATGATGACCTGCTCAATCCTCACAATCTACACACGCAAGGTGGCATGCATTTGTAATGCCAGCATCTGGGACTCTTGGGGCTAGGCTGGTTAGCCAGGCTAAACTCATCACTAAGCCCAGGTCCCAGTGAGAGATCCTCTTAAAAATCAAGGTGGACAGCTAAGTAACAACACCCAAAGTGACCTCTGGCCTACCAACACACACACCAAATAAATGAATGAATGAATGAATGAATGAATAAATAAATAAATAAGGTTAAATTTAAGGCCAGCCTGAAAGGCCAGAACTACACAGTAAGACCTTTTCTCAAAAACCAAAAAAGAATATAAGCCTGTGTACTAGAGCTGCTTTCAGAGTCCAGTCATCCTTGAGAAAACTGGTGTTGAGCCCAGGAGGAGAGTAAAAGCAGCCCATTTGACACTGCCTTAACTGAGGTCACAACCTGTCCCGGTGGCTATCAGAACAATGGGTGGACGATGCTTTCACTCCTGAATCACTTTGAGCCTCACAGTGAATTTCTTCTGCCTTCTTATATCTGTCCTCAGTTGCCATGTTTCACCAAAACTTACTAAAACTTGTTGCCTTCTCAACCTCTACCCATCTCTATACAATCAGGAGCGCTGCTTAAGGCTATGGACATTACATTAACAGAGCAATAAGCATAAATATGCTTTGGACCAGCCAAAAGAGTATTTTCATCTTAAGAATTAGTTCTCACCAAGCATGGTGGCACATGCCTTGAATCCCACACTCAGGAGGCAGAGGCAGGAGGATCTCTATGAGTTTGATGGCACCAAGATCTACATAGTGAGTACCAAGACAATCAAAACTAAATGAAGAAACCCTGTCTCAAAACGCCAAAAAATAAAGACAACAAGCAAAGAATCAATTCTTCCAAAAAGAATTTATAACCTGACCATACAAAAAGGGGAGGTTTTTTGTTGTTAATGTGAGGATCAAAGCAGAAGATATGGTTGCATATACCATGCCCTAACTACACTGCCACGAAAGAAACAAAGATCCACTGTCAGAGAATATGATCAGAGTCCATGATACACATATATGAAAATGCAATGAGCAAATAAATCCATTACTGTTTACAATTAATACATACTAACACTAAAATAATTTAGTTTAAACCCCATGGTATATGAAGAGAGAAAAAGTATCTCCAGTCAGAACCGCATCCATGCAAATACTCAAAAGTGATCTCAGTAGCTCAGTCACTTGGTCACTTGGTAAAGATACAGGCTAACACAAAGAAAACCAGATATCCAAATTCTACAACAGGACAATCTGTGTTGATTAGGGCTCTGGCTTCCAGTGTAACCCAGGGAGCTGAGCTAGAAGCAGACTGGGCAGGCTGGTAGCACACCTTCTGGGCACAGGCCTCCTAGCTTTTCCTTTCTTTTGTTCCTGTTCACTCTCTGCACTGGTGCCTTGTTCATGTTCATCTTCTGAGGGGTCCTGCTTCCATTTTTCTCTGTGATCAAAAAAGCAAAACAAATTTTTCCTTTAAGAATTCATAAGCTAAATGATCTCAAAAAATAAATTCCAAATGTATTATCTGAAACACAGAACATATGTATTTTAGATACTATATTTTATATTTTTGGGTTTTGTTATTCTTTCTGAGTTATATACCATCTATTCCTAGTTTAACTCTGGTAACATACATGGAGAATATGGTTATAATTTTCAAACCACCTTTTCTGGGGTAGAAAAATTGATACCCATTCTATTTTGTTCACCACTGTCTGAATCCCAGATTCCCAAGCTTTAACATACATCAGAACCAGCAAAAGAGCTTGCTTCTTACTCAAAAGCTGTCAGTCAAGACAGCTCAGAATTCTAATAGTCACACATGATGCTGATATCGGGTAGAAATGTATTTGAAAATATTACAAGAACGAATTTTGCTGGACTAGGCAAGTACTCTCCCACTAAGGTCCACCTGCAGACTATATGAAATGTTTTAGTTTTTAGAACATAATTAAGGAAACAGTCCCTAAATAAATTTTCAGTGCTGAACCTGCCACCCAACTAAACAATTTAAAACTGTTCTGTTTCTAAGACCTAGTTTTGAATTATTAGAGAAGGGAAGTGTTCTTCTGTTTCTCAAGATCTTACAAGGTTTGAAAGAGACATAACCTACAGGTGTCCTTCTACTTCTAAGAGCTTTAATCTCTTAAAGGCTAACCACGACACCACAGGAACCTAACTCATTTCTCACCTGTAGTGAACAAAGTATGTAATAGCTACTAGGCATGAAAGACCTAGGGAAAAAGCCAACATGCACAAGCTTGAGGCTCCTCTGTAAACAAAACAATTACCACTGTACCCTGGGTTCCCTTAACAGAGATCATAACAAAGATGCTTGATACAGAACTGCCAAGTCAAATTAATATTCATCATAGAACAAGTCAAGACAAACAGTGCTAGATTGCTCCAAAAAGGGGTTGATCTGCAGATTCCTGAGGCCCTTCCTAATAGCTTCAACAGTTACTAATTAGTTAATTCAACAACGTCAGCTCCCCCTGAACTAGTTGAAGCTTGGGGAGGAGAATCAACCCTTTCAGGAAATGGCAATCTAACACTTTCATGTACATTAGTCAGATTCAATCGTTGACTCCTTGCACAGAGATGGATACAAAAGCTGATAAATAGAAATGGCCTTAGTTTTTTGTTTTTTTGGGGTTTTTTTTGGTTTTTTGGTTGTTGTTGTTTTTTTTTTTTATTTTGATTTTCGAGACAGGGTTTCTCTGTACTTTTTGGTGCCTGTCCTGGAACTAGCTCTTGTAGACCAGGCTGGCCTCGAACTCACAGAGCTCCACCTGCCTCTGCCTCCCGAGTGCTGGGATTAAAGGCAGAAATGGCCTTAGTTAAATAATGAAATTAACTAATGAACGAGCCCTATCAGTTTTTGAGTCACCATGTTGAGTACTTTTGGAGAGAGACTAGATAGTAAGCCCTGTTACTGGTTTCTATCAGTCTATATTTAAAGCAAAACTTCCCCCAAGTGGTGGTGATGCAAGCCTTTAATCCCAGCACTTGGGAGGCAGAGACAGATGGATCTCTGCAAGTTTGAGGACAGTCTGGTCTACAGAACCAATTACAAGACAGCTAGGGCTGTTACACAGAAAAACCCGATCTCCAAACCTCCCCAGACCAAAAAAAAGACTTTCTTGTCTCTACCTGTACTCTGGTATCTAGCTTGTTCTGCTTACTCAAGGTCTAGAATAATAAAATTTTGCTAAAGAATAAAAAGAAGCCAGACACAACAGTGTACTCAAGACAGAGCAACGACGAGTTCAAAATCAATCTTGGCTACAAGAGAAACCCTGTCTCAAGAAACAACAACAAAAGGAATCCTAGTTATACAAGTTGATTGCCAAGAAGATGGAAGAAAAAGAAAACTGGGATGTGAGTCAGCAGTCGACCTAGGGCTCTGAAAAAGTCATTTACTGTCCAAAGTCATGCTGCAAAACCTGGACTCCCAGGAACAAATCTCAAAAACATGGACATTTAAGGACCAGGGGAAAGTATTATCAATGAGGAAAATCCAGAGTCAAATAATCTGACCAAGGGCTATCAATGAAGCCCACTAGACCTAGAGCATCACTAGGACAAACAGTGAGGGCCACTAGACCTAGAGCTAAGAGTGAGGCCACCAGAGCTAGGGAATCACTAGGGTTATCAACAAGACCCACTACAGCTAGGGCATCACTAGGGTTATCACTAAGGCTCACTAGAGCGAGGACTATCAGTGAGGCACCTGACAAAGGATACAGCAAAACTAGAAAGAGAAAGTGTATGTTGAGGCCAGAGTATCCCAGTCAAATTAAAAAGTTATATACAACCAGGAGAGCTTGGGCTCTTCCAGCATAGGAATGTAAAAGAAAAAAACTGGTCAAATCAAACTGGTCTAAAGCCTAGGGAGATGTTCTTCCTTGAAGAAGACTAAGTCCACTAAGAAAATTGCTTGCATGCACAGCAAACCTCACACCTATTATTCTCAATCATAATCCATACAAGACCCTTAAAGACTGTTGGGAGCTATAGATCCCTTGCTCCCTTGATTTTCTTTGCCTGCCTCAGACCCTGTGCCTGCTGGAGTGAACTGAGCAAAACAATTTGTTTTCCTCTGCTCTGTGCAGACTCCAGCTGCTCTGAGCACAAGACCCTGATGGCAGGCTGGTGAGTCTACAGCTGAAAGATCCGAGAGCTGGGGTGTGACCAGACCCTAGATAAGCTACCCCTGGTATCAAGAGTGACCCATATCTCTGTCTCTCTGTTTATGTGTCTTTGTATGTTTTTTAAGTCTCTCAGCCCATTTCCCGGCTCGCGTACAGACCTGTAGCGGCATGGGAGTTATAGGAGTAACACTGTACCGTTTGGGGGTTTTACAAAGGACCCAGGAAAAATTACAGTCAAGCTCATACATTCCAGAATATAGAGACAAAAATGGGGCAGGTGTTTGAAATTGGGCACATTATGTTTTAATTTTCAAGAACAAGAAAAAAGAAAAGTATTTATTTGGTTTGGTTTTCTGAAACAGGAACTCACTATACACCTCTGCCTGCCCTGGATCTTACTAAGTAGACAAGGCTGGCCTTGAGCTCACCGAGACACACCTACTACTTTCAGCCTCTGCCTCCTAAGAACTGGGATTACAGATGTTTGCCAGCATGCTCCACAAGGAGAAAGAAGCAGTGGAGATTAAGCGAAAATGAACATCAACTTCCTGCCCTCACACACATGCAGCTCTTAGACAAGTAAAATTGCTCATTACTTATGGAAAGCCAACTAAAAGTGCCTTTTCAAAGGAGACTCCCCAGTCACCCATACTCTGTAGGTCCCACTGCAATAAAGAGGCAAGAAGTTGGACCTGACTCAGCAGTTGGACCTGACTCAGCAGTTAAGAGCACTGGCTGCTCCTCCAGAGGACCCGAGTTTGGTTCCTATCACCACATGGAGGCTCACAACATCCATAACTCCAGTTCCAGGGAAGGCACACTCTTCTCTGAACGCTAAGGGCAGTAGGTATACACAGGTGAGTATATTTACTTGCAGACAAAACACCAGTACACATAAAATAAATACATTTAAGAGAAAAAGAGAGCCAAGAATTTGCTTAAAAACTATTTCACTTAACAAAAGAAACACCAACAAAAAATTTCCCAAATTTGAAGGACTGTGGAAAAAAACTACCAAAATATAGCTAATGAGACTCCAAAGAAATGTAAACAAACAAGCAGTTCAAATACTAATCAGCTGGAAACATCGACTTTCATTATCACAAAAGGGAGGCTATGGAACATAGACAACTGACTCCCATCTAAGCAGGCAGTGAGCAAAAGCCACTTTTAAATATAATGGGCCTGGATATTGGTGCAAGGGCTTTACTGAACACGCTAAGTGCCAAAGAGAATTCCTTTCTCTTCTTAAAAGACACAGCAGGAAAAGAAGAAACTGGCTTCTAGATAGCATATATCCCCAAGCCAGAATACTTTCACCAACAATTCCAATCTCAGACTAATAATGACTCAGTTTCATTTTGACATAAGTCCTTGACAGATTCCCAATTCAAAACATTGAAAATGAATAAATTATTCTCTCTCTCTTTCTCTCTCTCTCTCTCTGATTCACATCCCCACACACAGTTGATTTCATTACACTTGTTATTAGCTCAGAGTGCCAGTCATATGCAAAGTGTGATGCTTTCCCATAATGTGATCAAGGACATTTCAGAAAACATCCCACAAAGCCATTAGACAGGAATAAAACAACAACCAAATAAAAGCAGAAGAATCCCCCACACAGCTCATGAGACTGAAGCACAAGGAAAACCTAAGCCATCCCTGCTTAGAGCTTGCAGTCTCCAACTCCAAGTCAGTATGTAAAACACAATAGAAATTGAGTGTGTTCAGGCAAGACAATATTAAATACTGCACTACAAAGTTCTTTAAAATATACATATAATGTAACCACTTTTATTCATTGCTGAGAAGGCAGAATTTGTATTAGTATTCTAGAAATTGGTTTAAGAAATTCAAATTTGCCCAATAACTAGACAACACGTAACTGCAGACCTTAGTGAAAAATATTCCTGAATTGGTATACTAAGTTTTGGACATGTACATTTTTCAAAAAGGATCTACAGAATTCATACAGTTAAAGGGACAGTACACCATGGAAATGGAAAGGGCTGCTATTTAAAAATCTTACCGTGTTTTCACTACACAGAATTGTTTTAACTAGAAATAATGAACATCTAGGTAAAGGGGGACTCGCTTGTAATCCTGGAACTTGGAGAGTGAAGGCCTAGACTACATAGTGAGTAAATAAAGACAACAATGAGCAGCAGGAAGTGCCACCTTCCTGTAATCTCACCATCAGACTGAAGCGAGTGGATCACTGTAAATTTGAGGCTAGCCTGGGTAATAAAACAAGATTTGCCTCAAAAATAATAAAAATTAAAAATAAAAATGCCTATCCTGAAGTTAGGGTTTGTGGCACACACCTGTAATCTCAACGGGGAAGCAGAGTCAGGAAAATCTGCCACAGTTCAAGGCCAGCCTGGTCTACAAAGTGAATTCTAGGAAAGACATATGATTTAGGCAAAAATGACATTCTATCTTAAAAAAATTTTTAAAGAAAAAAATATGAACTATTACATATAAATCAAAGGGTTATATATGGTGGTATGCACCTGTAATTCCAGGATTTGGAAAAGGAAGGCATAAAAATAAAGAGCTCAAAGTCATCCTCAGCTACATAGTAAGACCAAAGTCAAACTAGGGCACTTGAGACCCTGTGTGAAAATACACAAGGCCAGTGAGACGGTTCAGCAGATAGTTTCTCATCTCCCAAGCACACATCAGACTCCCACAAGCTGTTCTCTGACCTCCACAAGTACACTCACATGCATATACATACAAAAAAATTATTTTAATAATTCTAAGAAAAAACTTAATTTCCAAAATGAATGAGTATATAACTAAGGGTTTAATTCAGTGGTAGAGTGCTTGCCTATAGCATGTGTGATGCCCTAAGTTCAATCTCTAGTGCTAACCGAAAAAAAAAAAAAACAGTAATAAATAACAATAAAGAACAAAGTATAATCTGTTATAAAATATTTTAACTCTAAGCTCAAGAATTAAAATCTTCTAGTCTATAAACTATAATCTTAGAATTATACTGAAACAGTACATATTTCATAACAAACACGTGTTCAAGCAATATAAACCTTATCACGTCAACATGAGAAGTGGCTAGTTTAAATCTGGTCCTCACTTACTAAATATGCCAACATCTACTTTGCTATTTATGTTTACTTTCAAGAAAAAATTAACTGAGTTAACTTAAGCTGAAGCTATATGGAATGCTTCTATGCTAAACTGAGACTCCTGGAGGGCAGTAACCCAAACCAAGAGATCTGGGATAGACAGAAGAGAAAGATTGTCCTAGAAATGTAGACATGCTCACAACTATCAGATGCCGTCATCTCCCCCATGAAAGACTTACTGTTTTTTCAGCTGCCTCTGGCCTCTTCTTTTTGGACTCCCGCTCTCAGACCCGCTACTTGCCTTCAATGTGTGAGGGGGGAAATGATTACAGACTTTAGTTCACAGTGAGACTTTAGACAGAATGAAACCTAAGCACTTGCTAGGTGGAGCCCACTCTTTCGCTTTGAAAAGAAATCAATGTCACTTTCTTTCTCAAGTCTATACTTAGCTCAGACACCCAGAGCAGTAACATCAAATACAACTTCCTACACATAAAATGTTCTATAACTATAATGTCCAACACAGTGAGCCATCAGCCATGTGTGAACTCAGCACTTAAAATGTGCCTACTAGGGCTGAGGAATAAATTCTAAATATAAATTTTAAAAGCCACATGTGTTGGCAGTAACTGTACAGGATGCTGCAGATCTAAAACAACATATAAAATACCAAATTTAGTGAGTGCACCTTAACGGCACTGCCGCTGATGTATCCACTTTGTACTTGATGAAAGAGCATCTGAATCATGAAGAAGAGCTAACAGCACTAGGCTAAAGACACTTGAGACAGCTTCTTCCCTCAAATAAAGCAAAATGGCACTCCCTCTAAGACTGATAGTCTGGGGTCCTACTGAGTATATACTGATGTATGAACCAGGAAGGGCAGACAGATGTGACTGGACACAAAGACTAAGGCTCAGTGGCCCAAGACACTATGGGAAAGGGAAGCACAGACACATCAGCTCAGAAGTCACTCAGAACTCAAACCGCATATACATGCAGGTGTTGGCATGAATCTGATTTTCAGAGGACATTTGCTGAAAAGCCATACCTAACTTCCCAACATTTGGCTATCAATCACATAACTTCCACTGGAAAAATGTTACATAGCTTTAAAAAAAAAAAAAAAAGTAGAACAATCCTCCCATGGCAGAAGGGGACATTTCACTGAGGCAAGAGTATCCCTTCAGGATCTACCTACAAACCTAATACACAGAGGTTTCACAAAACAATGACAGAATCTGAGAAACATGAAACAAGTCCGATTCTAAGGATGTGCGAACCCAAATATTACTGGCTTTAAAAATCACCAGTGTAGGGCTGGTGAGATGGCTCAGTGGCTAAGAGCACTGACTGCTCTTCCGGAGGACCTGGGTTCAATTCCCAGCAACCACATGGCAGCTCGTAGCTGTCTGTAACCCCTGTTCCAGAGAATCTAACATCGTTATATCAATGTGCATGAAATAAGGTTAAATAAAGTTTAAAAAAAAAAGAACTTGTTAAAATAAAAAATTTAAAAAAAAAAAATCACCAGTGTAGGCACCTTAGATGGATGTAGTTATATGATGGGGGCTTACTTCTTAGTACCAAGACTCTGCCCCATCATTAAAAAATAGAAAATAAAGTACTTCATCTCTCATAATTAGACCAGAAAATGAGTAAAGAAAAACAAAAGACATTAAACACTCCTCTTTCCTTTCTCTGGAGTAAATCCAAAATCATTTCCATGTTCCAGTCGTTCAGCAATTAAACAAAATATTTGGTATCTAAAGTTAACTGGCCACAATCGGTTATACTCTGAGAAATTTAACTTTAAATTAAGTCACACCATACAATAGAGGAACGAAGCACTAACTATTATGTGTTTGCTAAGTGTTAACTTCTTGCCCCACTCTCTGTTCATACAAAGGCCAACAGATTCTCCTTAGCTGCCTCACTTGAGTCTTTTCAATAGTAATTAATGTACACCAGTCAAGGATGATGAGGTAAGACAGGGAACCAAAACACATCCCCTCCAATCATTTTTTCTTACCTCTTCCTTAATATTAAATCGTGATGGTTCTTGTCTGCTTCGGTTTGATCGCCTAACCCCATAAACATCAGGATATTCTTCCCACATCTGCAAAATTTAATAGACTGCACATGAATCATTTCCTTAACTACATTGCTATTATCATTATTAGAATCAAACACAATCATGTCACTAAATATCCAAAGCATTGTTATGCTAGCTTTGAGAGAAAGCTAACCAGTATCCCTTCAAAAGAACAAGCATTAAAAAAGTTTAACAATGCCTTCATGCTATTCAAAGTGTTGAGCACTGCTTACTGTCACTAAACTAAAATATCCAGTTCCTTCCACAAAATACAAATTACTAAAGAATTCTGAAATTTACTGATGCTTGCAGTTTCAATTATAAACAACAAATAAAAACAAAAAGATGCAAGCAGAAGAGCCCACAGAACCTAATCAAGACAGCGCTCCTGCTACAAGTTCTCCAGATGAGAAACCAGCGCCATTTCTTCTAGCCCTCCTGCTTCAATCCCTAGTAATTGGCTTCAGACTTTTGCTAACAATTTTCAGCAATTTGAAAAGGCAACCTTCAAGGAGTGGCTGGCTTTTCCACTGTCTTCCCTACAGATGACTATGCTTAAGTACACTCTGGTTTTTTACATAAAGCCACAGGAAAGCCAAAGGAATCTGAATGGACTGTGGAACACTGGCGTAAAGCTGTTTAATCATGGTCAAACATGTGGATCAGATGTTAGAAAGCCAAGCTTAGGAACAGGGGCTTTATTAAAAACAGAAGCAGCAGCTAATGTCATGAAAGCATTTGGAAATTCCAGACAGTATATGCAAAGGAGGAGGAGCCACTGTCTAAAGCCAGAGAAATGTCTGCACCTAACTATGTTTTCCTGAGGAAACCAGACAGTACACAGTCTATGCTACATGGTTATTTCACTCTGAAACTCTAATGGGAAATCAACCACAAAGTATCTAGATGGGGGGGGGGGGGGTAACACATGACACCATGTCCCAAAACAAGCAGCATTTCTAAGTCTAGAACAGCACTGGAAACAAGTGCCATTGTTTCTTTCTCTTATAAGTTTTAATATAATGAATAAACCAGACATGCCTAATCCAGGCATGGTGGCGCATGCCTTTAATCCAAGTACTCAGGAGGCAGAGACACGCAGGTCACTGTACTTTCAAAGACAGCCTGGTCTACACAGTGAGCTCCAGGACAGCCAGGGTGGCATACTGAGATACTAACAAGTAAAATAAAAAGTAGAAAACTGCCCTTAAAAAGCCAAAACTGATCAAAGATTAAACAGCAACAACAACAACAAAAGAAAAAAGTCACTAGGCAAAAGAGGACAGTATTAACCAGTGACAAAAAAAAAAAAAAAAGCTATGGTAAGCTGAAAAACAAGGAATAAACTGAAAAGAAAAGCAAACAAGTTAAAATAGCCCAGGAATAGGCTACTAGAACTAAAATCCAACACAATTGTAAGATTAGGACTCAATGTTGTTAGATTCCCTAAAAAGGGCTTTAGCCCAAATTTTAAAGGACAAAAGACCCAACCATGAGTTAGAAGCGATCAAGTGGGAGGAAAGCCTAACAAACAGGAGCAGGCTGGCAGAGAACAAGTGAGAGACGTGTGCACTAGCCTTTCTGCCCACGCCCACACCTAGACCTTTACAGCCTCTGCTACAGCAGAGAAATTATCTGCATGACCCCACAGAGAACTTCACGGTAACTGAGTGGATAAATCACGCTAATACGGCTACACCAATCAGCCAGTCTTGGCACTCGCAGTCTCTGCCTAGGCATGTTGGCTCCAGGGCTGTAGCTGTGCTCCAAGTCACACTACTGCACTGCTTACACCACACAGCAGCTTGTATTATTTGTCCTTTAGAGGCTACCGAATTCTGCTCTTCCAAAGAAGAGCTGACATGCGAACTCGCTCACTACTGCGTGCCCTTACACAGGTAATAAAACTTTCCTCCTGTGAGGGGAAGGTGGGGGAAGCTAGACTATAAACAGGATGTATATATGTATACAAAGCAGTATTTTCAGAATTTCTCATTTGTGGTAATTCCTCTATTAGGTACAGCTACATGAAACTATGCATTTTTACCTTTTTAGCACTGATCACCTTAACCACTAAAAAACTACCTGATATTTGCAATTTTATCTTAAAAATATTATGCACGTTTGTGTATGTACATATGTATGTATATATGTATGTATTTTTCTGGTAAAACCTGAATATACAAATCCAATCTCAGTAATGCTTTCTCACACCAGGAATAGTGCAAAGAACTGCCTGGAAGTACAGCTCAGTAGACTGGACAGCTCAGTAAACTGGACACCCTCTTTTGGCCTCTTCAAGGATCAGCACACATGCACCCACTAAAAAAAAAAAAAAGCTGGGAGCAGGGGGTGGGTTGTCGCGCCTGCCTTTAATCAAAGAAGGATCTCTGTAAGTTCGGGGCCAGCGTGGCCTACATAGTGAGTGCCAGGAGAACCAGGGCTACATAATAAGATCCTGTCAGCAAACAAAACAGAAAAACCTACTAAGTGTTTCTAAGCCTGGCCATCTGCTGGCCCCTAAAAGTCAAACAACACCATTACACGGCAACTTTCCTGACAACTGAAATAACTATTCGACCCAAGTCTGTCTCTAGAGCTCCAAATGCTTCTTCTCATATTGTCTGAAAATGTTCACTGCTGCCTACAATTTAGTATAGCTTATATAAAAGCAAGTATGTAGAATATATATTTGCATCTTAGATTATAGCTTAAATTTGAAAAATGACAGCATAAAACTTAATTTTATTAAGCTTCCTCCCACCCACCAAAGCCGAGGGCCAACCCAGAGCCTTGTGCTTGCTAGGCAAGTGCTCTACCGCTGAGCTAAATACCCAACCCTAGGATCGTTTTCTTTTTTTTAAGAAACAAAAAACAGTATTCTTCCATAGTGGTTCACACAGAATTCTCTCAAATAAAATCTCCCAAGTTCAAATGTGGTGGGCTGGGAAGCAGCTTAGCTGGCATAGTGCTTATCTAGCATGTACAAACCCAGCATCACAGAAAACTGTCACAAGATAGAGGGACAGGCCTCTCATCCCAGCAGGAGGGAGAGGAAGGAAGATGAGGAGTTCAAGACCATCTTTGGTTGCAGTGAGTTCAGGGTCAACCTGGGCTATATGATATCCTATCCAAAAATAGGCTCAGACACCTGCTGATGAAGGCACACAATTACTAATTCTTTTCCACCAAAAAAAGGAATGTATTCAAAGTTTAGAATCAATGAATCAATGTGAAAATGTTATGCAAGTTAATGTGTGCCTTTTGTAGTCTTTGCTATAAGACTCTTTTCTTATAAGCAATGTGCAGCTACACTTAGGCAAGGAGAAGTCTCCTTATGACAGTGTGATGGTCAGGGCTGTAATGCCAGCACACTGGGTTAAAAGAGGAGCATCTTGAGTTCCAGGCCACACCAGGCTATACTGTAAGACACTGCCTAAAAAAAAAGGTCGAGTGGGGAGGGAAGGACTAACCAGGTATAATGGTGCACACCTATCATCTCAGCACTTAGGAGACAGCTACAGGAGAATCAGGAGTACAAAGCCAGTCCTGGCTGGATGGCAAGCAAGTTTCTGGCTAGCCAAAGGTACATGAGACCCTATCTCCAGAAAAAGACGAACCAAAAAACACACTAATCAATCTTCTTTGGAAACTCTGAGAGCTGGTCCTGGATAGGAGCAAATTTGCAATAGACAGCCAGGAGGTACCTTCTTCACATCAGCTATCCGTTCCTTCTTAGAGGCAGGCTTCTCTTTGGCTTCTGGAAGGACTGGCTGGGATTTGGAACCTGCTGATTCACTCTCCGATTCTGATTGACTCTCAGAAGATTCAGAACTGCTATTGGACTCGCTGCCATGTCCACTTCCGGGATCGCTGCCCTGCTCACTTTCCGACTGACTGCCAGAGTCTGAACCAGAAGCTTCTTCAGAGGCCGAATGACTTCATTTAATAGAGAGACAGGGCAGAGAGAGAAAACTTAGAATCATTTAAGAACTGCCACAGAAAAAGGTTTTAAAATCCTCTGGTAATGTCTTCAGACCATTATTTCAGCGATTAAACATCCACATCTTCAAATTCACTTTTATTCTTGTGCTGCAGATAATACTTTCCTACGGTTTTCAACCTTGACTTTGTATTTTGTTGAAACCATACATACACATTCTCACATTCCAGTGAACATAGACCCCTCCTCATTCTGATGAGGTAAAACTATATAGCTCCGAGTATTTAAGGACCACTAAGACCTCACAGAAACACTAGAACTAAGTCACCTTAATACCAATGCCCCCTTCAAAATAAAAAACAGCAATTCAAAAATGAGAAAAACAACACTCCGCCCCACCCCAGGAAGAATGCAATTATCCAATCAGCGGTTCTCGTGCCCGGGTTAGACTCGGGTAGGGAGCTACACACACCACCTATAGTTCACAGGCCCTGCCTCCACAGCAGTGACTCTAATGATGGTCCTCCCACAGACTTGATAATGGCCTATGGACATCTGCTCACCTCCCCCATTTGAAAGAACACTCGTGAGGAGGCAAATGATGGTCAAAGCCGCAAAACACAAGCTTTAGGTTGAGAGGTAGACACAGTAGCACGAAGCTTCCTAACTAGAACTGAGGTCACACAACTAACAAACAGCTATAGAAAACAGCCGGGCTGCAGATGAACTGGGTTGGCAGTGTGCTTTTAAAGCCAGCAGGGCCCTAGGCTTCAGCACACTAGGTTTGGTGGTACACGCTCAGAAGGACTAGAAATTCAAAGGCAGCCTCTGCTAGGCAAGATGGAGGCCAGCCTGGAATATACGAGTCCCTGCCAAAATATGAAAGAAACAGAAAGAAAATAAATTACTGGAAACTTGAATTGATTCAACTCTATAAAAAGTACATTATAGTATAGAAGCCTTTCAGTCAAGATGAAGAAATGGAAAAATCTACCTCTAAGAAGGAAAGGCTGAACAACTACAAACTGCCTGATCACCTCATAGTGTCAGACATTATGCTAAACACTTTATACATGTTTATTCTCCAGAACAATCCTATGAAAAAAAGACAGACATTTTAAGAAACTCAGCCCTCTCTCTTCCTTTGAAACTGATACCCTAGCCAGGCGGTGGTGGCGCGCGCCTTTAATCCCAGCACTCAGGAGGCAGAGATAGGCAGATCTCTATGAGTACGGGGTCAGCTTGGTCGGTCTATAGAGCAAGTTCCAGGTCCAGCTCCAAAGCAGCCACACAGAGAAACCCTATTTCAAAAAGCGAAAAAAAGAAAGAGAGAGAGAGAATAAAAAAAAAAGAAAATCTCTGCCCTATCCCATCTCTTACTTTCTGTTTGTACATTTTTTCATTTTCTTTGATGTGTGTTAGTATTCTGCCTGAATGTATGTGTGTGCGCAATACTTACAGAAGCCACTTGGATCCCCTAGGACTAGAGGTACAATTAGTCATGCAGAGCTTACAAAGGCCTGTCCCTTACAGCTCAGACACCCCAGCCTGGTATTTTTACTCAGCTCAGTATGCGCTGGAAAACCTAGCTTCTGACAATCCTCCTATATTCATGTCTGAATGATTCCCATCTCTCTCGGTAAGATTTACATTTTTTTGTATTGGTGTTTTGTTTCCATGCATGCCTGTGTACCATAAGCCAGAAGAGGGTATCAGATACCCTAGAACTGGAGTCATAGACAGTTGTGAGCCATCATGTAGTTGTAGGGAACTGAAGCCAAGGTTGTCTACAAAACCAGTAAACCCTCTCAATTGCTGGGCCCTCTCTCCAAGCCCTGCTCATCTCTTCTTCGTTCCTTCCCTCAACTCCATTTGCTCCATGTAACACTTAGAGAAGCATGGCAGAAATTACAGTACCATTCTCCTCCAACCCACGTACACAGTGCTTATGCAGCAAGCTGAGTGTCTAACTTTGAGGGCCTGGGTATCATCTTCTGTAGCAAAGCAAGCTTTGCTCTCTCCTGTGCTAGATCAGCCTATTAGACCCTTCCAGGCGCTCATCTATTACTGAAATCACTACCCTAAGAAGTGAAAACTGGCATCCCGACCTTGGTATGGGCTTCATCTCCCAACCTCTGCTACCTCTCTCTTCATCATGACACCTGATCCTAGGAAACTGAATCCAAAGCCCGAGCAGTTGGGCTGGGGGTATGGCTCAGTGATACAGTGCTTGCCTAATCATGCATATGAGGCTTGGTCCCACAACACCTACCAAAGAATGATAAATCTAAGTTTCTGTAAAGCCCAGCTATTTACTTAACACATTACCACGTCTTTCACTTGTCCCATACTATAAAAATAACGTGGTGACTTGTCAAAACAGGCTTGAGAGATGGCTCAGAGGTTAAGAGGACAGGCTGCTCTCCCTAGAGGTCCTGAGTTCAATTCCCAGCAACCACATGATTGGTGGCTTACAACCATCTGTAATGAGATCTGGTGACCCCTTCTGACATGCAGGCATACATGCAGACAGAACACCATGTACATAATAAATAAATCTTTTTTTTTTTTTTTGATTTTTCGAGACAGGGTTTCTCCGTAGCTTTTGGTTCCTGTCCTGGAACTAGCTCTTGTAGACCAGGCTGGCCTCGAACTCACAGAGATCCGCCTGCCTCTGCCTCCCGAGTGCTGGGATTAAAGGCGTGCGCCACCACCGCCCGGCTATAATAAATAAATCTTTAGGGGAAAAAAAAAACAGGCCTGAAAACTAAGAGCATCTTCTCATTGTTCCTTGTGCCTGGTATATTAGAGATCACTGACTGAGCTAAAATAATACATGTACCTGCCTTTTGAAATGACTTCGTTTTCCAGCACAACTCCAGACAAGAACTTGGGGGTGGAATCACATGCTAATCATCACAAAACACCACAATAATCAACATATTCACTCTCTGGGAAAAAAATACACAAGGGACTGAAAAATGTTAAACTACCAGCTTACAGACCCAGAAAAAGGGCCGCTTTAGTCTGGTACAGAAAAAGGTTAACAGTCCAGTTAACTAGAAAAGCTTTTAGTCTTGTTCTAAAAGCAAGAATCACACATGGCGGGCTACAGAGGTGGCTCAGAGGTTAGAGCACTGGCTGCTCTTCCAGAGGTCCAGAGTTCAATTCCCAGCAACTACATGGTGGCTCACAACCATCTATAAAGAGATCTGGTGCCCTCTTCTGGCCTGTAGGCATACATGCAGATAGAATATTGTATACATAATAAATAAATCTTTTTAAAAAATAAATAAATAAATCCTACACTTCGGCTTAGGATCCTTAGTTTATATAAAAAAAAAGTCACACATGGCACAATGTATCATTGCAATGTCAAATGTCTGTGAAATGCCATGTAAGAAAGCTGGACTTCAATGTTTACTCAGGCTATTTTCAAACTGTTCTCTTAAACAATAAGCTATAAAAGCTATAAATATCTATGATTAATTTCTCCAAGAAGAATATTTCTGTTCTTTTGCCATTGCTCACTATAATCGGTAAAAGTATAAATACTCTAGGACAGCTGTGTTTATACATGTGACCATAGAAATGTTAACACTGCATACAATCACCACAAACACACCCACATTCCCATCAGCACACATGTATGTAAATGTGGGCCTACAAATTTAATTAGTTGAGAGTGGCTTATTCTGTGGGAAAGGTATGCTGGCAGAGTCCATAGATTAGCTTATGCTGTAATATAAAAAATAAAAAGTAAAAAATAAAATACGACAGAAATCAAACCTAAGGAAAGAACAAAGCTGCAGTCCCCTGTAGATCAGAGCAAAACAGGTATAACCAGGTTAAGACATTGGCATCCTGACGGTTTTAGTAGTGAACTCACAGCTGCTTAGAACTCTTAAAATATTTTTGATGCATAAACTAGGTCACCAACTAAAATAAAGATGCAAGTGAGTCAGTCAGTATAAGACTAAGTAATTTAATATTTACTTTGACCGGGCAGTGGTAGCTCACAGCTTTAATTCCAGGACTCAGCAGAGGTAGGTAGAGAGCTCTGTGAGTTCCAGGCCAGCCTGGTCTAAAAGGCAACCTTCAGGAGAACCATAGTAAAACAGTCTCCAAAATTAATAAAATAACTGCTTTTGCCAAAGTATTAAGGGTACAGACCGGTTGTCACGAAATCAAGAGAAGCAAGTGCTATGTACAAACCAAGAAAAGGAACTTTATTTTGGAACAAGCAAGTTAGATGTAAGACTTAACATTCCCAGGAAGAATGCTGGGCTGCTTCTCATAAGAATCTTAACTAAGGTCTTGGGGGGGAGTGGGGGGGTTGCTATTTGTTTTGAGGTAGAAGCCCAAGGTGGCCTTGAACTCAAAGACAGACCGGCCTTTGCCTCACTAGTGCTGGGATCAGAAGCCTAAGAGAAAGTTTCTTACTGTTGAAAACTGAATTGTTGTAACCAGGATTTTTGTGACATAACATTTCCTAAGGCCCAGCAATACTGAGCACTTCAGTACTTCGCTGGTTTTCACTCAGAGAAACCCCCTAAAGAAAAAGGTCAGCCTGGTGCAGTGGTGCACGCTTTAATACCAGCACTTGGGAGGCTGAAGATCAGGAGACACCACTCCCACAGAGAGAGAGAGAATACCAAATTCAGCTCATATTCAGGTGACAATACTTAAATAAAAACTCCCACTAGTAAGTATGACTGTCTGACTTTCAAGATAGTTAACAAGGCAACTGAAACTTAAATTCATAGGAATTATCTACTACAGTCTCATAAAGATCGTATTTATTTGAAAATTATTCAAACTCTAAACTGCAAACAAATTTCATTACTTTTCGAATGGACAAAAAAAAAACCTGATGAGTCAAAATCCAATAAAGAAAGAAAAGGACTCAACACCTTTACTAAGGTTTTCATGAAATGGGTCAGTCATTCTTATAATAGTGGACTTTGACGACAATAGGGTCACTTCTGTTTCTTAA